AAAACCAATGGGATTGTTGCCTACCCTTTCGTTTACCCAAAACACTTCCAGTGGTCTCTTCATCATGGGTAGCGGGTCTGGGGATCGAGGGACCAGTTTGTTTTCGAGGACCATCGAGGGCCGACTGTGGTCGAACTGATTGTCGTGTGGTAGTGGCAGTTCGCGACGAAGATCTGGTTGAAGCTGCGACGGACTTTGCTCGGGTGTGTGCGCGGGTTGTGGTATTGCCAGCCTTGGACGTGGTCGTCCCCCCAGGTCCGGTTTTTCTGGTCTCAGGGGCTTGCGTTGTGCTTCTTGATCGGGATAATTCTGTCGTGAGTCCTTCTGTCAGTTTAATGGCATTTCTGTCGTGTTGGTTCGACGTACGTGGTAGATTTGAGGGCTGTTTGGCGATTGTGCCGGGCTTCATAAGACCTGAACGGGAGTTGGCGAAGGCCGGGTTGGCCTCCTTCAAACCTCCGGGAACGCGAGCGCGCGTGGGCGCCTTCGAATGCACCTGCGTATTGTGAGTCGAATGAGACCATGTGCGACCTTGCATCTGGCGGGAATTACCATATTCTCGTCGTTCATGATGGAGGCGTCTGTTCAGTTCGGTAATTTCGTCGACGGGGTGAGGAGAGGGTTGAAGTGGATAGATGGGAGATGAGAAGAAAGAAAGAACAATTTCAAAAGCCCCAAGAGTAAGCCGTCTCGAACCGCTGCACCGTAACCACCTCTGCTGCGTTGAGTCGTTGATATGTTGATATGCTGTGTTTTGTGGTTTCTGGAGGGACCAAAACAAACGTAAACAAACGACGCTGACTCAGCGCGTCTGGCGGGGCAGCACTATTCCGTATATGGTTAGTGGTATTTATTACAACGTTCAATACACGATGATACATATACACGCTCTATGTTGAAGAACTGAGCAGAGTCGCCTTCAATTGTATAACAGACTAATTAAATTGTATAATAGGCTACATATCCAAGAACAACTCTCTACAATTTCAGTCTCACCTGCAACTGTCCTGAAACGGAGGTGTAATTCCGGGTGCGGGTGCTTCCAGACCGACCTCCCGCAGCGCAATCGTCGGAGCTAGAATAACAGCTTAAACCTCGCGCTCTCAACGTGGTCTCTCTTCCTCTTCTCTCTTCGCACATATTTCTTGCTCTCCTTCTGTTTCTCTTTTCTCTCATACAATAACAGAGTCATGTCTGGTCGTTTCGTCCGATCCTCCAAATACCGTACGCTCTTCCCCTCGTGCCCCCTCAAAACATGCCCGCATTCGGGAATCTGACAGGTAGTATCAACCAGGTCACGTCTTTGGGCGGTCGACAAAGAAGGTATGCCAATTGCTCTCTGCTATTGAAGTTGTCGTTCTAACAAGAGCAGGAACAATGTTACGATAATCTTCGAGTCTCTGCGAATGCCTTCGATACCAACTTGGTCAAGGTGCGCTCCGCCCTCCGTTAAACCAGCCCCCCTGACCTCGCGAACGTACGTGATCTGACGCCTGACACTAGGTCAACCCTCGCTATCTGTCCGTGAACTGGGAAGCTGGTGGTGGTGGTGCTTTTGCTGTCATTCCCCTCAATGAGCGTGGCAAATTGCCCGAAAGAATCCCCCTATTCCGCGGTCACACCGCTGTGGTGCTGGACACCGACTGGTGAGCTTTGCTGGATGCGCTAAGGGAAACAGAATGAGGAAATAACTTGGATTAGGAACCCTTTCAACGATGAGTTACTTGCGTCCGGTTCTGATGACGGAAAGGTACGTATCTAGTAGACATGCGTTCCGCTGAAGAAGCTGACCCGTTGTCCTAGATCTGTCTCTGGCGAGTGCCTGAGAACTTCAGTATCCGCCCTGATATCGAGCCTGACCTAATCCAAGATGTAACTCCTGTGGGTAAATTGAGCGGTCATCCCAAGTGAGTTTCTCCTTATCGTCCAATGTCTCTTTGCCAGTCCGCTAATCTCGTTATAGGAAAGTCGGATACACGACCTTTAACCCCGCTGCGGAGAACATTTTGGCGACGGCCTCGGGCGACTTCACAGTGAAAATTTGGGATATTGAAGCCGGTGCTGCCAAGTTGACCTTAAAGCTGGGCGACATGGCACAGTCGCAGTCGTGGAGCGCTAACGGTTCCCTCCTCACGACCACCTCGCGTGACAAGAAGCTGCGGATATGGGATACCCGCCAGGAACGCCCTGCATATGAGGCACAAGGCCACTCGGGTGCCAAGAACAGTCGTGTTGTTTGGCTGGGTGAGCGCGACCGGATCGCGACCACCGGCTTCTCTAAGATGAGTGACCGCCAGCTGGCGCTGTGGGATATTCGCGCTCCTCGCGAGCCCATTACCGGATTCAAGACGCTGGACTCGATCTCCGGTGTGTGCATGCCGTTCTGGGATGAGGGTACGCAAATGTTGTACCTGGCCGGTAGAGGGTGAGTCCTAAATTCTCCAAATCGAGCTGCGGGATGCAGAGTTAACCAATCATATAGTGACGGAAACATCCGGTACTTCGAGCTGGAAAACGACAAATTCGAATTCCTTTCAGAATACAAATCTGGCGACCCTCAGCGTGGTATTGCTTTTATGCCCAAGCGTGGTGTCAACGCCCACGAGAACGAAATCGCCCGGGCCTACAAGACCGTCAACGACAACTATATCGAACCCATCTCTTTCATCGTTCCCCGTCGGTCAGAGAACTTCCAGGATGACATCTACCCACCTACTGCTGGTCTTACCCCTGCCATGAGTGCCACAGACTGGCTCTCAGGCAAGGAGGCCCTTCCCCCCAAGATCTCCATGGCCAGCCTGTACGAAGGCGAAGGCTTGAAAGAGGTTACTGGTGTGCAGAACAAGCCCACCACGACGGTTGGGTCGTCCGACTCCAAGCCCGAGCCGGAACCCCAGCCTAAGCCCACGCCACCATCGCCTGTTAAGAAGGCTCCTGAGCCGGCTCCCGAACCGGCTCCCGAGATCACTCCTGTTGCGAAGCTGGCGCCATCTATGAAGGAGCAGGGTGCGTCCATGGCTGCTATGGTGAACAAGTTTACCGACTCGGAAGAGGACCGCGAGCCAGTCAACGAGGACTCGAGCTTTGATGAAGTGCCTAAACCAGTTGAGCGTCCTTCTCGTTCTGCAACAGAGGCTGAATCACCGTCCGTCAAGTCCAGCCCATGGCACCAGAAGGAGGAGCCCAAGTCGCGACAATCCCCTGTCCAGGTAAGACTTTCAATTAGTTCAAGATAAGCAAAAACAGAAACTAACCCCATTTAGACTCCCACGGTATCGACACCCGTCTCTGGAGAATCAACCCTTACCGCTACCGCCGCCATCGCCGCCGACACTGTGACGCGCGAAATCAGTGAGATCAAGTCTCTGATCGCGGTGCAGACCAAGACCATTGCATCGCAGGCAGAGCAGGTCCAAACCCTGACTGCCGAAATTGAGTCCCTCAAGGCCAAGCTGGGCTAGCCTGGATTTTGCGCTTGTTGCTATGTAGCTCTGCCACTTTTATATGCTTTTCTCCTATTTTCTAATACTTTGTTTGTTGAGCCTGCACAAAAGAATCGTTGGTCATGTCTCTCGTTTTGTTTGTAGCCTGGATGTCTGTATATTGGTTGATATCAATTGGGCTAGATAGATGGTTGCAATTCAGTACTGTAGTATATATGGTTTGTTCTTGTTTACGAATAGATTTCAATCTCCTTGAACTTGATAATCAGCTGATCTACTTGGCGAGAACGGAATCGAACTCGTCAAACAACCTACAGCATTTATAGCAACAGCATCCAACTGAACCGCCACCTACTCCGTCCTCAACTGATCATACTCACAATCAAATATATACACATATGCCGCTACCTTTTCATATAAATGATGATATTTTTGGCAGTATCCTCAGTCGGGAATCAATCCTCCAGAGCCGAATAGGCCCTAACTCACATATCAGCAACCCAACCAGTGGCCCTAAGCTTGACAGTAGCTTTCCAAACCACGGAGGTAGGCTTGGAATTATCACTAAGTTACGCAACAACCGTGATAATTGTCCATCCCTCATCAAACCTAACAGGCACCTCACTACGAAACATTAGTAACACTCTCCCCACCCACAAAATCCACAAAACCACCCATACTATCCCCTCTATCCTTCTTGGCGAACTGTTCCTCAAATAGTGCAGCTGAATGCTTGGAGCCCCCGAAGACGAACTGCAATCGCTTGGACTGTTGGCCGTTTTCTGACTTGTTTTAGCCGGTTACTGTTAAACAACTATAACCAAAGGACCGTCAATTTGCACTACTACCCGAAGAGCTGGTATCCAGGCGTAGTTAATAACTAATAGGGCTTTTTGTTTTTGCCAAGGAGACCATACCAGACGCCAAATCTTACCAGTACCTCACCGAACATTCTTGTCTTTCCTCTCTCGTTTATATAACTAACTCGTTCATCCAAAATGCCAATCCACAAAGGTCCAGGCATCCCTAATTCTTACGGAATAGGAAAACGCCGCCCCATTCCCCTCCAACTCAACACCCTCCCCTTTCGAGACCACCGCGGCAACACCGCATGTCGTAGGTGTTCTGCGAGAAACAGTCACCATTCTATACAAATTCGTAAGATTCTACCTGGATATTATGAGTTATACGGTGCATGGCCTGGCCATTTGTAAGAGGACCGATTACCCTTTTGGGAGGCACAAATACGATTATGGAGACAATACAGATGATGTCATCGTATCCGCATTGCAACTTCCCGAATAGGCAACTGGCTAACTCCGATTTAGCGGCCGTATTTGTGATGACCACTTAGGGTTATAATCACGATCCTGACCTTCGTATATTTCCACATCCAACATGCATGGTATAGCCTTCGTCCAGGCTCCAGGGATCGAGACAATCGAATGAAACTGATTTGTTGTTTTCGATTCCTTCCAGTCCTGTAGGTTTATGTATATAGGCGACTCCATATTAGCAAGGGATGGAACGAAAAAGAAGGGAAAACAGACAATCACAATGAAGTTTATTTTGCTCTTGATCACTACGGCGTTCACGCTCGTCCAGACTCTGGCTCGGCAAGCGCCTCATCCGCTTCCTTGGTCGAGTCCTGGGCCTGGAGCTGGTTAGTGAAATCCGGTTGCAATGCAATGTTTGGATGTACAATGACACTGACTGGCAATTCTTAACAGTGCGGGCACCCTGTCCCATGCTGAACACCCTCGCCAATCACAGTTTCCTCCCCCACGGCGGTAAAGATATCTCGGAGGCGCGTACCATCCAGGCCCTGGGCCGAGCTCTGAACATTGACAAAAAAAAAAAAAAAAAAAAAAAAAAAAAAAACTGTCTAAATTTCTATTCGAGGAAGCATTGATCACGAATCCTCATACTAATGCTACAAAATTTTGTCTGAATGACCTGAATCGACACAATATCTTGGAACATGATGATGCCAGCTTGAGTCGCCAAGATGCTTATTTCGGAGATAACGTCGACTTCAACCAGATTATCTTTGATGAAACCCGGTCGTACTGGCCTCATTCCATCGTCGATATCCAGACCGCTGCACGATCCAGTCAGACTCGGGTGAACATCTCTATTGCCACCAATCCTACGTATAATATGTGCGAACTTGGCTTGGACTTCAGTTATGGCGAAATCGCAGCTTATATCCTTATACTTGGGAGCAAGTATTCCGGAAAGGTCAACAGATCCTGGGTGAAATATCTCTTTGGTAAATTCAATCGAGGCATGTTAACAGACTCCCGTACCTCGCTAACAATTATGTTTGAAAATAGAGAACGAACGTCTCGCTGTGCAACTTAGCTGGGCTAGTCACAACGAGACAATTACGAGCGATGACCTCAACAAGATGCTCGAGATGGTCGTCAACGCTCCATCAACTAGTTACAATAAGCGCAGCGATATTGTCCGGCATGGAGGTATGCATACTGGTCGCAGAGCTTGAGGCCTCAGGGAAAACTGGCGTGTCTTGCTAGCTTGCTAGACCCACGTAGAGATTGCGCCTCAGTATCTAAGTGTCGAAACAGAAGTCCATTCAATTGTACCTAGCTATAATCTCATGTCTTTGTTTCGCTCTTGTAATAGTGCATCTGAAATACTCTCGTCCCCGTGCTCTCTTCCTCACTTTTCTCATCGCTTTCTTTGTGACCAAGGCTCTCTAGCCCGTCATCCTTGTAGATGGGTTCCAGAGGAAACACCTCACCATTGATAACGAGCCAGCGGAAGATATACAACGATGTTTCTTGCGATGCCTTTTGTGATTTTTCTTGGTCGAATGGCCTATGAGGAATCTCTCGCAGTTTCTGAACGGCGAAAGGGCTTGCTTCTAATGTCGCGAAAGTTGTTACCATTTAAAATCCTTTAACTTGATATCTCAATTCGAAGCATTAAATAATTTGTACTAAACGTATGTACAAGTGGTCGTCTGGGGATAGGGGACTATGAGACGATGCGCCTTCAGAATGAAACTTCAAAACTAGTTAGATTAACAGACCCGTGCTAGGATGATCTCCAGACGAATTTGTAGATATTGAAAATGAGGACAGCCCTAAGAACCAAAAAGATGTCCTTGAACGATACTCGTATACAAAACCAACCTCTATATGCTTGATATTTTCTTAGATCTCATAGATACATCAGAAGCCCGCACAAAGAATTTATGTATTTACTCAACCCCATCTCCCCCCCTCCCTCTCCTTCTCAACCCTTGCCGCCCTCGCACTATCACTCTCTTCATCCTCATACTTATAACTCAACCTCCTCCCCCCAACCACCGCAGACCGACCCTGCCGACTCTCCCGTCGACGACTAGACCTGTAATGGCTATCACGGTCACGATCGCGCTCTTTATCACGGTCACGGTCTCTGTCTCGGTGGCTGTGGCGGTGACCAGTGCTATTACCATTAGTATTATTTTCGGAGTGCAAGGCTGCTTCGCGGCGCTGCTGTTCTTTCAAGAGGCGTTCGCGGTTGCGCGCTTCGCGTTCGAGAGTTATGGGGTCTTTTTCGGGTTGTGTTGTTGAGGTAGGGGGTTTGGAGGAGGCGCGGTCATCTTCGCGGGTGCGTTTTAGGCGTCGAGAGTGCTGGCGGGTGGAGTAGTCGCTGTCGGGGGAGGCGGTTCGGTCGCGGCGGGGGCGTTTTCTGTCTCGTTCACGCTCGCGGTCCCTGTGACGCTCGCGATCACGGTCACGGTCACGGTCACGGTCACGGTCACGGTCACGGTCACGGTCACGGTCACGGTCTCTTTCGCGGTGACGATCGCGGTCTCGGTCACGTTCACGTTCGCGATCCCGGCGGTCTCTGCGTCGGGCGTCACGGTCTCGTTCACGCTCTTCTTCTCGACGGCTGGATCGATCCTTTCCAGAGCGATGACTGCGACTGGAACCCTCGACAGCTTCAGAAGCGGCCTTCTCTGTAATGGAGGAAAGACGATCAGCATCACGATCAGCATCACGACTAGGACTCCTGGTTCGACTGCGGTGACGATGCGAGCGATGAGAACGACGTCCACTTCGCCGATCGCGGTCTTTGTCACGGCGATGAGACCTCCGTGATGACTCCAGGGAGGGTGAGCGGGTGCGGTGGCCGTCTTCCGCTAATGACGACTCGTCGTATTTATCTTGACGGGATCGTTGTTTTCGTTCACGTCTTCGTTCGTACTCGTCGGCGCCATCATGGGCGCTTGGCGAGCGGTATCGGTGACGACGGCTTTCTCTATGGCGAGACAGGTCCCTAGATCTACTTCTTGATCTGGATGCGGATCTAGCCCTAGATCTTGACCTCGAGCGGCGGTCGTCTTCTCGTGGTTCTATTGGAGTTCCACTATTCACATGTTAGCATCGTCAATCTTCTTAAGGGAAGTAATGGGAAAAAAAAAAAAAAAAAGACCCACCTTTGTGGGCCTTCAGAGGGTCTGCTAGCAGGAACCGATGCCCGTCCTTGGAATCGGTGGCGCAACACACTGGTATTAGGTAGGCCTTCTCTCATAGCTCTAGGTGCTGCCGGAGCACCCTCAACACCCTGTCCTGGGATAGGCCCGGGAACAAAAGGACCGCCAGGGAAACTACCTCCACGACCGCCAGGGAAGGGTCGCATGAAACCCCTGCCAAACCCAGGTCCCATATGGGGGCCTGGCATTCCAACGAAGCCGGACATAGCAGCATCGTTCTGGTCCAGACTATCAATTGTTGGTATACCTCGTGGTTGTGAGTCGTCCCCTGCAAAGCTGCCTGATGGATCAGCCGGAAGTTCCTCTCCAGGTAGTTTATCTCCTGCTTCACCAGCAATCTCCTTTGATGTTGGGTCTTCGGGATCATGCTCGCCGCTAGGGCCTTGTTCACCCTCTGGTTTACCTGCATCGGTACTGGCATCCACTGGGATTTCATCATCCCGAGGCACCGCCTGATTAAAACTAGGGGAGTTAGGGTTCTGAAACGCGGCGTTAGGATAATTAGCATTCATGAAGCTTCCGCGGCCGCGGCCACCAGGAAAGAATCCGCGACCACGGCCGCGGAAACCGCCTCTGCCGTAGCCGGGGCCATAGTACCCATTCGAGAAGTCTTGGTTAGGGAAGTAATTTCCGTTGGGTTGAGACATATTAAATCCGCCAAATCCAGAGGGCCCATACTGCGAGCCCATACCATTTGCGAAAGCATTTGGATTGAATTTATCTTGGCCTCCATTCCACATATTGTTCTGAGAGCCGTCCCATCCCCCAGTATACATCCCCTGACCCACGTCGAAGTTCATTCCCATATTCATGCCATTGTTCATGCCCATCCCGTAGCCTCCAAACATACCCTGGTTCGCGGCCATCGGGTCCATCGACATCCCAGACATTCCTGTAAGAAAGTCAGTATCTGATTCTTGAACCGCTATTTGGGGTGTAGGTGGTGACATACCCATAGGATTTTGGTTGAACATGCCATTGGACATGAACTGCATAGGGTTGAAATCGCCACTGCCACTGAATGGCATGTTGGGAAATCCTCCGGTGGGCATATTAAATCCCATGCCGGGAAACATTTGCTGCATTCCATTGAGTTGCGCATTGTTCTCTTCCACGGGTTGTGCCTCCGTGTCAGCAGCTTCATCGCCATCCGCGGCAGCCGTTTCGTCGGCCGCATCGGCCTTTTCTAACGTGCCGGTGGCCTCGTCTTGCTCATTCTGTACGGCCATTAGCTATTTGGGAAGAATAAAAAGGGCGTGTCTCAATTACCTGAGCTTGAGTTTCCTCAGCAACCTCGGCATTCGCATCAGACCCGGGTTCTTCCCCAGCCTCAACAGGCTGAGGATCCGCAACGGGGTGTTCTTCCGGCGGGACCTCCGCAGCAGGCGCTACCTCCTGCTGTTCCTCAGCGTGAGCTTGTTCCTCAAGGACAGCCGCGGCAGGTGTATCAGGCGCAGGTGTAGCAGTAGGTTGCTCCGAAGGGGCCGGAGTTCCATCCACCTGGGTCGTCTCGGCCGGCGCAGCAGGAGTGGCGGACTGACGATCCTTTTCACGCTTCTTTTCTTCGGTACGCAGGAAGGCTTTGAGGGTGGTCCGAAGAGCTTTATTCGGTTTGCAGAGGTCGGATGAAAGGGGAGTATGTGCGCAAACTGGACAGGTATCGGGCAAGGATGCTTGGCCTAGGCATCATTGTAGTTAGCAATTGTCGACACGCGAGCAAGTCTCGAGGCACGGTAACTTACACGTTTCACAAATCGCTTGCTCGCAGCAAGGCAGCCGGAACGCATTTACCGCTAGCTTGTTGCAAATTGCGCAACGCAGCTTGAATGGAATCTCATCCTGGGTAAGAGTACTTTTGACCGTCAGCTTATTGTCTTGCGGAACTGGTGAAAACGAACTTGGAGAGATTCTCACATACCTCGCGATATCCATCAAGCCCGAAGGCTGCTCTGCCGCCGCCATTGGGAAAATCGAAGCCGGTTCAAGTCGTCTCCAAACGGCCGCTTAAAAATAAAAAAAAAGCTCACGAGGAAGAACCGACAATCACGGGGAGGACAGCAGACATGACTGAAATGCCATGAATCGAGCAAAGTTGCGTCCGGTCCCGAGAGCGCGAGCAGAACAGCGAGAGTAGAAAGACGAGGCAAACGTTTATCGTTGTTGATTCCGTTTGCTGTCAAAAAAGACGTCCGATTCTGCCAAATTCGGCGATGGAGTCGGAGCGGAGGAACGTGGGGCCGGTGGGTTACTATGTAGCTTCGAGATACAGAGTAGCATAGGCTTTCCTATGCTGCTAGTTCAACAGATATGCAGAAGTGACTGGCAGCATTGTTGAAATTGAAGCTGCCATGGCAATCTAGAGTACACTGGTACTTGCTACGCCATACCAGCTCTCCAAGAACTACCCTATACGAAACATGACTGGAGTCGCAGTACTGACCGCCTAGCTAGTCTACATAAGAGGCTTGCCTTTATTACTAGGAACCAGCTGTTAAGCAGGTTATGGTGGCTAGAGTCAGCCTCCGTCAAGCCAGCCTCGCAGCACAGCAGGAGTATAAATTACCACAAGAGGATAAATATGGGAAGTAATATGGTCAACGGCTGAACCAACAGCATCCGGGCGCTATGAGGCAGGACACCCCTGTGCAGCATATAACAGGCAAAACACGACGCATGTCAGATTAGATCAAGTTATGGACCCTCATCGACAGTCGCGTCGTAGACATAATCAGAAGACCGGACGGCGATACCAAAGGGTTTCTGCTCGACGCGATCTCTGGTGACTGTTTCGGGGCTCTTGGTATCATCATCCGCGTGTGATATTGATGGTATTTAATTATGTTCAAAGTGAAGAGAATCAGGGAAAGGAAGGAATAAGCTGAAAAGGGTGGATAGAGATAAACAATGGACTCATCAGAACAATGGAGTGATATCGCTATGCAGGTAAGTATACAAATTCCGGGGTGGACATGAATATAAACCGAGTACGGAGTAGATGGAGTACAGTAAAGAAAGCACTAGTGTCGCAAATCCCAACAAGTCAAGGATGGTGAAGAATATGTAGAACAGTGAAGAACACAGTGAAGAATCCTTATATACCAGTGAAGATGTCAACAGAGCATTCCCCGGACCAGGATCAGAAGAGCAAATAGTCATGACTGGATCATCCACACAAACGAGAAAAAAAAATATTTTTAGCGTTTGGCGCAGGGTTAAAAAGGGCCACTGCTGCCCGCTCTGCCGCCCGGACTTCTTGCTTCCTTCGGTCTTGTTTCCACGCACCTCTCCGGTTCTATTGCCACGTCCATTCGCGATCCATAACATCGCCGTCAGCGTCATCGCGACTGCTTGCGATACTACTATACAACAACTTATTACCAGAGTAGTCTCTGTTCACTGTGAGATGCTCTAATTTCTTTCCTTGTCTCTAAACTTTTTTCTTCCACATAATATACAAGGTACATCACGTTGTCAACTCCTGTCAAACAGCTCGTCGCTTCTTCCCTATTGTTAACGCCGATTCCCCAGCAATGACAGACCAGGATAATTCCTACAGACCTCGATCCCCCGATTTCTCCTCCTTCCAGTCCAACTTCCCTCCCCCTGCCGCCACCAGTCCTACCTATCAATTCAATCCGCTGGGCCACCACCGCTCTTCCTACGACGCCTCCGCGTTCTTCACCCCGCAATACCACCAGCGGCCGGCCGCTACACAACAATACGTGCCTCCGTTCTCCCCCGGTTACCCTATCCAGGATTTCGATATGGCCCGGAGATCATCTCGCATTGCACGCGCATCCGAAGTCGACCCCGCGCCCGAATCAAAATACTTCGAGGAACACAGTGAGCCCGAGCCGTCAGAGGAGATGGCGGACTTTGAGCCTGAACCTGAATTTAAGCCTGAGCCCGTGGAGCTGGAGCAGCCGATCAAGGAAGAGGTCACGGAGGAGGTCAAGTCGCGTCCCGGGGAGGGGATAGAGGTCAAAACTAAGTTTCCGGTGGCGCGCATTAAGCGCATTATGCAGGCGGATGAGGATGTCGGGAAGGTTGCGCAGGTTACCCCGATTGCAGTTTGTACGTACCTTTTCTCTTTTTCCTCGGGTATAAAATGTTGATGCTAACTACCAACAGCCAAAGCATTGGAACTCTTCATGATCTCCCTCGTCACCAAAGCCGCCAAAGAAGCCAAAGACCGCAATTCTAAACGCGTTACCGCGTCGCATTTGAAACACGCTGTTGCTAAGGATGAGGTTCTAGACTTTCTGGCAGATATCATCGCCAAAGTCCCGGACCAACCCAGTCGGAAACAGGATGATGATGGAAGCGATCAGAACGAAGGGAAACGAAAGCGCGGAGGCCGACGACCGAAAGAAGATAATAGTGACTAGACCCTGGCGGTTTTGTTTGGATTCTTTGCGCGGTGTTGGTTCCGTGACGTCTTTCCTTTTTGTTTTATTCTATCTGTGGACGACTTGACGGGCTTCTTTAGACTGGATAGGAAAGCGGGCGCATCTTCATGTTATTATGTTCTTTGGCGTTGTGGTGGACATGGTTGGGTTGCATCTTTCCATGTGAATATCCGTATACGTTTTTGGGAGGAATGATTGGGTCTCAGAGATGTCTGATAATTGAATAATCTTCCATTTCATTTTAATTTTTTTTTTTTTCTTTTTACACTTAGTTGTAGTTGTAGCTGTATATGGTGCTAGTAACAGCCTTATACTCCGTTGTTGATAATCGGTCTTGGCGCGTCTCCCTCGACTATCTTCCCCTCCGCTTGACCACCTCGATTGGCTTCATGGACAAGCTATAATATGCTGTCCTAATCATGGATTTTGTGCGTACATACTCCTATCTCTCGATCCAATCCTGTCTCTGGCTAATAGATAATAACAGTGGTCTCGTCTCATCGGCGGCTCCCGTTCGCTGACCTCTAAGAGTTTCCGCGCAACATCACCAACTGAGCGATTAACGGCTTTCAAACGAACCTGCAATAGCCTCCAGGTAAGCTTCTCATCCTCATCTCACCGACCTTAAAACTATCAGTCAATTCTAATTGTACGTGGCAGCAAATCTGGCGCTCCAGCAGCACCCCTATCGACCAACAATCCACAGCCACCCACTCCCGCAACTACATCGAACGCCTAAACTCCGTCCTCAGCGATGAATCCCGTGGCCCAGCACCCCATCCCTGTCTCCAATATGCCTCCTCCTCCCAGATCTTCGTAACAGTCACCAAGCTCGCGCTCTCCAGTTACGACGACAACACGTTGCGCTGCGCGGCTGTCTTCTTCAACACCCTGATCGATGCGGAGGTCGATGGCGTCGTTGACAACCGGTTGTTTGCGAGGGCGCTGGTTGATCTCGTGAGGAGGGCAGATAAGCATTCGGAGGATGTGGAGGGGAGGCTTGTGGAGTTGTTGTTTGGAGTTGCGAATAACATTCGACTGCAGCCGGGTATTCTGCCGGCTTGGTTTGCGCCGAGGAATGAGGGGCTGGATGGACAGGAGGGTGATAGTGGGCAGCGGCAGAGTATGAGTGGGAAGGAGTTTGAGGGTGCCACGAGAAAGGATGACTTTCCGTTGTTTTATCTGCTGGTTGAGTATGTGCACCATGAGGGACGGGCGGGTGATTTTGCTCGTACGGGATTGCTCTATTTGATTGAGACGGCTTCGCGGTCGAAGCATCTGGAGCGGTGGTTGATTGAGAGTGATTTGGCGACTTTGATGGCCACCGGTTTGGGTGCACTCTACAGTCAGCTGGGAAGGTAAGATTTACATTGAGCCATGTGGCGGTCCTGGGCTAACCTCTTGCAGTCTATCATTCATCCCCCCTGAAGAGAACCCACCGCATATCATTGCTTTGTCGGACCATGCTGGGCAGGATACTGCTATCGCACCCTACCTGGGTTCTCCTATGAGATCATTCATGTCGTATCTCTTGTTCTGGCAGGATACGATTGACCATTGCAAGTCAGCAGAAGTCAACGGGAACCTTTTAGATCACTTCCAAATTCTATTTTTGGAACAGCTATTGTAAGCTCTTACGCCCAATTCAGACTGACCATGCTAACCTTTAAGATATCCATCTCTACTGGAATCGTCAGATGTCGAAGGAGGATCCACCGCCGCAGTACTAACCTACCTCTACCGTATCCTGGAATCAGTGGTGCAAGATGATCTGGTCCACCGCATTCTTCATTTCCTGCTCGCCTCGGACTCGGGCAAGGGGAAAGTAGACATGTCAGTCAGCAGACGGAAGTCACTGGACGTATTGGCAGCATTTGCAGAGGAATCGGCTAAACCGTCACCATCTCTGTTTAACCTGCGGGATCTTGCACTGCTTGGTCTGCAGTCGTCGAGCCGTCAGACTATCCTGGCAACGCTACGTCTGCTAACAGTCGTTCTCCAGCGTCATCATCCTTTCACGCGGTCCTTGATCCGAACGGTACCTGGGCAACCGGCCAAGCAGCGTACCGTCGGGGCATTGAATGCAGAGCTGGGGAATATGGTCTCGATGGCTACCTCCATTGTGAATGATCCAACCCTAGACGAATCATATGACAACTACCTCAAAGACGCCTCGTGGATACTAGAGGCTCATTTATGTATCGCCCCCGCCGAATCAAGCCCCGATGACCCTACAGCTGATCGACCACTCGAACTCCAACAAGGCGATGGTTTAATACGCGAATTACTGAATTGCCTGCGTAATTTCTTCACCAACAGCGTCGTGGTCAACCTGGCCCTAACCGAAGTCCTAATGAGCATCGCATCCTCACACCTCCTATCCCTCGATGGCTGGATCCTTGTCGATCCTGCCAAATATAACTACCCCAACCCATCAACCCCCACAACCGACGAGAACAAGAACATTCTGGACGAAATCCGCCTCGCATATGAAGAACCAACCTGGTCCTCCGAAGACGCCCCAACCCTAACTTCCATCCTCCAACACCTCGTCCAACAAACCCAAGAATGGCGCAAAATCCTTCCCGACTTCGACATCCTCGTGGCAGCCCGTCGGGACCTCCTTCACCAAGAAGACGAGCCCGTCAACCCCAACACAAACCCGCGCAGCAGCACCGGACGCCTTTCTACCGCTACTATTTGGGACTCTGATATGAATTTTGCCCGCGGTCGTGCTCGATCGTCGCTTACCCGTGGGCTAGGCAGTGCGTCTGCATCACCGCGTACTTCGACAAGTGCTTTTGGTTCTCCGCACAGAGGGCGAGACCGGTCCTCTTCGCTTGCTCGGCCACTCGCGTCTCGTGAATCATCACTGGCGCGGACAGAGGACTTGCGGAGACGGTTATCTGCGCCGTTTTTCCCGTCTGCACCAGCGAATCCTGTTCCGAAACGTGACAATCTACCAACAACAACGGAGGAGCCACAAGAGCAGGAGCAAGAACAAGGTGAATCCGAAGAACAGAAACAGGATGAAAGCAAAAAGGAACAAACAGGAGAACAAGGAGAAACTAACGAAGATGAATCAGCTATTTTGGATGAACCGCCCCCATCCGCATCGCTGGGCCATGTTCTAACGAATGTGATAATTCTCTACGAGTTCCTGCTGGAACTCTCGGCTACGGTGCAGGTTCGGGGGAGTTTGTATGAGGAGGCTGGATTTCCGGGAGTTGGAGTAGAGGGATCTGTTTGATGGTTCTGTTATTTAGCTGGGATTGGATGGTACATTTATAGATGGTGAATATATCTTTTTAACTATAATTTCTCTCCCTCTTTTAAAAGACATCTAAGAACATCTATAATTGAACAGTACCGAGCGATATACAATATCGATTGATCCTTTGTCTAATTTTCTCCACGGCGAGAAAAAAAAAAAAAAAAAAAAATAGAGCCTTCTTTTACCTTAAAGCTGGCCGTGACTGCCTGCCTCAAACGTTTCTGTGAGGTGAATCTCAATTTGAAGAACTCCTTCCATGTTGACGGAAAGCAGATAGTTAAGTGGTCTCAAATACAGCTTCACTAATTGTACGAGTTTCCAAATTCTACACATAATATACATATAGAAACCCGATGCGCCGAAGCTAGATAGCTCTCAGTTTCCATGTTTATTCGTTGAAACCAATGAAATCCTCTACACAGTACACAGTACTTATATTTTTGTTCCCCACAGGCAACGTATTCGCTGCGGTTCAACTAGTGCACACACATGATTACCTGTGTAGGCTATCTATGGGTGTTTTCTCGGATCCGACGCCCTTGAGCTTCCAGAGTCTGTTTTATATTCCAGATTCCCACAATCAATGGAATCGAATCTTTGAATATATGATTTTACGTATATTCCGGTCAAGATGCCGATGCAGAAAGCATCCAATATTCCACCGGGATCTACAACAAATATATATACAAAGTGCGAATTAGCTCAAAGCCCTATTCTCTGGATATGTATTGTTACTTCAACCTGTTTATGACATAAATTCCTAGTCTAATATGTCCCATCTGTTATATAATACCCGTATCAAAGGATACCATCGATAATCGACGCCGAAAAGTCAACTGACAGCCTCGCTCAGTCTCACCGACGATTTCATACAGCAACCAGTCTCATTTGTTCACTCTGCAGTGCCTTCATCTAGGCTACCGTCACCGATCTTGTTAAGCCGCGGCGAGAATAGTCGGGCAAACAAGGCTGTGCAAAGGTGATGGCAAGATCATAAGCTCGTCTTCTGTTGATTCATCTAGTCGACTTTCAGAATTCTCTCAACAGAGATGATGGTTGATTTGTGTTATTCTTCCATGTTATTTCGATTACCATCTTTCTTCATTGAGTATTCGTACTACGCCTTCGATCTTCAGTCATGGAACACGAAAACACGGAGCATAATGCTAGCACGATACCAGATCTGGACTAAGAACTATCAAAGGCTTCTCAATTACGCACTCCCCCACCTTTCTATTTACATAACCCATTGGATACATTTTTTCACGGGGACAATTCGGACGAGCTTGTGAAGCAAATTGAAGAGAGAGTCCAATTACTGGGCCATGTTGGACTGCTTCATATGAGTAATCTCCTGAGCAGCACTCTCGACAAGATTAAATATCGTCTTGTGGAGACATCCGGGGTAGCACCGTTACTGCCGACACCAGAGGCATCAGAAAGATCGAGTTTGTATTCTTGCCTCCTATGTGCGCCGGACGGTCGACGCACCTATTCTGCAAAGGGCACATTTCGACGGCACGTGGAATGGATGCATGTGTCCCGATATGATTTTCGTTGTACGTAGTGCGAATATAAGGCGCATAGAAAAGACAGATTTCGAAACAACTTACGGAAACATGGTTCGGAGCCTGGAGAAATAAAGATATTTTTTGTACCAGCGCCATCGACCTGTTACATTTGCTCGAAAGTGAGGTCCTGGAGCGCATTTTTCGATTGTGTTGCAGAACATTGTTGTTATCATTTGTCGGACGCTTTCGGTGGATTCAGGTGATGGCTCTATGGTTATGAACGCATCTACCATTACAGGTTTGTTCGATCCGTGGCAAGCTAAGCATACCGGTGATGACAATGGGAAAAATAACGAGCGGGTTAAACGGATCAAAACAGAGCCAATAGATCTCAATAGAGATGGTTATGACTTGCCATTCTCGGATGCCACTCTCTTTGAGGAAGATGCTCATGGTTGCCCAAATGCAGGTGTGCTCTCAACTGGCAGAGCAGCAAACTTGTCATTGGAACCCACAAATACCATAAGGCCTGAGTAGGGGACACCCAGACACGCTGAGAAGGAGGGAAAGAAAAAGCTAGAAACACGATTGCAGCAGGTAAGGCAAATTGGGCAACAGTTTATGGGAATGAAAGAAGAACAAGAGCTGGATGAAATGCATTGGCCACTCGAGACAGGCACCTCGGCAGATCCAGAAACTGACCAGCGCGATACGTTGGAATCCTTACTGAATTTTGTTAAGTACTACGGAGATCTGATAAACTTTAACTGGACACTGTTCGGATATGCGATATCAATCGAAATCTTTTCTATTCGCCTGACTATTCCTTGGGTGGGACAGGACCTTACTCCGCCTTATCTGAGTGCATTGGCGCGCTCTTGAAATGTGTCGACGCGTTCCTCAATCTCCAAAAAGAGGGATTTTGTGAGCGTGTGTTCACAATTCTAGCAGAGGATCCATTTAGATCAGAAGTCGCAGAAATCGTTTATGTTCCGTTGGAAGACTTGCAATCAATAGTTGCCTCACTTTCTGCTCCGAAAACGTCAGAGTGGGAGGAGAGCCTCAGCACATGGTTTTGCCTCTCATATGGAAGCTTCAACGTCGCCCGAAAGAAGAGAATCTGTATTCAAATATAGCGCCAGACTTAGCACCCCATGAGTGGTTGCCATCCCTCAGCTTCCTATGCATAACGTTACCAATTGGTCTCGTATCCTTCCCTGGCTCACATGTTTGTCGATTCGACATCAGCCTTCTCAGTGAACCAATGGAAACAATTCCAGTCAGATTCGGTCTCAAATTCATACTGCGGAAACTGGCATTCCTCGATGATTTTATTGGCGGCCCTGCATGGATTCTGGAAAAGCATGACCTGACACCATCACCAAGAAACTGGAATTAAAGTTTCCCTTACCGTTCAGATTTTCAAGCAGCTCTGGGGGCCAATATGGCTGCTTGATAGAGACCCACTCCAAGCCCCAGTTATAAAGACCAAAAGGGGCTTTATTATTCCCCTGACTGACGGAAATCAGCATGACATACAGCATAGTAACTTACCATATGAGGTCGAGTGTCACTGGGCCAAACAACCATCCCAGTCTTTTACTTCATATAAGTGCCAGCAGGATCCTCTCTTGAACACTATCACGCGGATATTGATTGGAACCACTAGTGATGCGGCAAATTTTGGATTCGTCGTCAATGATGAGTGCCAAAGCCAGATTGATTCAATACAACAAAGTATTGCCGGTCAGCTCGAGTTCCCAGGGCCATGCAAAGCTCATTACGTTCGTGATGGCTGCAGGATGAACTTTGGTGGCGGTCAATACGTCACGAGAGGAAATTCCAAGAGCTGGAAAAGAAGGCCAGCACGAACGTACAAGAGCGCATTTATTGAGCATTGCACCAAGTCAGATGCCAAGGTGGCACCGCTCTTAAAGCTCCAGATTGGCCTTGAGATCAGTGCGCGTACTTGGAACGCCGGCGAATCTCCCCCTGGGATGCGCTTTGTCTATCACAGACGAAACGCGCGAACGCAAAAGCTAGTATGGCCGCATCGCCGACATCGGACGAGCACAGTATTGCTGATTGTATCAGCTCCTGCTGGGACAAAGGAAACTATTCCAGGGGCAAAAGAGTGAACTCTTTTGGAGACGAGCTCATGGGACAGCAGGTATTGAGCGACTACGATGCCTGGCGCGGAATAACCAAGTCCATTTTAGCGCTTCAACGCACTGGAGTCGATCATAAAAGAGGCCTGCAGGCCTGGTGGTCATTTACCAACACTCCACAGACCTACCGCGTGCCACCCAATGAAGTTAATGATTGGTTTCGTGTCGTCGAAGATTCCCCAGTAACTGCGACCTTCGCTGTCGTCAGTAAACGCTGCTGCTTGGAACTTGGAGAGCAGGGGATTGCCCGGCAATGCTCAACACCATGCAGAAACGGTCATGTTCGATTTGCAGACTAGCCTGTTGACTCGAATCATGCTAGACCCTCTACTTCTGTCTGCACGTAACAGCAAAAGAAGCAGCGAGATGACCTGCCAGCAGAAGAGACGATTGGTCTGATCCAGGACACCAAGGTGGCCATGGGAGAAGCACAACTAACCGTCGAGTGTGAATTGAAGAACAATAGAAGGGCTGTAATCGCATCAGTCAGTACAAATCCCGTGTATAGACTGGGGACTCGACTACTAGCGAAGGGAAGATTTTCAAGGCCCGTGAGCAAGTAAGAGATGAAATCACGATAGGGTCAACATTCCCGGTGGTTTTTTATTGAGTATGAGAACAGTTAGTCATCAGTTTGGATAGATGGATACCATAGAATATCAAGAGGAGTTCCCTAAAGAGAAGGACTCGGCTACAGAAGCCACATTATACCAGCCACATCCTAATGCAGAAGTGGCGCGTGTCCCCTTAGGTTGTACTTTCGCAAATGATTATTGGCTACCCCTGATTCAGTATCGCAATTATTACTGGCTGGTATAGTGGATCCACGTGCTAGCGTGGTACAGCATGATTGGCGGGCATATTTAGCACGGAGTTTCCAGAAAGCGGGTGGAAGCCTTTCAGTTGGAGTCCTCGGTTTTCGGGGGACAATAAGCAGTATTGATGCTGGGGAATACCGGCATGCTGGCATACTGGCCAGGACACTGACAACTTGCTATCCCGATGTACTTGTATAGAGAATAGGGAATGTAAATATTGAATACATACGTAGCAATCGTGGCGTGGACATCAAATGTCATATTTGACAGGCGAGTCCACCTGCAGTTCCGGCCTTGGCTTCGTGTTCATCTCCTGATTGTGTCAGCGCTCTGCCCCCTCTTCCTCTTTCATCTCTCTAAAATTCATTTTTCGTGGATTATTGTTATTCTATCCCTATCCCCAATGTGAATCATTATTCTATCCCGTCTCCTTTCCCTCTATATATACTGCGCGACATGAACCATGCCTTCCGATGCGGCACATGACCCTTTTGAGCGTGAAGATGCCCCGTTCTTGCAGTCCTCTGAGGGTGACAACTCCCCGATCTCGCCCCTCGACGAACCGAAACACCATAATTCGGAAGAGAGGGATCCAGCATCGCAGAAGCTCCGGCTGCGGTTACTCCTTACCCTCTTCGCCGTCGTGCTCGCCGTGGAAATGGGTCTGAACATGGCCGACAGCCCTATGGTCCGGATCTACGAGTCGATTACCTGTCGCCATTATTATGCCCAGCATGATTCGTCGCAGATTGGTGCGGATGGCCAGGTTGAGGAGGAGCTGTGTAAGGTGAAGGACGTGCAGACTGAGCTGGCGGCTGTGAAAGGGTACATGGAGTTCTTTGATGGGTTGTTGAGTATGGTTATTCTTGGCGGTATACCGGCTGCGCCCTGGTTGCTTACATGCTGGCAATAGGCGTCTTCCTTGCAATTCCTTACGGCCTGCTCGCGGATAGGTACGGACGAAGGTGGGCCATCTGCCTCAGTGTCCCCGGCTTTGTCCTGAACTCCGCCATCATCACTCTTGTGATGTGGTTCTCTGATATATTCCCTTTGCGCGCGGTATGGCTGTCATCTCTGGCGTGGTTGTGCGGTGGTGGTCCTGTCGTTGCGTTCGCGATTATTTGGACGATGATGTCGGATGTGACGACGGAAGATGAGCGGTATGTCTTTGTCACCAACTGAAGACTGTGACGCGTATCTGACTCTAAGCAGAGCTTCGATTTTCTTCAAATTCGCGATCGTCACCATGGGTGGTGAACTCATATCCAACGCGCTTGGTTCGTGGCTAATGGCCATGAATCCTTGGATTCCCATGTTACTCGGTTTCACTCTGGCCTTTGTAGGCATGCTCTTCGTATTAACGCTCCCGGAGACCATGCCTGTATCGCCTTCAAAGGCCAATCAGCCGGAAATGACGGCTGTGGAAATGGGACATTTGAATGGTAGCCGCAGGGAGCCATACAAGGACGACAGCGAAGATGAGCACGCGTTCACAGAGAAGACCAGGACTACGTCCAGCAGCCGATCTCTCTTCTTCACTCTCTATACGAGATGTCGAAACTACTTCGCACCTTATGCCTTCATATTCCGCAACAAGCAGATCCTTCTTCTTCTCGCAGCATTCCTGGTCTACCGCCTCAGTCGAGGCTCATCATGGTTCCTTGTCCAGTATATTTCCACCCGATACTCCTGGTCCTTGGCAGAGGCCAACTTCCTCATGTCCCTCCGGCCTTGTCTCACCATTCCACTTTTCCTCTTCATCCTCCCTGGAATCTCCAAATATGCCCTCCGAAATTTCCGCACCTCTCAGAAGAATCTCTATCTCGCCCGTGCCAGCGTTTTCACTCTGTCCGTAGGCACATTAGGCGTTGGTATCTCCCCAAACGTCACCTCATTCATCCTAAGCATGACCGTCCAGGCCTCTGGAGCGGGATTCCTCTTCCTGACACGGGCACTACTCACAGTGCTAGTGAGACGAGAAGAAACCGCACGGTTATTTACAATCATGGAGCTGCTACAGTCCGTGGGCAACGTGATTGCCAGTTTATCTATCACAAAAGTCTTTCAAATTGGCTTGGAGTTGGGTGGTCCTTGGATTGGGCTTGCTTGGATGATGACGAGCACGGCGTTTGCCCTGGTGGGTGTGTCCATTTGGATGTTCCGGTTGCCTCCTGTGACAAAGGCGAGGGAGGAAGAAACTGAAAGGGAGGTGTAAATGTTGTCTCTCTTTATTTTCTATCCATATATAGGCGCATTGGGTTTTTTTGATATTTGTACATATATTTCTTCCGGTAACTATACATTATGAAGAATTAGACATTGACACCAAGAGGAGCAACAATGCACTGTGCATGATGGAATACTTGAATATAGAGGCTTTCGCGGGGCTTGACACTGGTAGTCACTATTAACACATTGAAGACTGGACTTGCAGGTGAGATGGCAAAGGGAGGCCTAACTAGTTGGGTAGTTTATGCCTCAGGTATCAAATTTGAGCATGGGGTCCTCAGGCACTAATACGGCGTCCTCTGATTGGCGGAGTCCAGCACGACCCCAAGTGTTCACATGCGGGCATGTTTTTTCGCTTCGGCTTCTTGATTGTCGCTCTGAATGTGTGATGATCTTCTAGAATTTTAGCCTTATTCCTTCCTCACCCCTGCCTCTTTGCTCTCGGCTACTACTCGATTTCATATCGCGCGCAAACCGTTGAGTCGAGTCAAGCTTACACCCGACGTCACTCACATGGAGAAGTTCTCCCAATTCCGGGATCGAGGTACACTCTCTTTACTTGAACACTGGCACCGGAGAATAAACTAACAATAAATCTACTAGGATCCGGAATCGCACCGTTCCTCCCGATTCCCGCCCAACCGTCGGGCTACCAACTCCCTCTGCGCGTGTTCCTGTTCTTCTTCCGCCTCCCGCTCTTCATCTTTGTGTGCTTCACCTACTTTGCCATTTTACAATGGTTTCCGATCGGGTCGCTGGGGAAGAAGGCGTCGCTATGGTGTATTCTGGGGGTACCTAGTATTTGGTGGATTGACCTCCAGATTGATGGGGTGCGAAAAGGGTGTGTTTACGTTACCCGGGATTTGTTTGGATTATTGCTGACATGGTTGCAAAGATCGCTTTCAAGACAGCAGCAGGCTCGTCTCCCCGGTCCAGGATCAATTATCGCTTCGTCCTTTACCTCTCCCATCGACGCCATATACTTAGCCGCCATCTTCGATCCTATCTTCACCGCATCATTCCCTAATACCCGCCAGGTCGAACACATCTCCCTCCTCCAGGCAATTCTTCGCGCGTTCGCACAGCCCCGCGTCAGTCCACCTCCCGGGACACGGATGGTCGATGTCTCGACACTTTTGGAGAAATACCCCAACCGACCAATCGTGACCTTCCCCGAATGCACGACCACAAACAGCCGCGGTATCTTGCCTCTCAGCCATTCGCTACTGGGTGCGCCCCCGCAGACGAAGATTTTCCCTGTGAGCCTGCGATATACCCCTGTGGATGTTGTCACGCCGCTGCCGGGAACCTATCTGAGCTTCCTATGGACGCTGTTGAGCAGGCCAACTCACTGTATACGTGTTCGCGTTGCCGAGTCGGTGGTTAGTGGAGCGGGAGCGGGCATGAGTCAGGTCAGCAAGAGCATGAAGCAGGAAAGAGTTGGGAGCCCCGAGGCCGCGATTACTCCAGCTGAGAAGGGATTGTTGGATAATGTGGGTGAAGCACTGGCTCGATTGGGTCGCGTCAAGCGTGTCGGATTGGGGGTCAAGGAGAAGCAGGACTTTGTACGGATGTGGACTAAGACGCGACGGACGTGGTAGTGCCACTTACGGACTTGTATAGACGAATTACCAAGTAGTTTCTTGTATATTATCTTGCCTCAACATGGGCAATGGGGTCCGCGTCCGTTTTCCATGGAATACCACGAACTCACTTGAATCAATCACGGGTACTTTACGGTTTGGTCGGTCAGCCAATCTGGTTCGATATGAACAGATCAGTTGTGGGTACTCAATCGATCACCGACCCATCGGCCATTCCTTCGAATCCATCTTTACCGGGTGACTTATCTGCGGCCCAAATACGCATCAAGATCGACCATGCGAGCTTCATGCAGAATATGTTACCCATGCGTAATGCACGGAGCCAAGAGTTTATGGGAAAGCACGGAGTCTGGGTTTCATTGGGATCGGCTTCTAGTGAGATCCGCCGAAGATCAGATCTACTGTTGTGCTTTGTCCTTGATTGGAAGGCAATTGCTGTGTTGGTGCATAGATCGAATCATAAAATATGTCAGTGTGCGATAGTTTGGGTGACAACCTGCTTCTTTCGTTCTGGGTCAACATGCTTGTTGTTTTGTTCTCCGGACACCTAGCATCGTCTCTACACCCATCCCATGAAGGGAACAGAAGATAGAAACGGGGGATATTTGCAATGGCATTAATGACAGACTCCAGCAACAATGTCAATCACCATTCTGGGCGCTCTTTGACTCTAGAAAAGGGCGAAGTGACACCTCGACCTTCGGCAAATGCCACCCCCAATGGCGGCCTTATAGCTTAGTTGCAGGTTGTTGGGTCTTTTATGGCTTTCTTGAATACATGGTACAACGCCTTTTCCTCGCGTATATTTTGAATTGTTGCTTATAGGTGCAGGGGCATTGTGGATTCCTTTGGCGCCTTCCAAAGCTACTACAGCTCCGAGCTCCTCAGCGATGTCTCCTACTCGAATATCTCGTGGATCGGCTCCATCCAAGGCTTTCTACTCTGTCTCACGGGATTTCTGACTGGTCCATTGTTCGACGCGGGATACGCTTATTGTCTGATATACATTGGCTCCTTTCTCGTGGTGTTTGGCATGTTCATGGTCAGTCTGTGCACAGAGTACTGGCAGGTCATAGGTCATGCTGGCGCAGGGCGTCTGCATCGGTCTGGGCAGTGGTTGTCTATTTATTCCCAGTGTTGGTATCATACCAACCTACTTCAGTACTCGTAAAACGCTCGCAATGGGTCTCGTAGCGTCGGGGAGCAGCATCGCTGGGATTTTCGGGACGCGGATGGGCATGAGTACGCTTTGTGCCGGATTGGGGACGTCAGTTGGGAATCCGGTCGCCGGGGCGATTGTGGAAAGCAGGAGTTGGGTGGGAGTAAGCTTATTTTGTGCTTGTGCGCTGGTAGTAGGGACGATATTTGTTGCTGGTGCGAGGGATGTGAGGAGTCGGAGGGAGATGGAGCAGGTGTAGGTGTAGGTATTACGAGTTACGATATCATAGACTACAGCTTGAGAAAAGTGCTTAGACTCGTCTTTTTCACCCCGCTAACATAAAGCTTGAAACTATAGCATACTACCCCTCGAGTTGGGGGTCGCTAATGGTCGTTTTTCCTCCATAACAATTCAATTTACTGCCATTTCGGCCAACTGTAACGCCAGAGTATAGGGCCTAGGCGTTTATATGATCCAATCCTTGACCATATTTTCTTTTAGCCAGGGATGATATTTTCCACCCACTTTGAATCGAGAGATATGTTCATTGACTTCAATATGATCTCTCAACAATTCAATGGCCCATTTCTTTTCTGGTATATAGAAATCCACTTGACCATGCCTGGTTCTTGACCATTCACTGGATATCGGTACACCTTGTCCCGCTGTACGGACAAAGCCCCTGTAGAACTCTGCTTGATACTGGGCTTCCATTGGTCTGGGTTGTGATGCAGTTGACATTTCTTTGCCCTCAGCTGAGTGTCTCAAGTTCATGATGGAGAATTTGCTAGAGTGTCACTCGGGGCGTGGTGGGGTGGGTTTTGGCAGGCAATGCCCCGCCCCAGCGGGCTTTGGGGCGGGGTGAGCCATGATGCTGCCCGCCCCAAAACCCCGAGACTCCATGGGGCGGGGCCCCAGCCCGCCCCAAATTCTCGGTGTTTTCTGTATTTCCATACCAATTAAGGTATCGACGACATCAACCTGACATGGAGCGACCGCTAAAAGACATATATATTGGTATGTATACATATAGGATAGATAGAGGAATCAGCATAGAATATAAGTTGTGACGGTTAGCGGGGCGCCAGAAACGGCTCCCATTGAACCATCCTTCTGCCGAGCCCTACCGCCTGCCGTCGACGGGAATACCATTGCCCTTTGCGGTATGGCGTCTACTGTATCAGGGATAGCGCCGCCTCACGCTGCTTGATGAAAGTCGAGGTGGATCAATAGTTTGTCCGATTACCGAGGCCGACAGATCCCTCATATACGGACACACACTCGTTTAGATAGCCAAGCACTCATTCTACCATCTACGGTGTCTATAGATATCATTGTCACCCTCCGTGTAATCTAAATTTCTTCTTCATATATAGCCTCGTGCAGTCCGGATAATCGACTCCCCGACTTCCCCGACTCGGAGTTAACCGCCTTATTGGTTTATCCGTTTCACTGCTTTTAGGCTGGTCACATGCCGCCTCAACACATCCATTGCATCTATAAAAGCCCGACATCTCCCCCTCAAAGAACCACGCACTTTCTCTTCTCTTTTTCCCTCTCCTGTCTGCCTTGCCCGGTGCACTGCCTTCTTACCAAGATGCCGCATTATCCGACTATTACCCTTTTCCAGTATGGCGCCGGAGTGACCGACAGTCATCTGAATGATTGAGACATTGAGACCTTGTTACTGTCGCTTCATTGGAAATTGACCTATCCACATCACCCCCTAATGCTGTGCTGCTGCTTATGTTTGCAGTTATGGGCCCCTTCATGCGTGGTTCGCCAGCTGATCAGCGACTTTTGAGTTTTTGGCTGTTGCTTCTGGCCATGCCATCCTATTTGAGCTTTCCTTTGAGGACTTCTGGATGCTCAGCTGCCTTGCTATGGTCTTTTATCTCAAAATCCCATTATTTCTTCTTCAGCCAGGCTCCCAGTTCTCTGCATGGAAAAGGGAATTTCCTGGTTATCCGGCATCCAGGTCTGTCTGAGAACTGGATGGTGCCTCTCCCCCTCCACAGCCGTCTTTCGACCCCACAAAGATCAATTAATTTACGTATCCTCGCCATGTTTACCAGCCAATGGCGAAATTACTGCATCCTTTCTAATTCAGCGTGTTTGACATGCGAGGTTTGGAGATGCAACACCCAGATGCGATTGGCGCAGGGCACTGGATCTCGGCCTCCAGGCGTCACTAGTAGATGAAAATAGACACGTCAGCAGATGAGATTTTCAGGACGAGAGAAATTCGCCTCATTGCTTCTGCTGATGAGAAAGGTGGAATGGTGGACTTGGTAGACCGAGGGCAAGTATAAAGAGGACAATTGAGGCCGCAGAGGTTGCAACATCTCTACTCAATTCTCCCACAACCCGCACTCTTCCCTCTTTCCAATCATCTGTCTGTCACAATATATCCCTAAACATCCCCATTTCCTAAAATATGCCCCCTACCTTTCACATGAACAACTTCAAGCCGTGGGCTCGCTCTTACAGAAAGCCATTCTCACCATACAAATCACCCAATTGTAACAGCTCAGCCCAGCGCCTTCATCAGCAAACATCATCAACACGGCAAACAATGCCATGGAAGCAACCAAGGCAAACAAGCTGCTTAGCGAGACCACACACAACCGTATAGGACTTCTTCATGTAAATAGATTTGCCTCTTCTCTTTTCTTCTCCAGATTCGATATTCTAGTCGATGGCTACACTGGTTTAGATAGGAATATCATTTCATTAGTATCTACTGGTCCGAGCTCGTGACCAATCCATACACCCCAAGAACCCAAAAATCCCCTCGCCCCAAGCCTTATCATGATTCCCTTCCAAGCACTTTGCCACTTCCTAAGCATAATCTCCCTGCACGGCCACCAGCCGAAGTTTGTGTGCATATCAACGCAAACACTCAGTTGTGTACATCATCAAGCTCTCAATCTCAACCACTGGAAATATCTGTACCAGAACAGAATACATATCTGGAGACTCCTAAGCACGGCACAACATCTCCCCATGATTCAGCGCCTCACTTCTCAGATCCAGATCCAAATTCCCGCTGCGATATTCAAGATGACACTGATATCCCAATCAACCCGGCAATCCTTGCCAACCACTGGCCTTGGGAGGATGGCAGTCTCCAGCAATCTGTCCCACAAGCCGACAACTTCATCAATTCAGAGACTACTTGTTCATATCCTGACCCTCCACCCGTTCTTCACAGCCCACCTAACTATCATAGAGGTTCATGCGAAAAGGCTGGTGACCAATATGGCGATACTCAAACAAGTGACCACTCTCACATCCATGATCATCAACAACTGCACCCCTCACAACATAACACCGATCCCGACGCTGCCTACCCTGATGGTGTCCGCGGGGACCATCACGTCGGTGGACAGTCAAAAGTTCTAAGTGGAAGACGCAACAATCAGATGGGCGAGCTCACAAACGGCTTCAAGTTCCATCAATGTTGCCGACCAGGGAGGATTCCTTCATGCTTCGCTCTCACTTCATGTCTGCCCCACTTGACGATCGTTTGCAATTCCTTTCTTGGCTATTCGAAGGTGCTCTACCACATTGCATGTCTAGCTCTTCACTGACAGTATGTGAAGAGAGAGATGCGCTGGCAACCAGTTGCTCAAGTACCCCGCATGAGATTGAACAAAATCGGCGTGATCGTACAAAGGCTCGAGGAGGCTCCAGAAAGAATATGCTATGGTCCATGAAAGAGGCGAGCCTTTTGCTGAAGCTGAGAAAGGAAGAGAGTCGGTCTTGGTCAGAGGTTGCAAGGTTATTCTCAGAGCGCTATCCAGGGAGGACTTTAGGCGCGATACAGGTACACTGGAGTACAGCCCTCAACAAGAAAGCAGATTAACGCTTGGCAGGAATAGACATACAATATTGGCATTCTGAACCGTTTACAAACCAAGAGGATGAGTTATAACAGGCCATCATATCCTCTTATCCACTGATGATTTGATTGGCACTGAATTCTCTGGCTTTCATGTAACTGAGCTAGCTGCCACGCATTTATAAACCAGCTATCCAATGCATGCACTCCTACATTGTAATACAACTGAGCCAGGTCCTTAGGTCCTCTCATTTGTCCCTACAGTTCTGCTCATATCCACGACACGCCCCTGCGGCCATCACTGGAGATAGCAACACATGCATGAGCCTGGTGTTAGTCGCGATCATGTCACATATTGTGCTTCTGGCCACATCGGCGAGTTGTGTGTCCGTCGATCATCATGCGTGAGTCCTGCTTCAGAGGTGAATCCAGCTCATTTGCCATATACCTGAGAGATAGAAACCCAGTCCTTTCCGGCAGTATTTATTGTCTGTAGTGATTCAATGCATGTGATTCTGGGTTGCTAGAGTAGACCGACCCTAGCGTTGCCCAGCCGCCTCTTCTCAAATGTGCCCGAGTTCCTGTTCATATCCGCGCAGATAGCCGCTAGCAAGATTCCTATTGAAGGGGACCGTCACAATAACAGTTTGACAGTAAATGAAATGGCAGCTTACCTTTGAAAATACTGGAATTATACTGACATGCCATGAGGACGATTGCAGACAGAACCGATCAAGCAAATCAAATTGAGGACTATTATGACGTAAAAGCCTATATATAGTTAATTAATGTTAGTCAATCCTCCCAGCATTATGTAGATAACGGTGCATTGGCCTTGATTGTGACAAAGTATAACTTACAAATCTAATGCGACTAATTAATTAGCTAGCGGGAGATACGACTAATACATGAATATCTCCACTTGTGACGGTTCAGGTATGATAGCTCATATATGGCGGCTCAACAATACGGTAATGGATGATACATCACAGACACTACCCAATCATGTCGCCAACGCTTCTCTTAAAGCCTCTTCATTATCTAGATAGATTTCCTCTTCTCCTTTTTTCTCCAGATTCGATATTCTCGTTGATGGCTACAATAGTTTAGGTAGGAATATCAGTTCGTTATTATCTATCTAATATTCCGAGCCCGTGACACCACTGACCAGCCTAAACACCTATCAAATGCCCTATCAATCCTCACACCGATCTAGAAATCTTTCTCAAGCCATTACAAGTGTACTGCAATTTGAGCATCAAATTTGACAGGCTGGCGTGAGAGATTATCTATCATGCAAAGATATAAAGTCACCTGAGCATTATGACTTTCACACAAACCGTATCCATCTAACATGCTGGCTACTGATGAGCTCATGAGCCCACTTCCATAGTAGCTCACGAAAGATTATTCACTGGTTTAAACTCATAGGAGCCATTTCTTCTGCGAGGTCATGCCCTTTGTGTGGAGTTTCCTCTGGGGCTTCTTCTAGAATGTTTTCGAAAGCCGCAGCAAATCTCAGAAAAGCATGTTTTTGTGCAGTTTCGTTGGACTTGACCCGATTCTGCGATCAGGTATAAGACAGATTCAAGTCACGCAGGAAGGTATAGAGTCTGTTCTCAAGTTTGTTTGTGCGTGCTGTTTGGTGCTGTGATCTCAAGAGCAAGAGCTCTGAATGATCATAGTAGCCATTGGAACCGCTTAAACTGTGTTGAAGTTTCGTTCTAGGACATGCTTTGCGACACCAATTTTCGAAATGACGGAACAGCTGCAATGACAAATTTGGGTCATAAGTTCTAGGGGAAAGTTGCTCCAAGACCAATGCGATATCACAACAGACCCAAGTGATCTTGGAATCAACAAGTCGGTACCAGGTATTCTCAACCAAGCTGAAACCAGACACAGAAAAGAAAAATTTCTCGAAACCTGTTTCAAGATTCTCCAGGAGAGTTGTCCATCGCTCTTTGGAATAATTTGTCCAACAACCATTTGAAAAATAGTCACGACTGTCCTTGGCCTTGTCTAAGATAAACCTATTTCAGAATAGTTTGTTCAAATATCGAATGGCTGACATACCTTTCGAGATCTCCGATTCCTGCTCAATGCATTCATATCTTAAGAGTCTCATCCACTCCACATCGGCCCAGTCGTTTCGCCAAAGGGCAAATGCCTTTGTAAATTCCAAGACAAATAACCGCTTAAAACAACTGAATTCTGGATGATAATTGATTGCGTAGCTTGGGTGGAATGCATTGACGCGAATGAGCGACAAGTCTGATTCAGCTAGCTGCTTTGACCCCTGCGGATCAAAGTCAAAGCTGTATCCTAACCGACGGCAACGTAGGTTTCGAACAATCGAGTTGCTGGGCATTATCCTAAAGCATGATATGACAACATTTGGCTGTTTCGCTCTAATCATGTCGGCGAACACACTCTGTGCCTGTCCAATGATGTTGTCGCCTTCTGGACCTTCGAAATTCTCATCCAGAAATGGTATTGCATCAAAACGCTGATGTCATCTAGGCCTAACTTGGAATTGGTCACAGCAGAAATCAAGTCAGACACTGCCTTGATAGTTGAGCATGCGTCTCTTCCTGCTAAGAAACCATTTGAATTATCCTGTGTCGAGTGTGGTTGTAACAAGACAACCACCACACTGGCCTTTGATTCCGGCCGCGCCAATTCGAGCCCGAAGCTAAGGTCATATGTAGAAAGATAGTCTCTCTGCCCAATTTTAAGGTCTTTTCCAAATCTCTGGAGTATCCGGACGTGCTCAGAGTCCTCATCTGTATTGATGGGCTGATCTTTCCGAATTAGTTGTCGCAGTCGATGATCAATAGGACTACCGAGACACTCCATATCCGTCCAGGCACGTTCAAATAGTAATATTTTAAATTCAAAATTCGAACTATTGAATGAATCAGGTGTGACAGAGGGGAGAGGGGGAGAGAAAGAGGAAAAACAAGAGTATGTGTTTTAACGCCTTGGGAGGAGGGGATCCCTTCCACGCTTTCTCGGAAGTGGAAAAGCCCTAGTCCCGGTGCGGGACATAAAGCAGGCAGACCTTTATTGGCTTGTCTTGAAAAACCCCTCAATATTGATGTCCAAGTTATTTATAATTGACATCGGTATGCTGCACAATTCATCAAGTCAAAGCATTTGTACGAAGGTCTTGAAGCATGGGTAACTTTGCTGAGTATGAACCCTGTCTATAAATACAGAAACTAACAACTGTAGGGTCATTCAATCTCCAGAATTTCATTTTCTTGTTGGACATGATCATTGTAAGCTGACAATACACGCTGGTCTCATTCGAAACTTATCTCGCCCCTTGGCAGCTCTCATTGATAATGGGTGCATGAAAGAGTTGCTGTCCCAAACTGCTATTATAGATGATTTAGAGGAAGAGATTCTCATCTTATTTTGTGAGTTTGGCTATCGGGGAAAGTATACCATGCCTTGCCGCAAAGACAATGATCGCGAGGAGATTTTGAGTGCAGATGGTGAGCACTAGACACAAATGCCAGCGTCATCAGACCCAGAACAAGATTCTAATTCATAGGTCAGGTCAGGTGCAAATAAAAAGAATCCAGTGCCAATTATCCACCTACCAACAGGGAAGATTCTGTTAGCAAAAAAAAAAAAAAAAAAAAAAAAAAAAAAAAAAAAAATCGAGTAAAGAAACACTGTAATCCTCTGCCAGAGATTGAGTACGCCAAGTCAATCTACGTTGGAGTCAGTTCAGATCCATTTATTTGCTGGAAATGAAGCCTTTATTTCTTCTGACCTGGATCTTCTAGCTCATGCAAAGACATACGTGTTTGCGACACGGTACCTTGTTGACTCACTGAGAGCTCAATGCTTGAAGTCACTTCATCGTGATCTTTGCAGTATCTCAACTCAACTCATGAAGTGTATCTCACATCCTTGATCTGCTACAGTATGCCTTCGAGCATATAGGCAGAGAAGAGCCGGATGGATGTCTTTCTCTCAGAGACTTTGTCACTCACTATACATCATGTGAGGCTCGAATATTAATGGAAAACATTTACTTTCGACGCCTTTTGGAGGAGTATGGGGAAATGGGTTCCGATCTCATTGTAAAACTTGTTGCATGATGAGGTTTCTAACATGTCAAATCCAAAAGACGCATGCCCGTACTATTATACTTAAAAATGGTCAAATGAATCTTCGGTATTAGGACACGTTAGAGATCGAGGTGGGTATTGAAGTGAGACACGTATTGATGATACAAGTCAATTAGCTCCGTTGTTCATCTATAACAAAACATCAGCGAGATCGGTCCTGTCCGCGTCCGCAGCTACTTCTCGATGGCGGTACAAATGATCTGGATATCATCAAATTGTTTAGTCAGATGAGCTAGGTGCAATCATTTAATAAAGCAGCAAGGGCAATGTCGACAGCTTTCACTTGATTGTGGCGGGTAGTGTTTGTTGCAGAAATTTCTCAGATTCTTCTCCCCAAAAATAGCTGCCAGAAGGCATTTAGGACTGAAACAGAGTCTTTCCCTGTTTCTCTTTCCGCTTCCCAATTATAAATAGTTACTCGCTACTTTATCATAGCCCTAGGAGGGTTACATCAGCTTAAATAAAGAATGCTGGCTGAGGACAGACACTGATGACGAATAGGGATGGCAGTGGAGAGCAGGGCGTATGGGAAAATGAAAATGAGGATCAAGTTAGCCTACCAGAACTGTTCTCCATAGTAGCAGCAGAAGTTCTTGGTCATGTAAGAGTTAGACGTGGACGAGTGTGAGGGAGAACATGAAGAAAAGAGGACAGTGGGCGTGAAACATATCTTACCCTGCCTAGACCATTCTCCGGACATTTACAGTATCTTACAATGATTAATTAAGCTGTTAGCCGTTAAGAAAGTAGCACACTGTATGGGGCTTGTATTTCAACAATGATACAGTCAGGGAAATTGTGGTAGTAAATTCACGCCCTGGTCTCTTGTCTTGGGCGATTTGCAGGATACCGCTACCCTATATGATGACTGTTTAATGTAATCATGGAGAATCTTGTTATTTCAGCTGTTTCCCTAATTGATACTTGTGTTGGCATTGGGTTTGAGAGAAAAAATCAATCCTTAAAGGTGTCACTGCTTTTGCATCCAAATGTACTAGATTGCCGGCATGCTAGCAAGGAATTCAGTCATTTCCTCCCTCGCATAGGATTCAGCATCAACTGCTGTCCATGGGTTTTCAATCCGTTGACACGCCACCGCCGTCTCATCTTCATCATGGACACGTGCCAATTCATGTCTTCCTAGGAGGCCGAGTTCATCATCTAAAATTGCCTGGCGGAGATCATCTGTAATCCGTCCAAACATGAGTGGTTTGACCATTAGTTCCAACGCACGGAAGATGCGAATGGTGCCTGGTCGAGTATTCAAGGCGAAAGTGGCGAGAACATTGATCTGGTTGATAGTGAATGAATTATTACACCTAGATATCTTGGTCAATTGGGCTACACAGTGAGCTAATTGGGAAACGCACATGATACTCATCAGGGAACTGTCGGCAATCAACAGCATTCCAACTCCCAAGGTCCCTGCAAGCCTCCACCACCATCTGCCTCGTCGTACATGATAACCAGATATCTTATTACGACGAGATTGCGGTGACATTGATATGCGAGGATCATCAGTGTAGGCATCAAGGATACAGTTAAGAACATGGGTCACAGTCGGCTTTGATGTAGAAGGAGGGCAGTATTCTTTCGGGCGCTTACAGAGCTCCTCATAGTTAATGTAGAGTAATACCTGTCCGATACGCTTCGCAACGGGATCAAGAAACCGGTTTGTGTCATCTACATCTAGGATGCGAAGGTAATTCACGGCTCCCTGTATACCTTTCCAGAGGACTGGAAGTCCAAGTGGGTGCAAGTCGAGCAACGTATTCTTGTCCCACGAACCCAACAGGGGTTGTAGCATTCTGCAAGGATTTTTTATCAGAAGACGAACTTCTGCTTCAAGGACCTTCTGAATTCGTTTCTGCTCAAGCACATCCACTTGACCGAATACACAAGATTGCAACAAGTGAATGATTTTCTGATTTGAACTAGTCGCGACTGGCGTTATTTGTGAATATCTTAACTGATTGCTAACTAGTCTCTTTGCCTTGACTGCTTGATTGAGCATGGTAGCTCTTAACCCTGGAAGGGTCAGATACTCCCCTATCTGGGAAGTGTCAAAATACATAGTGGAGGCTGTTGAATAACTAGAGGCACCTCCGTCGGGCCCGGGTGTAGAGATAGTTTCTGCGGGCGACGCTACTCCGGGGAGCGGGTACACGGTACCGTGAAGAATTGTCTCCGGTGTTATAAAAGGCACACTTTCATCGGGTGTCTGACCGACGTCCCAAAGTCGGTCTACTTCATCGCCTGGGTAGTGACTGTATTTGTACATATCGTTCATCCGCAAATTCGGCTCGACACATACTGGTGAGATCTTGTTTGAAGGGCCAAACAGTTCGAGATCACTCATAGATAGGTAAGGAGCGAGCGAAGGGAACGAAGTGGGTTGTATGACATCTATACTACAATCTCCTAAAGCAACGCATGGTTAGACAGACCAAAAGTGATAGTAAAAGCGGTGCGACGGAAGTGCTTTACTTGATGATACTGAAGGGTTGTCCTGAGTGGCTTCTTGCACCACAAAGCACTTCACAAAGCCAACATCTTTAAGTCCATAACAAATATCAACCACCTGAGACCTCTTCAGCTTCTGAAGCTGCTCCAGGTCGGACCCGAGATCTCGAACAAGCTAAAAAATGTGAGAATCAAAATATGTGGATATCTCTCAACCAACGGACATTGCAAAGCTGTGTATTTTCCAGAGCGATAGGCATCACCCCCGAATCACGCTCCTGTGGCATAGATTATTACCAGCTGTAAATATCTGGAGAAAGTAAACTTACTTCGAGGCCAACCGAGATGGAGAATACGTCCGTGCAATTCCCCCAATATGATTCCCAATATGTGGACGATATGATCTGTTGCTCAGTACTCAGAATGTGCCATCGAACAGAACCCCCTCTCTGAACTCGTATCAAGGCGTCTGTCTTCTGCGAATCATCCAATCGTCCAATCTGCTCTATCTTTTGGCCAACCTGATTTACCAGCTGTACTAAAGTAAGTATTCTCCGTAGGAGGCATCAAGGGGAGCTTACTCACATCAGAACACACGTCCTCATCCCAATCTAGCTCTTTGCTCTGGATCTCCTTCAAGGGAGGTGATTGAACGAAATTAGGTCAAATGGGTCTCACCTACCTGGAGACCGACCTTGAGAACAATCATTTTGGTCTGCAAGAATGACCAATGACGGTAAATGAGGGAACGCAGGTTAAGAACCAGAAATAATCTGAGATTTTATGAATGAAAGGGTGCCGTTTGGCAGGGAATGAGGGAGGTGCCAAAAGGACTGGTTGAAATTGGATAGAAGCATCATGAAAGAGAAGGAAATTGACTTTCTTTTAATGGAAAGTTGTGACTAGAGTCAATGAGGCTGGTCAAAAAAGTGAAGGTTCTTAGGAGCACATTGCAGTAACAGTCTGATGCTGAAATTGTGGCCCTGGACCAGACAAAAGAACAGATGATGCCCCACCTCCATCCGCCATCACAATCATGAACCTCTCCAGACGTGTCCGTCCTGCGAAACGGAAAGGTATCGGCAGGGCCACTGGCGCGAAGATCACATTTTTAGTCTGTGTTTCATTGCTGTTATTTTCTGTTAAGTGCCCCATGACGATACCGGTTCCCCAGTATTCATTTGTCACCACGACATTGCCAATCCCTTCCCTTACGCACTCCCCAACCTGCCCACAAGCTCCCCGAAGTAGAATATCCCCTGGGGGAAAGAAAACCTATTCAATTTGAGACCACCGCAGCAATCCTCAATGCCCAGATTAAGATATTTAACAGGCCTCAACATCTCGAATCATGAGATCTCAAAATAATTCCATCATCCAACTAGCATTAATAGACGTCGCACTACCCTCATCCGATCCAGGAGACGATTGAAGATATCATGCGCCAGCCTGGTGTGTGTTTGTCGGATCAGGGAGGCGCATCAACTTCTACCGCAGACGGAAAGGCATGATATGACCTAGAATCATCCTCATCAATTGCTATCTTTTCTGGGAAGGGCTTTCTATTTAATATGTATATTAAACATGGAATCAATAATTAAATGACTGTCAACGGTACTGGAATAGAATATCTACTGACAATTCTCATTTCTCACCCTGCTGTGCCATAGCGACGGTTGTATAGAACTTCCAAGGCAGGGCGATATCACAGAATATCATTCTTGACATTCTTCTACAATAAATCAGACTGACTTCATGGCGGTGAAATGTATTCGTGGTAATTCAAATCAAAATCAAGCAATAACAGAAATTCATGACAGAAGAGCAAAGCAAACAGTAGCAGAAATGACAAGAACAGGCAAAGACAAAAAACGTATTTGGGAACAACTAAAGGGACTTATTAGACTTCCCAGAGCTAATTGAGTGGATTCCTTGACCGCTGGGTATCCTAGTCAAGAATAGAATTGGTGTATCCACTATATTCTCACTCAGCTTTCTTTGCTCGCCAATGGAATGCATTTGAAACAAAAAATTCCTTTGTTCTCATCATGATGGACTTCAATATGTATACAGCAGGAAAAAGCTATAGAAAATTTTTTCAAGACAATTTCTATCTAACACATCAGTCTAAAGAAGTATCTTCTTTCCGGCCTCTAGACCCTTGATCTCCTTGGTCAACTGCGCCCGCAAACGTTGAACATGACTTTCTTCACCTGCGATGTCCTCTAAGTCCGCCGCGGATAGTTTGTTGACGTAAAGAGAACAGAGAAGCTTCGTTGGCGTCTCTGGTCCGTTGACGAGATAATAGTCAGCGGCTTGCATGCAGATATTGTCCACGAAGCGCTTGAGTGCTACTTCGTAGTACGATTGCAATATATCATGAATGTCCTCTATAGTTTGTCTGGTGTTGCTTTTGTCATGAACTGCAGATACATCGCGGAGGCCAATTACTTCTCCGTGCTTGCAGTCACCAGGAACTTTAGGCGCTACTTGAGCTTGGTTCCGAGTTTCTCGGCTGAAAATCGTTAGTATTGTCCAGGAAAAAGCAGAAGGTGGGATTTTCTCAATTACCATTTCTGTAACGAGTCATTGAAGTAAGGATTCAATGTCAAGGGCGTGCCATTTCGCTCAATGTCGAGGATGAAATTTGCTTGCTTTATAGCATTCCGATATTTGGACAGCAAGTCTTCCATTAGTCGTGCCTTTAGTCTGTGACAGACGCGCCGATCAACACATGCAACCTCAAGAGCCGCAAGAATAAACCGGTGGACAATGGTAATTATGTCACTAATATATCCCAGCGTGAAATTGGGCCACTTCGCAGATTGCTTTCTCATTGTTGTGGCAAGAAGTGAAGGGTTGAAAGTGCCCATCTCAAATCCACGAGATGAACAAAAGACCTCGGTCAACCACTCGTAAATTTCCCCATCTTCGGGAGATACTTCTTCGGTACACTCGTGGAGAACCTCGGTCAAGTCTTCCATGTTTGCAGTTTCACGGGTCTTGGTAGATTTGGTCGGCTTGTTTGAGCCACTTAAATGCTCATCTTCCGAAGTTTGCCCGTCTTCCGAAGTTGGGGAATGCTCAAATAAATTGTTTACCTGACCACCGATTGAATTGTCCATGTCTGTTTTTGTCTTGAACTTGTACTCATGCGCCCAGACGTTGAGGTTATCTGCAAACCGAATATGGCGATTCATGACCAGAGTTGCTAGGCGAAGATCCGGATGGCTATCGAAAATGTCGTCCGTTCCATAGTTGGAGCTCAGGCCATGTGAGGTTATTTCCTGAAAGCGAGCTACAACACTGAGGAGATGACCGCGTTGCTGCTCAGGAGTCACACGCTCATCACCGAGGTCCTTGAGTACTTGCTTGCGCGACTTGAGCCTCTTCATGATCTCCAAACGAACTTGAGAAAATGACTTCCGAGCGTTGTCAATAACTGCCTCCTGAAGGCGCAACCTGAGCGCATTGATCCCAAAGCGATCTGGAGAAATAGAGTTCCACGGCTCTTTTCTACCGAAGTCTTCCTCAGCTGTGTTGCGATCAACGCCTCCTTCTTGAAGTTCACGCTGTCCTAAGTTGCGCACAAGGAACCAACCATGTTTGAGGATTAAGCCTTCGCCACGAAGGAGATCCAGCACCTTCTGCTCAGCACCTTCGTCCACAAGATCCGGCTTGGTGAGAACACCAAGCGTCCGTTGTCCATCGTGATCAAGTTCGCGCGCCAACTCAATAATCTCCTGTGTCGCGATATCCACATTGGCCGGAACGACTGTGAGCATGATGGATCGAGGATTTCTCATGTATCCAAGTACCATATCGCGGACCAACTGGATATCTGTCTTTGAGGTCAAGCCTGGAGTGGTGTTCTTGAATATTCCGGGGACATCGATGACGCTAAGATGGTCCTCGTTGGGACCGCAGATTTCAAGACGGAAGACATCATTCGAAAATGTCGATCTTAAGGTGTCTGGTGAGCCCGACAAACCCATCAACGAATGAACCTAATCCAGTAATTAGTCTTATGTCCTTCCAACGCTGCGGAAAGGGTTACATACCTCATGCATCACATGCGAGAATTCGGAAGGATCAAACGGGCCATCTTTACCCCATGCCCATTTTTCCAATGCGGCCTTTTTCTCCGGGCTTGCGTCCGAGCCAGGTAATACAGACGCAGTAATCTTACGGACAGAATACTCCTTCACTCTGCGGAAGATAATCTGCGTAGCAAATCGTGTGCAGAGGCCGCTATCACGGGGAAAGGGGAGCTGAGTTAGTCCTTCCAGGACAGAGCTCTTGCCACTAGACTGGTCGCCAACAACTACCAGTTGGGGGAGTGAAATATACTCGCCCACGTTGCAAGCGAAAAGCTTGTCGATCTTGTCGAGCAAAGCGGGATCAGTCAGCGTAGACTGATCAGGGTTCTGAGGATTCCTCATTTTTGTGATTATTCCTTGTGAGAAGTCAAGATAGTAAGGCAGAGTTCAAATGGAAATAGTCAGAGACGCTTCAAGCTTTCCGTTATATCTAAGACAAAAGAGTTACGGAGACGGAATGGAGGTAGAAGATGATCGACGAGAATATTGAATCTGAAGATGAAGAAATAATCCAGTCGACAGAGAGAGCTATATACAGTGTACGTTGCTTGGAAAAGGGGCTAAGCCTGCGTTTGTCACAGCTGACTATCTGAGAGCGTTTGCACAACTCGGCTGCAAGGCTAGGTCGTTCTTTGTTCTGCTTGCATGGGTGGCGTCGTTGGCTTTATTGATGCCAATTGTTGATCTTGGTGTTGATGTGCGTTACAACGTCACACTTTCCCAGTAGGGCTTTGTCAATATTCATTTTCCCTTTCTTACTCCTGCATGATGCATCGCTTGATCTGCTTGTCATTATTTCCTACTTGCAGAAAGATAAACTCGAACGCAAGTGACATCAAGACGTCTAACGGCAACTTGTCGTCACGTCGTCCCTTCATTGCTACATTAGTTTAAATAGGGGTATCATTTCGTCAGTTTCTGCTAATCCGAGCCCGTGACAGAAAGTAAGCCTATCAATCCCAGGAATAGCTAAGCAGCTCTCTGTTTGTGTTATCATATGACGCTTTCTATAGTCAAACACGTCCACAGGAAATCCTGTAGCAATTAAACAGCTTGAACAAAGAACCGTTGTCTTCCATTTATCATCGTTTGTACTGTAAAGTGCTTTTGGTCGGATGTCTTGCTCTCCACGCGTCATGTGCCTTGGCAACCTGGTCCAAAATATCAACCAATAGATGTAAATCTCGCAGTCTCGCATAGTGGCTGCGACGCAGGGCCTCCACACACACACAGCGCCTAGGGTAGGGTGGTGATTCGCTGAACCACTGTGCTGGGAACAGGCCAGTGGTTTAGCATATCGATAGACCGTCCTAAGCGCTGTGCCTTGAGAGCCAACTGTGCCGCAATCACAGTGGGCAGCTTGGATAGAATACTACGACAATCAAATCAAAACAAGGCGAATAACTTTTAAGATTAGAGCATAGATCCCACGGGAATATGTTGTGTACAGAAAGACACCACACCAATCGACCTCGTTACATTGGTCCACTTCATCGGCAAACCAGTGGACATTGATCTCTGCCTTCCCCTATCCAGCACGCTCCGTTGCTGCTTGAGGGCATGTAGACCTTGCAAATTACCTTCCATCCATCCTCTCCACTTGCTTGGCTTGAAGGAACAGGAATGGGAGGGTTAGAACAAAACAAAGAGACAAAGAGATCAAACGCGTCTAAAATCACCAGGAAGCGGTGATAATTACAACGCCCTATTTTAATCTTCCAGCTATCATCCGCTGTACTAAATTTCCTTCATATTACTTTATTCTCTGAGAAATATCCTACTTCTGTTCAGCTTTCGATCATGACATGTTCTGCAGCTGAAAAGCGTCAGATCTTCCTCACATGCAAGGCAATCTTCATAGGTCCCAATTCCTTGCTCCGAAAGTCAAAGACCATAAAAAAACGTATCACGAAGCACCAAGCTGAACTTAATACGTCAATTCCCAATTTTGAGATCAACAGGGTCACAGGTACTGTTCAAGCCCTCTTGAAAAAACAAGTGTTCCAATCAGACATTAAGGCTAAGATGGAATTTCCCGATCTATTTACTCCCTCCCCTGTCAATAACGCCAAAGGCAATGTCTTTGAAGCTGAGGCAGGCCGTTCAGGAGCACCTATACTTAGAAGGAATTACATTTGCTCTCGCAAAAGACAGTGTGAGGACGCAGGTTCCTCCAGTGCCACTGTCTGTTGAATTACAAGCCCATGATGAAGCGCAAGCTCAGACTGAGGGAGACACTAATTCATGTAAGCAAATGAGCTTCTGAGATGAGCCTCCATTACTCACATTTAGACAGCACCTGGACCGGCATTAGAACCGAGATTACCCATGCCTGTTCTTTATCCATCATACTTTCCATATGGTGCTCAGCATTCTGTCTTATCGAGTATCCAACAAGTTCTAGAAGAATGCTGTTTTGATTTTACAAAGAAATGGTTACCTTCTCAAGTCGAAAACCGCGAATGGGATTGTGCTGCAGCTATGGAGCTCACAGTGGATGAAGTTTTTAGCAAAGTGGTCACCACAACTTCCCCATGAGTCTTTGCAATTGAGGGGCTCACAGTTCGACACACTCCTATCTACAATTTGTCAAATTCGACACACAGCAGTTCACCGGCAGCCGATCACAGCAACCAGCGTCAGTTTGCTGGTCCTCGAAGCTAAGAGGCTGGCAGAAGCTTTGCAAGATCCTTTACGCACATCACAATTGGAAGACCTTCACTTCGACATACAAAACAAGATCCAGGAAATGGAGCTGAACAAGAACGCCCTTGAAGCTAATCACGCTCACGAGCTTAGAGCCTTGCAGCTCCAACGAGAAGAATTAGACCAGAAGGAGGAGCAGCTCAGAGCCAAAATTATCAACAGCGATAAAGAGAACAAAACTCTCACGGGCCTTCTGGTTAAGGAGTCACTTAAAAGGATATTTATTGACAGGCAAAGTGCCCTTGATGATGATTCAGTTGGGTTTGAGGCGGAGAATGACGGAGCAAACAAAAACATTAGTCCAGGTTGTCAGCTTCTATGAATAGAACAGACTATGGCTCACTGACCGCGACTTCATGACCTAGCAAAACCGACATGGTATCACTTGTATATTTTTAATTCTTGTGTTCTGTCTAGGCATGCGTTACTAATGTAAGCGCATCAAGCAGTATAGTGAGGCAGAAAGTGTTCCATACAGCGCTGTTAGAAGCCTTGGAACTTGCTAACCCACGAATCTTGACTGCCCTCACATAATCCCAATTAGTCGCCCGACGGGCACCCATCCAATCAAGCATCGCCTACCCCAAACCAGCACGGGTAGCGCCCGGTGGCCCATCCATCAGAGAGTTTGCATGGCTGTCAAGACAATGACAATGTAGACGGTCATGGACGCCAATCATGCAAAGTTGCTGTGGAGGAAGTCTCTATACTGATGCTAGTGCGTCGCGTACCCATATAAGGTAAGCAATATACTTTGTAGTTCGATCATATACTGTACATTGTAAACAAAAAACGCTTGTAAACCAGAATAGGGATTCATCGAAAATCACTGAGGATTGCTTGGAGTACTCTTTATTACAATGACACAAGCCCAGCTTGGTATTGACATTCCAATGCTAGCCTTCCCTGAGTGGAACCTCGCACAACTGTTCCGTGACACCTCTCTGCGTGATTTAAAAGATGAACTTTCTGTTCAAGTAGCTTCGCCCCACAGATATTACACTCAACCCTTTGGTTGGCCAGGGAGGATTGACATGTTTTCATAGAAAATGCCTGGTGAGTGAACCGGGTGTTGCGTGTTCCGCAATCCGATTCTTTAGCGGGAGATTAGCATTCCCCAATAGGTGAAGTTTACATAAAATTGATAATGATTTATAAATTATATTATCTTACGTATCTAGTATAATGTCGAATATCAGATATCAGAATACCAAAATCAGTGACAAGCGTTTTTTGTATACAATCAACAAGAAGCCAGTATGGCTGACACAAAGAACAATCACCTGCCTCTTGAGGCCCGTCCAATGAAGAATACCATATGCCTCTTTGATCTTGATGGTACTTTGTTCCCAGAAAAACAGGTATGTGCCACATCTGGCTAGGTCATATATGCTTAATACTCGACAAGAACTTTTCATATGACTCGCACCCTCTTCCTAAACTTGCAGAGATCATGAAATTGAGAATCTGTCCAGGTTGCCTCGCAAGAAATGCACTCACTCCTCGGCCTGCTTCGCCAGAAATGTGCTATCGGCTACGTCAGTGGTGGACCTCTTGCAAAATAGCAGCAGCAACTCAGCACTCCGTCAACCCCAGTGGTCACCCTCTTCGATTTCTGCTTCCCCGAAAATGGTGTCACGGCTTTTAGAATGGGCACCCCTCTCCCAGGGACCACATTCATTGGGCAGGTGGGCGAGATGAGGTATAAAGAGCTAGTCAACTGGGTGCTGCGATACATCGCGGACCTGGATATTCCGATCAAGCGAGGCACCTTTGTTGAGTTTCGGAAGGGTAACGTGAATATCTCACCCATCGGGCAAGGGGCAAATTATGTTGAAATGGAGGAATTTTACCGCTATGATGAGATCCACGGGACCCGGAAGAAATGATTGAGGCATTGGAGAGACAATTCTCAAACCTGGGCTTGAGGTATGCAATGGGAGGTAAAACTTGTTTCGACGCCTTTCCCGTCGGCTGGGACAAGACGTATTGTCTGAGGCATGTAGAGGCCGAAGAGGAGAGAAGTGGAGTGGCTTACGATGAAATCCATTTCTTTGGGGATAAGATTTACGAAGGGGGAAATGATTTCGAGCTCTACATGGATCAAAGAACAATTGGGCATGTAGTAAATGGCCCCGAAGATACAATACGACAGGTGAGGAACTGTTTGGGTTGTGAGAATCTGCAGATTTCATTCTATAGGTATATAGTAGCATCTACGATACACCTGCAGGAACTTAAAATTCTATGGCATTTGACAAGAAAACCAGGCGTGTTTCAGATTAAATGTAGCACTTACACTCAACACTCCACAACATATTTATTTTCTAGACGCAGACCAAGTGTGCTGAGAAATCCGGTCCAGTCTTATGAGCAGGTGAGTATTGGCACTACAAGAGGACATCGGCTGATCAACATCTGCTCCTGCCTTAGGACCCGAGGAAGATAGTTATGCATGCTTACGGTAATATCATGACAGGGTATATTAGACGATTAACTAAATTCAATGCATGCTTATTTTGCGAAGAGTAAGAGTACAGTAACATGTCAATTCTGTGTCTACACTAGACATAAAAATCTCTTACTGGCCCTGTAGCAAGTACCACTTATAGTTCTTTCTATTTCGGATGCAATCTTTGACACAACATAACATTAATAGCTAGGCATTATGGATACTCACAATGATCTCAATGAACAAAAGACTCTAGAGTCGGATGTACTTATAATCGGTTCTGGTCCTATTGGTGCTGTATACGCCAGGACAATTGCCGATGCTGACAAGAATATTCATGTGCTCATGGTGGATATGGGGGAGCAGTGAGTACTCACTACTTGGTTTTTTTAAATAAATTCGCATCTCTAACATCATATGATAGAGGCACGAAGTTGATCGGTGATCACAAGAAAAATAGTACTGTGGTACAGAGGGGTAGCGGCAGTTTCACCAGGTAAGTGTCAGAAATGACAGCAATTATTATAAACATCTTTTGAATTATATCTACAGTACTGTTCAGGTATGTTGTACTCTGATTGAATCCTGACTTAGTCTAAATTTTGGTCAAGGGAGCATTCGGTCGACTATCAGAACCAGTTAGCACAGCAACTGCTTCAGAACCGGTTGCTTGGTCAGTTGTGTGAGTTCTTCATTCCCTGAGATACGATTTCTAATTAATCCCAGTCAATCAAAATCTGCATCGTACAATGGTAGTTCTGAGCAACTACACTTGAACAGTCTGCCAGCTGCTCCTGTCATAAGAGAAGTTGGAGGCATGGGCTCCTACTGGAGCTGTGCCACGCCCGAACAGCACCCGGCGGTTGAAAGGTCAGATCTATTCTCCGATCAAGAGTGGAGAACATTATACAACCAGGCCAGAGCTCTTTTCCACACCACTGACACAGCATTCTATCATTCAATTCGCCATAATCTTGTCAAAAATACTCTCGTCCGAGCACATAAGAATCGAGAGATTGTGAACCTGCCTCTGGCATGTCAGCGAGGTACACATAACTTGGAGTATTTACAATGGACAGGCTCAGCCACAATCCTGGGAGATCTTGCAGATCCAAAGTACAGCGGTGGGAACTTTGAATTAAAGTCTCAGCATCAATGTACCAGGCTACTCATGGATAGGGCATCTAAACATATCGTTGGAGCTGAGCTTACTAACCTACTAACAAGGGAGGTTATATTAGCCAAAGCAAGGAAGTACATAATCTGTGCTGGAGCTGTTCTTACTGCTGGAATCCTTTTTAATTCAGAAATTCAACCAGATAAGGACTATCCAGCTTTAGTACGTTCCTTCTGGCCTTCTTCAAAGATTATGTAGCTAATCGCTAGCAGGGACGATATTTGACTGAGCAGACCACGGCTGTCGGCCAGGTTGTGCTAAAAGATGGCATAATAAAGAATGCTTGGAATGATCCACGGTGCAAAGAGCACTTTAGAACATTCCCTGATGATCCTTTACATATCCCTTTTGATGATCCTTCCCCCCAGGTACAGTGGTTTTGGTTGTCCAGTTCGCAGGTTCTCGCTATAAAATCACTAATTAACTGCATGGCAGATCACCATCCCAGTTTCTGAGAAGCATCCCTGGCACACACAGATCCAACAAGATCCATTTCACTACAACTCTGCTCCAACTTCAACTGACCCGCGCCTCATACTCGACTTACGCTGGTTTGGATACGTCAAACCTGTCTATGATAACTATGTGGAGTTCTCCTCAGAGATCACCGACCTTTTCGGAATGCCTCAAGTAAGTTAACTCTTTGGCACTCTCATAATGGGTCAATGGTTTTTGACAAGCCCATGCAAGCCAACGATACACTATCGTATCGGGAAGGAGGACGCCGAACGCGCGGAAGCTATGGTACAAGAGTAAGTGTTTTATTGACTTCGACTGATCTTATATGAAGGAATGACTGCTTAAGCTTTTCGCGCGGTAGCATGATAAACATTGCCGCGGATCTTGGGAACTTTCTACCCGGTGGGAAGGCGAAGTTCCTCGCTCCAGGCGCTGCGACGCACATTTGCGGGACGGCTCGCGCCGGGAAGGAAGATGACGGACATTCAATAATTGACAGGAACTCCAAGGTTTGGCGGCTGGAAAATTTGTTCATTGGTGGCTGTGGTGTGATCCCTACCCAAAATGCGTGTAATCCAACCCTGACTGCGGCATGCTTCGCCATTGTTGGGGCAAGAAAGGTTGTCCAGGAAATACAGGCGCTCAGAGGCCAACAGTATCAGTCGAAACTCTAAGCCCAGAGCAGCAGCAAGTTAGATGCATAGAAGATTTGATATCATGAAAAAAACATGTATCACTCATTAACCCAGAACTAAGAGTGCTACTACAATGATTGACTGACCAAAAGCCCTTCATCGCACCAGGATAGGTAAGTTAGTGTTCATTTTGGTTGGCCTTGAACCCCTTGAAATCAGGTGCACCCTTGGAAACAGAAATCACAGGATGCCTACCATCACCTGCATTACACCTTGATTCTGGTAAACATCGCTCAAACCCATGTACTGATATTCCCATGGAAGAGCCAACACGTTTCTACCGCCGTAGGTGATCCATTTTTTGTTCACGCCGGCTGCATATAACGGCTCTTTACTCCACCTGTCATCTTTAGAAAAGACAAGCGCATGGATGGGATTGTGTGGATATGATATTAAACAAAGTATGCAGCAACTTTCCAAGTTCACTTTGATGTTCCAGGGGAGCGCTAAATGCTTGACGTGGCAGCCTCGTTGGCACACCTCCGACCGGAAAATAGACTCACCTGGGTAAGCCTTGGTGAAGCCACAGTACTATTGACCTAACTTAAATCATCGCCGTGTATGGAGTACTCTCCTCTCTATACTAGAGGTAGTGGACATAACGTCATGGAGCCGGCAAAGCGTTTAACCCGCCAGTTATTATTATTATTTAATCATGTTTATTGTCCATACCGAGCCCTAGAGCTATGACAGACCGTGATTTATGGACTCGAGGCCAGCAGCTATTCTGCAGTCTCTTGTCCCTATGAGTTCCTTAGGCAATCGGGCCCCCTTCTATAATCTTTCTAATCCTTTTCCTCGCCCCAAGCCGCCTGTATGCGCAGGGCTTTCGAGCACAGTGCTCTCCTTTGTGTTTCAGAGCAGGATGGGTGTGGCCTAGGCTGACTCTCAGCTTAGGCTACCCTCCCTGCTACCCTTCTCCTGTCCTAATCGCCTCCTCCAATGTTTCCAGTCCCCATTCGTCTTCTCTTCGGGCCCTTTCTGTCATCCACTGTAGGTGCGCCCGGGGTAGAGCTACACTGGTGCTGGCTAGGAATTGTAGAAATGCCCTTGTAGCTTTGGGCTCTCCTAGGAGTCGTCCTTGTGGATATTCTTCTGCAGTAGTGGGTCTCATGACTCTGTCTGTCTCTAGGTCTTTGTAGAGCCTGTTTCGTTAATGTCGCCATTTCCGACATTCAAAGAGAAGATGGTGTTTGTCTCCCTTGATCTACCACATCCTTCACAGGTTGCATCCTCCTAGACCCGGATCTAATGCAAGTATGCTCCAACAGCTGCATGTCCTGACTTCAGTTGAAAATACCGGCTCGCTAGGTGTTTGGGAGCCACTGCGGCTGCAGAGTTGAGTCGCCAGTTCTTCTGTGGTCTATATGTTCGCTGACCTTGTTGGGATCGCTTGCTGAGCTCTTTGGCGAGCCATCTCTGCTTCTGTGTTCTGATGACTTCTGTTCGGGCTCTACAGGTGAATGCCAGGGAGATCTCTCTTGGGCCTCTTCCTGGGGGTTTGTTGGCTGCCAGCTTTGCTGTCTGGTCGGCTTTGGGCCTTGGTCATGTAACCTGCTATCTATGTATGATGAGATCTGATAGGTCGGATCAAAGGGATAATGTTAGTTCGACTAGTGGACCTCCGATATATGGCCAGCGTCCACCTCCTATAGATAGACAAGGCACTCAATCAAGCACTCAAGCACTCGTGTACTCTAGGCTACGTTAGATAGAGTATATCAACCATTCGTTTTAATTGAGTCTTCTACATATAGGCCTTGTGCAGTCGGATGATCGACTCCGGTTTCCCCTGAACCTCCGACGGAACCCATTTCAATGTACATGGATAAATAATGCATAATGCGATGACCGCGGGATCATATCATGTCATCCAGTAATATCAGTGGTTCGTATCATGGAGGCGGTTTATGGATGCCTGGCGGTTTCACTGGTGCATGTTGACGGTGAGGAGATGGTGGGAACCAAAACAGTCTGATCCGGTGCACATGGTGGGGAGCCGTAGGCGGCGTTAGTGAGGGAAGTAAAAGAAATGAGAAGTAGTGGTCGTCAAGCGACGCACCAGCGGTCTTATATAGTCGGCGGACGATGTGAAGGCGGAGACAGGCGGCAGTTCCCCTCATAGTATAGCGTTTTGGGCTAAACCCAATCTAGTACACACTAAGCCGTATCTGGTTCGCGAGACACCGGCGCTAAACCCGAACGGGGGAGTTGCCGAAAACGGCCACGGTCTGGTAAATGCGAATTGTACACCGGAGTTCTTTGTCCCTATTATCCTCTATAACTTCTTTATTGCAGTAATCGTTATTTCAAGCCATTATTCATTTACCCCCAACTCTTCGTGTTTCCTCCACTTCACCTCGGTATTGTATACGGAAATCTTCTCGACGGCCGACATCGCCCATCATGAGACCGTCAACGTCAGAAGCCTTGTTACACGCTGAACTATGATACCAATGATACCCTGACGCGACCACGAGGCTTCTGCAGACCTTCGGGGAATTTCCATGATTACCGGTTAATGATATACTAATGTAAGTGCTAGGGCTGCTTCATGCAACGGGGATCCCTCCACCGTCGCAGTGGGTCACACCACTTTATAGTTTGGCCTGCAGGAACCATGGCATAACATATTTTTTCTAAATATATACACAAGTATATAAAAGATGAGGGGTGTTGGCCATCCCTATTGCTTTGGTATGGCTAATCGCCCATTGTTCATGTTCATTGTTTATTGTACTGCTTCTATAAAGAAGTAGTTGCTTCGTGCTGAATCGGGAAGGGGCACTGCAGCCGGTCTGCAACTTCCATAGGAAACCACCTCTTTATACTCCATCTTTTTTGTGTCTACACCACAATCACCTTTGTCATCCCACGGCCCATTGTGCCAGAAGACACCACAGCAATGGCACGACCCGAGAAACTATCCAAGAGTCGCCCCCCGCTGCAGGTCCAGACGACCAGCGCTCAAAATGTCCCACGCCGTCCTCAGTTCCGTCATCCGTTTTCCCCTTCGCAGCCAGTCTCTGTGTGCTCCCCAGGGCGGGCTTCGAGCAACAACTATAACAACAGCAACAGCCTGTCTCTCTACGTAGCGCCTCCTACGCCCACGACTCTTGGACCGTACAATCGAGATCGAAACTGGAGCGTCTCGTCTGCTCCCTTGCCTCCTGCACCAATGCCCCGTCAACGAATAATGGTGCGGAGGATGTCGTGTCCAGATTTGTCGAGAGTGGTTTCGCAGACGGTGGAGATATTGGCGAATGAGGCTGTGTGGGAGAGGGAGTGTGGTTCGTATGGGTATGGGGAGGGCGTGCATGGAAGTTTGTCGAGGAAGTTAGATCAGATTATCACGTTGATTGATGAGGGGTTGTTCAATCGGGAGAGGGATTTGGGTGAGTTTACTCTTGGTTTTGAGATCCGGATCAGGGCTAATTTGTGGCAGAGTTTGCTTCTCCGGTTTATGATGATGATTACTATCAGGCGGTGCCGGGGTTCAGGAAGTCAAAGCATATGCAGAATGCAGCAGAGTATTTTTCGAAGGTTTATCTTTACTATAACTCAAGACTGCCAGCTCAGTTACCACCGCTCAAGCTGTATGTACCCTCTCTGCTGTGAGTTGACGAGTGCTGACCTGTGCAGGAGCATATATACACCAACATACACGCTTCTCCGTTTGGCCGCACGATACTCGCGCCAGGTCTACCAGAAGCCCATTGGACCCGAGCGGCAGTGCTACATCGATGCGGATTGGCGGCAGGGTACCAAGGCCATGGTCATCAAGTCGATCCCTCTCGATCATAGAAACGCTATCGTCTTCGCGATTCGCGGCACCCAAAGTTTCCGCGACTGGACAATCAACCTGAAAACCGATCCGAAGTCCCCGGAGGGACTTCTTGACGACCCAGATAACCTCTGTCACGCCGGATTCTTATCTGTTGCACGGAAGATGGTGGGTCCTGTCGCAGCTCGCCTGCGCAGTTTGCTAGCCGAGGATCCCAATCGGGTGGCGCATTCTCTAATCATCACAGGACACTCCGCGGGGGGTGCGGTTGCTAGTCTGCTGTTTTGCCATATGCTCTCGGAGTATGTACAGTCGGAACTGACTCATCTGCGTCCGTTTTTCAAACGGGTACACTGTGTGACATTCGGGTCGCCACCGGTGTCCATCCGGCCGTTGCAGCTTCCCCAGTGGAATGCCCGGTCACCCAAAAGGTCCATGTTCTTTTCATTCATCAACGAGGGTGATCCTGTGCCACGTGCAGAGAAAGCCTACTTGCGTTCTCTATTGGACCTGTACGTGTCACCTACCAAGGCGCAGGGCGAGTCTAGAAACTGGAAAGTTCCCCGAGCGACACTGTCAGCTGCTGGACGGTTGGTGCTGCTGCGGAGAAAGCAGCTAGTCATGTACCCGAGTCTACCCGTCTCTGAGGGGGTCGAGGCGAGTATTATCACTCATGGACAGTTACGGGAAGTGGTGTTTGGAGACCCTCTGATGCACACGATGGATCTGTATGCGAAGCGGATCGAGGAGTTGGCCCGCAATGCGGTACATTACTCGGTTTACTCGCCATGATTATTGAATACTATGAATGATGTAGTTATGATTTAGAAACGAATATAATAAAATAGACAGAATATGACTCAAGTGGAATATGAAACGATTTACTGAGTCGATGCCGGTGCCGGTGCCGTTCAACTTGATGTGCCTCGGTTATAGTGTCTAAACAGGGTACTTAGAAAAATAATTTAAGAAAGAAACAAGAGATAATATAAGAAAATATGAATAGGTAGCGATAAATTGGCTCTAGTGACGTAGAGTGTTCCATAACCACCGGGGTTAGGTTACATATCTCTGCTACGTCATGTGCCGTATCATGTTTATGACTATGTTTATTCAGGCAGAGCGTAGAAATATATTGTTATTCCTATTCCGACAAATGAATATTTGCTTCGATATGCTTATGCTGAGACGCGAGCGAGGTTTATGTAACTTATAATCAGCTCAAACAGCACCACTATATCACCCCTCTCAAATACCTCGCCAATCCACCAACCATACCCTCCAAATCCCTTTGACTATCACAAGAAGCATAGACAAACCGATCAGACCTCAAAATCGCATACTTAACACTTCCACTACCCACAATATCCCCAAGATAATAAGGATTGTAATAACGCGGCTCCGGGCGGCCTCGACATAATGGCGACGCAGCAAATTCTTCTGCGGTGGCTAGTCTGTAGATGGGGGGCATGGTATCCTCTCTCTCTGAGGATGGGGTAGGTGTAGTAGCATCGAAGATAAAGGTTACTTCGGTGGCGGGTATTTCGCCATTCGAGGTTTGCTCGATGGTTGAGACTACCTCCCTCGCGGAGGATAGTTCCTTCAGATCCCTAACATAAACTAACACCTGAAAAAGCCCCCTCTTCCCCCTCCCAAAAACTACATCATCACTAAAAAGTACCTCCCCCTCATACCCCTCTTGCCCCCCTTTCCAAGCAGAAACATAAACCTGCGGAACACAAACCCCACCTCCCAACTCCGGAATGAACGGCATCCCATCCGCAAACCCGTACCGAATCATGCCCTCCTTCCTGTGTCCGAGTCTCATATCTCGTCGATAACTTGGTAGAAACGAGAGAATGTAGAGGGACCAATCGCGAAGGAAGATCTTGAGTGGATTACGCTCTGTTACGAAGTTGCCGTTTGCGATTGTGGCAGATAGGGAACGGGTTAGTTGTTGTTTGCGCTCGCGGGACCATGCTGTGAGGATTTCTAGGTGATTGGGAGGATAGGTGGGAGATGGGGATTGCTGGCGGGTGAGTAGGGCTAGACGCCAGGATAGAGAGATGGCATCGCGGAAGCCGGAGGCTATGCCTTGGCCACCGACTGGTATAGATCGGTGTTAGCGCTGATTAGATGGGCATAGAGAGACTAGAGGCGGCATACACGGAGGAAAAACATGCGCGGAGTCACCGCAGAGAACAACTCGGCCGTGAAACCACTCGTTGCAGTTTCGCGCAGCGAATCTAAATGGTCTAGAACGAAGGATGTGAATGCAGTCTTCCGGAAATCGAACATCCTGCGATAACCTATTACAATTAACCCCCTGCCCATTTCCGCTATTTAATAACAAACTCATACTCACCCATATTGACTCCCAGCATGCGAGAAGTACGGGAAAACAACCTCTTTGATCTTCGCAGGGCTGGCCATTTCATCTCCATCTTCACCGTTTTGAACGACGAACTCGAACCGGCATAATCTGTCTTCTGGGAGGCCGAAGCGACCGTATACGGCTGGACGGTTTGGATTGCAGATAAAACGGAAGTTGGATGGGAAGAAGAGGTCGTAGACTTGTTGGGGCGTGAAGCCTAGGTCCCATAGTGGGAAGTCTGGGTGGGTCGTTGGTGTTGGGAGTACTATGTTCCAGTTTAGTGCTACCCAGGTTTCGTCGTAGAATGACCTAACCTCGTTAGTATGACATGGCATAGGATTAAGGAGAAGGTCTGGGGATGATGTACTGGTGAGCCTGTTCCATGTAGATTCCCAATGGTTCGAGGTAATTCTTTCTGGTAAAGCCTGTTTTACCATCTGCGCCGATGAAAAATCGAGATTTGATTGTGTGCGTGTTTCCGTTTATGTCGCGGTAGCGACAATAGGTGTATTCTTCGTCCTCGCGAATTTCGAAAACGGTGCTGTTTGATCTCAATTGGCAGAATTCAGAGGATGTCATAGCATTCCGAAGATGCTGCTCCAGGGTTGGTTGTTTGTGACATATAAAGCCCACGTGTCCGGTACCACCTTCGGTCTGTACTAATTAGCACAGTACATTGCTTAATGCTCGAAGATAGTATACCGTTCCATAGTCCATCTCCAGAAAAGGCGCAGTATCAAGCGTTTTCTCCGTTCCCCCAATAAACTTGAATTTCTGCATGCCTGTCTTCGTTAACCACCAATCCATTATACCCTGAAATCCCGAGAAAAACATACAAGTCCCAATATCCTTGTACACATGCTCATAAACCCCAATCCCCTGAAGTAGACGGATCCCATCTTCATCGAGAGCAATGCCCCGCGGATCCGTGGTTATTCCATCTTCTTTTTCTAGCACAATATGTCGAACAGACAGTCGGCCTAGATATGCAGAGAGCATCGCTCCGGTTGGTCCGCAGCCACAGATAACCACATTTACGGTTTCATAGTCGTGTTCAGCCATGGTTGGTGTCAGAAGCTGCAGATGGCGATGCAGTAACTGAACGCCTATTTAAACCGTTCAGCTGGGTAATACGCGGTGGTCGTAAGCTTCCTTCGACCTGCATAATCCCGTAATTCCGTACAGCAGATCCTAGGGCTATTAGCAATTAGCCACTCATCTTTGGGTCCCGCGGATCCGGCGATCGATTGTTTGTGGGGTTTGTGGGGCCCACCCCTCATCTTGTGGGACATGCGGGGAAGGTTCCTTAACACCAGCCTCAGCCTCGATGCTTTAAGACACATGTACAGACTGGTTTGATCCTGAATCTACAGTTAACTTTGAAGTTGCATAGAAAAAACATAGGATATGGTAAGATCATGACAATCAGTCATAGTGTTTCTAATTAACCATGCCAGGCAATTGAAGCAACCCACGGCTCTGAAGTCCAAGATACCGTCGCGATTGGGCCAGAGCAAGAAGCCCTACAAGCCTGGAGGGAGAGATGCAGCATCAACACTGATGCTCAGATTCGACTGGTCAAACTGTCGCATATGCGATACCAGCATCCGGATCTTGATGAGATCACTGTGTTCCTTCAGGGTGTGTTAAGCTTCTCCGCATTTGTATTTTAAGTCTGGTACTGATAAGAAAAGACTTTGGAATGCAAATTGTCAAGAGAACAGATGACCAGATCTGGTACCGAGGCTACGGAACTGATCCGTACGTTTACTATGCGAAGAAGGGACCGAAGGAGTTCCTTGGGGGGTCGTTTTTGGTGGAGACTTATCACGATTTGGAGAAGTAAATTGGCCCCTGTTTATCAGAATGATCCTGAGTGCTGATAGTTAATGTAGAGCAACACAATTGCCAACGGCCGGTGGAATCATGGAACTCACTGACGCCCCTGGAGGAGGACACATGGTCACGCTGACCGACCCGGACGGATTCCCGATAAACCTCATATACGGACAAACACCAGCACCTCCTGGAAAATTCCCCGAAAAGCTCGCCTACAATTATGAGACCGACAAGCCGCGAGTCCGCAAATTCCTGCGCTTCAACCCTGGCCCCGCTGCCGTGCACAAGGTATGCCATCCATCAACACCTCACTGATGGCAAAGCTAACATCACAGCTCGGCCACTACGGCGTCTGCACCACCAAATTCGACTCCCTCGTCGACTTCTACACCCGTACCTTCAACATCGCCCCCAGCGACTTCCTCTACATCGATGCTGCGGACCCCGCAACCCCCAACGGCAAGAAAAATGTCGCCCTATTCGCACACATCGACCGCGGCTCCACCCATGTTGACCACCACTCTTTCTTCATGTCCTCCAACCCAACCCCGCACGTGCATCACTGCTCCTTCGAGATTCACGACTTCGACACCCAGAAGCTGGGCCACCAGTGGCTTGCGAATAAGGGGTATGAGGCTGTGTGGGGCGTTGGGAGGCATATTCTAGGATCGCAAATTTTTGACTACTGGTGGGATACGACGGGAAATATGATTGAGCATTATGCAGATGGGGATTTAGTTAATGAGGAGACGCCGGTCGGGTATGGGCCGGCGGGGGATGAGTCGTTGGCGGTTTGGGGACCGGAGGTGCCTTCTTGGTTTTTGCAGTAGTTGGCTTCGTACTGGATATCATTTTTTATAAAAACCAAGCATATTCATTGCGGTCATTTGTGTGTGTAATAGGATATCAGTAGGTGTTCTTGTATGATATTAAAGAGACACCAAGATTACCACAACACGATCTCAAGTCGACGAAAAAAGGAAGAACAAACCGCGGCTAATGCCATCCCAAGTAGCAAGCGTATTTGATTTGCTTAAACAACATCGTAAATACTAGTCAATTTAATCCTTGGGCCCCTTTATCATATATTTGTCCCAGCAAAAAATGATGAGACATTGGTTGAGGTAGACCTTTATGCTCCATGTGATGGGACCATCCCGTTGGCGATTGAAAAGTGCACGTTCAAAGCTGATGAACAGAAAGGAACTAGGGACTGTATATACTCTCTGGGGACTTAGATTTATGAGGAATGAATTAGCCCACTCATAGATCTGAGTTTCCAAGTCGATGTTAAGTTCCATGGTCTGTTGACGGGATTGTTGTTGTATGTCCTCTGGGTCGAGTTGTGACATAAGCCTAAGCCTTTATTATCATCAATCAAGACCAGTCGAGCCATGCTAGAAATCCCCGGAGACCGTTTTCCCACAGGAAGATCCAAAAATAATATAATCCAAAAAACCTCGGTACGCTGTTTCCTTGAAACTCGGTGAGAAGCTCGCACGCACTGGCCTCATGAGTTTAGTGTTGGTTGACACAAGGGAAAGAACTCAGATACCAATAATAATCGTTGAGATAGAGAGGATAATACACCTTGGCTACATATTTCATTTTCTCTGCATCCTGAGGAAAGTGATTTTTGAGTTGAGGGATCACCAATCACCAAGACTTCGACGGTGAGCATTTTTACGTTGCAGCCATCTCTGACATTCATGAGATCATGGATCAGTAAGCTAAGAGTGGAGAGTCCCATTTTCTAGCTAGAGGAGCATTTCTCAAAGAACGACCAATTGGGCTCAGTGTCGTTCTCTCTCTAGTGATTTAAACGCAGCAATTTCCGATGACTGGTGTAGGAGGAGGGGCGTATGGGATTTAACAGTGAACCTTTGACCTTTGACATAAGGGACTGGCGGTTTGTGATCCATTGGCAGGAGGTTCGTTCTCTAGCTGTAAACTGGTGTGTAAAATGTGGAGGTGTAACTGAAGCCTTGTTGTCTGGGATGCGAATAGTCAGCGCCTTGTCGACAACTAACTATACAATGCTCGCCAACTCAATATGGCCCGGTCTGCGAGTATGGGCAGCACGTTGCGAAACATGCACATATCTACATCCTTCTTCTAAAAAGTTATGCCAGTAATCTTTACCTAGGAACAGAGAGACTTGAGGTGCATAAGGCGCGCATTTTGAACATTGGAAAAGTCCCTGGAGCTGGCAATGGATCTACCAACCTGTTTCTTGTCCCTGGTAGTCAATTGACATCCAGGAATCGGGATAGTAGATTCAATGCCATTGTACTCCGTTCTCTCAATCTCTTCGAGTCATCGAGAGGGATGTTTTCCCCCATGTTTTGCGTGCTTTGCATTTGTTTTCATTAGCAAGTGGTTGATATTGTATCTTAGTTTCTATTTTCCCGCGCTGAGGGAATATGAACTAAGGATACTGCTAAAGAACCGAGGCACCGAATTGAGTACACCTAGCTAAGCCTAAGCGTAGCAGTATGAACTAACCTAGATTCTTAGCAACAGATCTAATTCCACCATTACCCGATCCATCAATCCTTGTTCTGAACCCGCTTGCTCACCACAGGTTAGCTTTCATCGACGCCACCTTGGCACTCGTTAAAATGGAATAGTACAGTGTAAGCCGACTGAAAGGATAGCCAAGAGTCTTCCTGTTGTGGCTCGTCTCGGTCATGATCGTCTACCACTGAGTTGGCGTCTTCGGATCTCCGCCTCAGGGGGAACACCACTTGGACTTGGAATATTGTCTAAATATTTCTGTCTATCCTGTTTGGGTGATATATCACTACATGAATACAGAAGTTGCCGTATGAATGCAATTTTACTGCCTTTGGGCAGTTCTACCAGTTCCCATGTTGTCCTCATCAAATCAGAGCTCCACCACAAAGCGGGCACGGTTTTCATCGAGGTGTTGGACATATAGGATTTTCTCTCCCGTCGAGGTATGTCTAGGTTGAGTCATTCGTTGTCATATGTAGAGCAAGCGCGGTGGCCTTTTTCTCTCTCTCAATGTGTTGCTTTTGCGCATCCTAAGGGTTCAAAGTAAACGAACTGTGTGGATTGATGGTAATTGCAAGTGCTTTCTCGAGCAGGTTTTGTGGACAGTGATGCCCATTCCCTTGGATAATGATAAATATCACAAAACATTAACAAGACTGGCATGAGAATTTTCAGCAGCTTAGGATTTATAAAAATTAGCTTTTGTTTTCCCATGAATTTATAACATTAGATCCTTCCCAGATATGTGTCAAGCTTGTGTTCCTTATTCTGGCGATGGATCGAATTGCTGATCAATCTCAGGCTATGGGTTGCATTCTTAGCTTCTGAACTAGCTTTACTGTCTTTTGAAGCATCGGCGTTGAAGCCCATATAGTGGTCCTGCTGTAAAGTTTTCCAAAGTGTCTCAAAGGATACTGGCCACTGTCGGAGAGCTCCGACAGTGATTCAGCGAATTACCGCCCTTCCCTAAACGCACCAGTCTTAAACCTCACGAGGCAGTGATGAGCAGTATTCATTACTCGTAAAGCGGGCCGCAGTTGTAAAACGTGGGCTTTTTGCTATTCTATTGAATCACTAAATGCACTGTACCAAGCATCGTCAAAGCTAAGGCTCCCCATCACTCTCTCACAAAAGGAGTATGATAACTAGGCCCATACGCAGCCTGTTCCGTATGAGATGCCTCAACCGTATCTTGTCTATCCCACGGGATAATATCCTGCGTACTTGAACCCCGTGACAAATTGGTCTGCAAGATATCCTTCTCCTTTTTCTTGGCAGCAGCAGCAGCCTCTTCAGCCGCCACCGCAGTCTGACACCGATGCCGCATCGCAATCACCACAAACACAATACCAGCAATCCACCAGGAAAACAAAATAGGAAGCGCGCGATAAAGTTGATTCTCGCACCCATCGCTCCAGACTTGCACAAGCACTTGGTACACCTCATGAGCAGGAAGTGCGTATCCCCAACGGAAAAAGCCGGGGTTGAGCTCGAAGGGACTGATGGTGCTGGCGACGTTCATTATAACCCATGTCAGTATGCAAAAAGGCATAAACCGCAATGACACGAAGGAGGTGAGAATATCGACAATGAGGAAGTTGATGTGCATGTACAGCCAGATGATCATCCAGCACAGCGCGAACTGGTTGCTGTTGACAGCCCAGGATTCTCGGAAGGCCCAGATGTAGCCCACCATACATAGGGAGCCGAAGAATGTATAGGCGAAAGATATACACATCCGCAGGAGTCCATTGGCTGTTGGACTCAGCTTGGTGAGTAGTTGGAATTGAGATGAGATTCCGTTCAGGGCCATCATGAAGAAGAATTGCTGAATGATTGGCATCACCATTGAAACAGTGTTGTAGAGTACTCGGGTACCTTGTTCAGTGACCTTGATGTTGACTTCTGTTGCTTTGATCGGGTCGAGGAATGCTTGTAGGCTTTCGGGATTTGTCGAGAGTGGTGCTGTACTCATCACGTCGGACGCGTTGCGGGAGTAGAATGCTGACCGGGTCACCTGGACCAGAGCTATAAGGTTGGAATAGATCGCACTCTGTGCGAATGCCGGATACCGTGCGCCATTCCAGACATACGCGAGCGAGTTGCGGTCGCCACTACCGGTAGCGAAAGCAGAAGATAAATTCGAAGATGCCCCGGACTTCGTATAGATAGCGCCCCAATAGTCACCACTACAAACTGCCCGTCTCACATCGCTTGGGTCTGGATAATTAGTGGCGGGTGACTGCTGCAGTGACGGGAAGCTGTCGCCACGCATTATTCCATAGGCATCAAGGACGGACTGGCCCACCACGCCTCCATCGTAGTCAACATACAACAAATTGAGGTTGTGGAAGCGACTGCTATCTTGGTATTGGGTCGCATAGAGATAGCACATGTTGCCCAGGAATAGGATTTGGAGGAGAATGAAACTGGTCGTTAGGGCTGCCAGGAAACCCTTGCGGGATTCCTTCCAGAAGCCGGCTGGCGCCGGTGCGCGGGATGACGAGTGAGATTTTGCCATATTAGATGGTACAATTAATTAGTGAAATCGTCTCTCAGAGACTTGTTCCTTCTACCTTCATTTATAACTCCTTTCCGCGTTGACTTTTCATAAGTCTTTGCTGGTGTTGTAGTCGGTCAGGATATCGGGGAGTCGGAGTCCGATTACCCCGGTTCCGAATACCCCGAATATCCCGATAACATCGGATTTAATGTCACTTGAATGTCACATATTTCGAGCCATGCCTCCGAATCCCTAGTGTAATAGTATGAGCAGTATTGGAACACTCAGAGCCAATCCAGGGACGCCATTGATTTCGTAACCTGCTGGCGCTCATGTCGCGGAAACTTCCCTGGCTTGGCTTGAAGTATTGTGATGTCTTCGATATTTTCAATGAGAACCAGTCATACTGGGCGATAGATTCTGGAAGACTCATACCCAACAGGAAGATTCAAGGAATAAGACCCAAAAACTTGAGTACAAGGTCACTCTGAAATTCAGTGAGAAGGTTTTATGCATGGATTTCTTGGGTACAATTTGTCACGGCGCTCTACTAGGATAATGGAACATCCAACTCATGGGTTCTACCTAGGTCGCTATCGACGAGAATAATCAACATGAGGAAGGAAGGAAGGAGGTGACGCCGTATTTATCAACAAAGCAAACAACTGCATCTCACGTGATAGCCAGACAACGTGACCAGGCCGTCACACAATTCCTGTCAATACAAAGAAACAGGTTCACGTAGCCTTTATTGTAACTGTAGTACAGAGATTGTCGTATATTTTCACCACAACCGGTTGGAAGCAGCTGCCAGTTGAGAGCGATTGTGTTCCAAAGATATTTACAGTAAAGTCTTGCGTATTGCAGCCGTCTCCAACTCTTAATAAATCAAAAATCTCCAATTTAGTGTGGTGTATGGTTCCGTCTTGCCAGGTAGTGGTGAGTGCTTCAAGAGCCTTTTAACTGGGTTGGGAGTCTTTCTATTCTTTTTGTCTTTTGCTTATTCTGGCAACAGCCCCTAATCACTGGTCTATGAGGAGCAGGCGTGTGAGATTAAACGGTAAACCTCCAGTCTTTCTCGTGAGGTAGTGTTGGTTTGGGAAGCTCAGTTGAATCGGGAAATATGTTCCTACCGTACGCTAGGTGTAGTAATGCTGTCTTCAGTAAGGTTTGACAATTGCCTGGTAAGGAATGAAAGCCGGAGGAGTGCCTGGGAGAGAGAAGGAGAGGAATTCATTGAAAGAAAGGGAGACCAATGATTATTAAGCTGCATCTAGGGACACGTGACCATTGAGCATATGGCGTTTAAATTCAAAGTCATTGCAGTAAGATTATGTCAGTCAAGATTTTATGGAAATTAGTTTCAATTGGGCTCATGGAAATACAGGGCTGGGTTGTGGTGTAATATGACGAAGCAGACGGATTTTTAGAATATAATTCCAGGGCTTCTTTCGGTCTCACGACACCCCAAGGGACGAAAGCTGATTATCCCTTTGTGTTGTTCCTGCGATTTCGCTGCGGACTCTGGTGTTTGCGACTTTCAAAAGTGCATATCCCACTAGAGCCCTAATCAGCGCCACTTCACCGCCACACCGCATGTTTTCTGTCACATCTGATCTCACCGTTGAGAATAAAGAGAAGAAAGAAAGATTGTTGACTGTATGCGTCATGCGCAATTCCCTCATCCTTGCTGTTGATCTCCTCCCCTAATTCCCTCAATCAAGGATAAGATTCTCCGGCAAGAAGAACAAAAGTTCCCCGAAACCGCCCAAAAGTACCCATTGGCAGATCCGATCGGTTACCCACAGCAGTGGAATCCGGATCCCCTTCCCCGGTGGAACCAATGGATCCCCAATCCCACACATCCGGAACCCCTACGCAAAAGTACCGCCTTCCCCGAAAGCCCCCAACTACGTTTGCGTCTTGTCTTCACTCCCTCCGAACTTGTGCCGGATTTAAAGGCACACCGCAGTGGGTCCCGGAAGGGGAGTCTGGCATCCGCGCGGGCGGGTCAGAGAATCCGGCGTAGGGTAGCAGATTAAAGCTGGTCCCGTTAATTCCGGGAATCTGTCACGATCTATGTTGTCGATGGGTCTGTTGCTCTGTAAATGATGCGTTCCGTTCGGATGGGACTATGGATCCCGATAAATTTAGCTCATTCTATATACACACCGAGGAAGCAAGCAATGCGATTGCGATTTCCACCGCCACTTTATCCAATAAGCGAAACCCCCACTGGGCTTGGTTTGGGTCAGCAAACATTTGATTATTTTTTTTATGACGCTCGGAACTTTATTCTATTCCTTTAACCAACGGCCATGTGGCTTGGTAGGGAATCTGACCGGTTGGTCTAGCCGGACACCTGCAGATATGTTTCGGACGGGTTTGGAATTCGATTTCGGTCCTTTTATAAATATGGGCTTGAGGACTACCTGCATATAGGGATTCTTTGTACTACTTTTTTGTTCCCTGTGATTTACTCCTCGTCCCTTCCAAAAAAAAAGAAAAGAAAAGTACTTGTCTTGAATGCTCGATTCATATAGAGCTGGATCTCTTCAGGTTGCTTGATTATTGTGCCATTTCTTTTCATACTATCCAAACCCTCACATTATTGTATCACGCGAAAAAGCCACAATGGACAAAAATACCACGATGTCATCGAGTAACGGTCACAACTCTGAGAGAGTCCCGACGTGCATGACGCCCGAAGAACTGGCTTCTTACCAAGCGCAATGGGAGCAAATAGACCATATCACAGCCCGGAAACTCAGAGAGGCAAAAGGTATGCCATCTTGCTATTGATAATATTTAGAATGAGATCTAATATGTGCCAATTTCTAGAACAAGAAAAGAGAAAGTCGTCTTCGGGATAGTGCATATCGAGATATAGGTGGCTGTGTTACTGAAAGTTTGCATTACTTGGGCGTTTCTTGCATTTTGCGCTTTTGTTCCTGATATCATGTTGTATTGTTAATTATTGCATCCACGAGTTACCACTTTTCATTCTATTCTGGCGAGGTTTGGGCTTAAATTATTTCGTGCTCCACTCTTATCACGCAACTGCGCGTGACTCATAAAATTAGCCTGTGTGAATATATATATTCTATGGAGGATTCCGAACTATTTATGTATGGTTATAATTCCCTCTCTCCATGAGGCGTGTCGATTCTCGAGTACCGAATATATCTCCGATCTAGATTCATCGAATATCTAGAATTAAACATGTCCATCTCCGAAGAGGTTCCCGCGGCCAATGATCCATTTTCCCGGACCATTCTCGCCCTGAGATCTGTCCAATTGACTATTAAATCCAAACAGTACTTTGGATTTGATCTAGACGATACACTGCACGAGTTCCGGAAAGCATCCGCCTTCGCCTCATCAGCTGTTTTCGAGGCAATCCGCCGAGATACCGGTATCGAAATGGACTCCCTCAAAACAGCATACACCGAAATCCTACGATCTAAGACAGCGTCTGCATTTACTGAGGGCAAGACGTCAACGGAATATCGGAGGGATAGGTTCTCGCTTCTTCTCCAAGCCCATGGCTTCGAAACCTTTGATACGATACTCGAACGTCTATTAGACATCTACAAGAATAGCTTGCAGGCTGTATTGGAACTTAAACCCGGCGCTCTATCTCTCCTTCAAACTCTCAAGCGCCTAAACAAAAAGATTATAGTCATCACAGAAGGCCCGCAAGATGCCCAAGAATGGACAGTCCGGGAACTCGGAATAGCGCCGTATATCGATATCCTAGTCACGACCAATGAGATTGGAAAATCGAAGGTTGACGGCTTGTTTTCTGTCGTTCTGGAGAAATACAGTATTGATGCTGGGGATATTATTTACGTGGGGGATAACGAGGTGAGGGACGTAGTGCCAGCGAGAAGTGAGGGGTTGTTGGCAGTGTTTTATAATGAGCATGGAGAGACGAGATTGGATGAGGGTGATGGGCTTTCTGTAAAGACCTTGGGAGAGTTGGAAGATACGTTAAATATTTGAGTTGCACTAAGGTAGTTGAACGTTAACTGCTTCTATCCAGTCCGGTCTGTCAATATATGCACGGCATATTACTGTCGAGATTCAGGTTAAAATTAGGTTAACAGTCTCATTTGACCTTCTTGTTAGAGGAGCTAAGAGCGCCATCTTCCTCTCCCGAAGAGTTAATCGTCCTTTCTCGTCCCTCTGTCTTGCCTTGGCTCTCTTCGCCAACAGTTGTGCCTGTTGTTTCAGTTGCAGCAGCAGACAAGTCCCTTTTCTCCGTTTTGTTTATCTTGTCATCATTTTTATGCTATTTTATCTCTTGCTGCTCGCCTTGTTGTTGCGGCTGATCCTCCTGTTCCTGTCTCTTCTTATGAGCGACAAAAAAAAAAAAAAAAAAGAGAGAATAAACACAATAGCAAACATGGCAATGGAGGCATAATAGCCCGCACGATAACCCTCTAGATTTGCCTGGGGGTTACTCTTGCCGCCTTTGTCTGAGGCAACAGAGTCAGAAATGACAGTCAAGATTGCTACACCGAGAACGGCACCGCCAACATTGAGAAACATCTATAGCCGCTTGGTACATATCCATGAAGTATTTGAGCAGATTCGGAAGGCACTCACATTGTAAACACCAGAATCGGTTCCTTGATGCTCTTCCTTCGCGGCACCAATTACCGTAACATTACCGACAAAGTATACCGTTCCAATACCAGCGATATAAAGAATCATACCGGGAAAACAGAACGGCCAATATTCATTGCCGCTGCCCATGCGGCTCAGCAAAATAAGACCCGCCAGACCAATATCCAACTGGCACCAAGCAGATTGCGGGGCCCAACGGGGGCCAGGAGGAAGGGAATTACGAAGTTGACCACGCAAGCGGTTATTCCTAGAGGGAGGAAGTGGAGGGCTGTTGATAGGGCGGAGTAGCCGAAATCTGCAATGCAACATGTTAGTGGGGTCGTAATGGAGGAAACGAAGGACAACACATACTCTGAAGCTGAAGAGTCAATAGGTAGTTCGAGCCCTGCCACATAGCATATGCCAAGGCGGCGACCGCACATCCAAGGACTTTGATCCGATCATCCCAGAGATAGCGAGGGAGGACGGGGTCAGAAGAGACCTTCAGTTCAACAAAGACGAAGGTCGCAAGTAGCGCTAGAGCAACAATTAACGTTGCAATGACATCCGCTTTGTCCCAGCCATGGACATTGCCGGTTGTTAGTCCATAGACCAGCAGAACCAATCCGGACACAGAAAAGAAGGTTCCAAGGGCATCAAGGCGAATATGCAAGTTGGACCACTTGTCTCTGGCTGTAGATGCTGCGCCGGGCAAGTTGTTCGTAAGCAGGAGCGCAATGGCCGTAATCTTGAGGCTACGTTCGACAATGAGAGAGACCCAGAAGGTCTGTCGACTCGTTAGCGACCATCATACTAACAAATTCCTTATAATGATGAGTATACCCATTCCAACGAAACAAGTGAAGTAAAGACGCTGCCAAGGATGGGCCCAAAACTAATTCCATTAGCCGTCAGTCCAGGATCTCCGACATGCTCTGAGCACTTACACAAAACCACTTGAACCGCACGCGCCCCAAGCACCAAAAGCTTTGACCCGAGCCGCAGGATCCTCAAATGACAAGGCAACCAGTGACTGCGCTGAAGGGATTGTAAAAGCCGCCGCCACCCCTATCACGGGGCCAGTTAGTTACCTATGAGGGGACAAGAAAAAGGAAAGAGAAAAGGGTTACTCACCTTGAAACGCCCTCCCAACAACAAGCCCAAGCTTACCATTAACAAGAGCACAGACCAATGTGGCAATGTTGAACAGCGTCATGCCGAAAAGGAGAACATTTCTATGGCCAAAGATATCACCCAGCCTGCCCCCGGCCATTAAAAAGCCGCCAAACTATACCCAAATTAGCATTACCTGCATAGCAACAAAACTATTGAAATTAATGAATGCATACCGTGAGCGAATAGGCCGTCAGAGCCCATTGCAGCGATCCTTCATCGTAGCCGAGTGCCTTCTGAATGGTCGGAAGGGCGATATTGGTCATGCCCAGATTTGCAATGTCAACAAAGAAAACGAGGGGCCTGCAGGATAAACTGAGTCATGCAATCACACTTTTATGCTGTCGGTTCGTATAGACGTACACTATAGCCAGGGCCACAAGCGACGCAGTCCGATTCAACGAACTGGTGGTCATGGCGGGATTTCAATGCTGAGATAATTTTAATGCTCTTTGCCTGAGAACTGACGTGGAGCCAAAAATCTGGCGCTTTTATCACCCAGCGAGTCCAAGGCACCAGCTGGTGACGCACCGCAGGACCAATTCATGGCCACAGAACGACATGTTGCAGCTGAAACATTGGCTTGCGTATCGTTGTCTGCCTGGGAGATTATGCATGCTTAGTTACACCATAATCCTTACAAAAGCTATTTGAAATAGTCCCGGGGGTCTTATGTGTTATAGTACTCTGTACGAGGTCTAGACTGACTCCTGTGGTCTGTATGTGATTCCAGATACCTGTTTGTGCGCGAGTCATGTTCCTGCGCCAGTTTCCAATTCTGGTAAGCATGCCAAGTCGCATTCGGGCCGAGTATCCGGGGTGATCATTGCTTGTTTGTGTTGCACTAGCCCGATGTGGTAAAGGACGAGCGTCAACTTTATTTACTATGCATAATATCGGGGTGCTTCAGCCACATTCAAGGTAACCCTATGTTCATCTAGGAACACCACAGGGTGAGTGTATTCTTTCCCGGGGAGGCTACTAGTACATCAGAGCGCACACATACTGTTTTCCATCCACCATCCCGTACGCCTTGAAAAACGCTACGATATCCTGGCGTTTGTTGTCCCGCGCTGCCAGAAGAGCCGCGGCTCCTCCATCTTCGTATATCTTGTGAACACCCTTTTCCAATATAACCTCGATGACATAAAATGGAGAATAGAACACCGCCTGCTCGAGAAGCCGAGATCGGGCGGGATGAATAGGAGCACCCTTAACCAACAGTAACACCACGAGGCGAGGGAAGCCATAGACATGAAGTGCAAGTGACGGGGGCATTTCCTCATATTTGGGCTCTCCATATATACCCGCGCCATTTTCCAGGAGCAAGCAAATTGTGTCTTTGTGGCCCCGAAGAGCGGCGATTCCCAGTGCAGTAGTCACACTTCTCATAGAAATCAGTATAGTAGATTTGCGCGCCCTTGGCCAACAGAAAAGGCATCACTTCAGACCTCCCGCTATATGCAGTTGCAGGTAATGTATGGTTTCAGAAGACCTGTAATACTGGTGGCAGGAATTCGCCAATGTCCTTATCCAACCACTTCACAAGGTCAATGCTCCCACGCATGACGGCCAATGTTAGGCTATAGGCTGACCTCCAGGTATGGTGACTGGGGCGCTGCAATAGTAGCCAGGCTATCTGCTCGTGCCCTTCAAACGTCGCTGTTTCCAAGGTAGTCGAAGTATATGTGTTTCGATGCTGGCTGAGAACTTTTGCTGAAGCTGCCAGATATTAGTATAATTACAGGTATACCACTCCTCTGCTGCATTTCGATATGTGTGTCCGGCTTCCCAAACAGCACCTCTGCTCAGCAAGAGTCTAATAGCATCCAAGTAGCCATTGCGGGAGGCATTACACAAGAGTGCTCCGAAGACGTCACTCTCCTAGCTCACATTGAAACTATCTGGTTCTTGTTCCAAGAGGTGATGGACAAGCGATAGTTCCCGACAGATGCCGCCGCAGTGAGCAGATGCTCCGGTGCATCATACTCTGCGTGAGTACTGCTTGACCAATTCCAACGATCCCATGCTGCCGCCGCACGCTAAATGACCAGGGAGATTTCTTGCTGCTGCTTCTGCCGTCAGTTTTCGTACCTTTCGGCGAAATAAATTTCAAAATACCCGTTAGCCGATTGAGAGCATGTCGTATTGCTTAAAGGAGTAGTCATCTGTGTGGTCTCGAGATAGTGCTTTTTCTTGAGTGAGGTACGGGTCATGGCGCACGTGGCGTTCATTGTAAAAGTGCGTGGAGTGCATCGCGACGACAACCTCTTTGGAAAAGGATTGTGGGACTGGCTTAGTATTCATATCATAGTACCTAGTCGGTAGACCTTCCTATTGACCAGTCGAAGGTCGTAGCAATGGAAGTGAGCCTGACAGATTCCTCGGGGATCACGCAAACTACCTCGAGTGGTAAGTCGAGGAGGATAATCTTCAGCTCAATGGGATCTTGGGCTAGAGAGACAATGGCAGCAGGGGACGAGAAGGTGGGTGGGACGGTAAAGACGAAGAAGAAAATGAAGCACAATTGCACCTGTCGTCTCTTGTGAGGCAATTGCAGACAGAGAGCAGAGCCTTGTCCAGATCAGCCTAGCGCTCTGACCCCCCGAGCTCTGTAAAGAGATCATTCACTGCTGTTATAAAGGACTCAGATTAAGACAGTCTTTCTCGCGATGACACCGGGGACCTGTTTGTGGCTCCATGCTCAATCTCTCCAGTTATATACACAACTTCTGATGATGCCGCATTTTCGGAATTATCTTCAATCAACATTATCTCTCATAGCGTAGCTTTATTTCCTAGTTCATCTATTCAAGCTTCTGACCCTGGTACCATCAACGACCAACGAATCTCAATCGATGAACTTGACAGTTTTGAGAACGAAGGTTTTTTTGCAATGGACATTGGAAGAATATATAATCACTTATAGTGCTTATCTGGAGCAATGCTGTCTCCCTGGGATCTGAGAGATTCACGTCATTCTTGTTGCTATTCGGGGTACTGGACGAACGGTCTGTCCTCCAGACTGCGAAGTACCGAGATCTGATTAATATGCTCCCTGATTGGCCCCACGCCCCATCGTTTATTGATAAGATCCATGGCTCGACTGACACAGAAGATCTGGAATGCCAAGCCCCTAACCACATAGGGACAGGTATTCCAGAGTCCAGATGAGCAACCCCCATATACAGCTAGAGGCTACCCTCGTATCCTCAGCTAGAGAGGCTAGCCGGGAGTTGTTGTGGGGTAAATCTGAGTTGTGATTGATTTGCGATTGGGAACTGAAAATAAAGATTGGGTTCCAAATAGCTGCAGATGATTGATAGTCTGAACATTCGGCTCGGTCAGTGGTGGAGTTGTGCTGGATCTTGTTACCGAGTGCCGATGCAGAGAGGAGCATAAGCAATGACCTGGTGATGAGCGGTGAAAAGATTGGGAATGTGTTTAAGAATAAAGTTGTTACATTTTGGTTCAGACTCCTTCTTGCTTCTTGTTACTTTTGGTTATCTTTCTTCTTCCCCGTGGCTTAAACAGATACAAAGTAGTTCAAGATGCGGTTTCTTCTAGATCCCCACGTTCTCTCCCTCGGGGAACTTCAGCCGCCAAAACAGGTGCATGTACGTTGATTTGAGGAAGAGCTGCAGGGCGTGGCCGCTAACCACGATCAACCAGTCCGTCAGCGTTTCAATGCCAACATGGGACATTGTAGTCGGCTGGGGTAAACGCGAAGACACGGTGATGAGCAGAATGCAGACGGTTTACCCAAGGTATCTAGTCTATCACAATAAACATCAAATAATGCGGACGATGTTGATAGTGATAGTTTCATGTCCGTACAAAGGCGATTGAATATCGCCAACAATCACCCCGACTGCATGTTATTCCCTTCCGAAATGACGGCACGGCGGTTAGTCTCGCAATTTAGAGTCAAGAACAGAGAAAACGGTAGAACCGGTGGCCTTTTACCTACCGGATGGTGTATCGATTGAGGACGCCCGCTGGGAGCGTTTCATCGCGGTGATATACGATCGAGATCTCCGCCCACAAGCCCACAAGACCTGGTGCATACTAGGAGATGGGATGTCTAGCAGACACGGGGAGTTCTGCAAAGACCGGATCGACTTTATGCACTCCCAGCCCCGCTTTCCAAACTGCCGCACCATGTTTAGATACGACAGAATTGGCACCGGCACCGTGGACGGATTCCGCTCATCGAGAGAAACAGCAGATTAAGAAACAGATTGCGGAGCTAGTGACATCAGAGAGGCCTGGCCCGAAGGGCGTCTCGCCAGATGATGTTTTTTTGTATTTGAAGGGGATGGTGGCTATTAATAATGTAGCCAGGGCATTACTCAGGACTCTACCGGGTCCTGAGTACAATGGGGCGGTTGTTTACGGGTTAGTTAGGTATTTGTTGGGGGTGATTACGATGCTAATGTTGGTGACATTAAGATAGCCCTACGCCGAGACACCCAAGGCCGTGGAGATGGCCGGGTTCGAACGATTTACGTTATGTGGACGCGTGACGCGCGGGAATTGGATGAGTTGGAGGCTTTGTTGAAGTCGGGTCAACGCATTCGTACGCTGTTTTGCGAGGTTCCGTGTAATCCGCTGCTGGAGTCATCCGATTTGTTACGAGTTAGAGCTTTGGCGGATGGGTATGGGTTTGTCGTGGCTTGCGATGAGACCCTGGGGACGTTTGTGAATATCGATTTGCTTCCGTACGCCGATTTTCTCATGATGAGTTTGACCAAGTTCTTCAGCGGCGCGTCCAACGTGATGGGTGGGAGATAAGCAGCTTTAGCACTGTATACCCCGGAAGACAGCTGGCAGATCAGCGTAGTCGTCGACCCCCAATCCCAACATTACGGTACAATCCACTCCGCCCTGACCTCCAGCTTCGAAGACGAATACTTCCCTCTCGACGCTGTCACCATGTCTCAGAACAGCACCGACCTTGTCCCCCGTCCACGTCCACCACAGCAACACCATTGTCCTCTCCATGGCCAACCTCCTCTCCTCCCACCCCTCCATCCACCACGTCCACTACCCAACAATGGTAACCTCGGCACCGCTCTATGAAAAATACCACCGCCGCAACGGTGGGCACGGATTCCTGCTAAGCATGATCTTCAACCACGCGACGAATGCGGTGTGTTTCTACGACGCGCTAGACTGCAAGGGACCGAGTGTGGGGACAAACTTTACGCTGGCGATCCCATATGCGCAGCTGGTGCATTTTCAAGAGTTGGAATTTGCGGCGGCGTATGGGGTCGATCGGTATATTGTGCAAATTAGCATTGGGTTGGAAAATGGGGAGGTGGTGATGGAACAGGTGTGGGAGGCGCTAAGGGCGGTTGAACGATTGGAGGCTCAGGGTGCTGCGAATGTGACTGCAAGTGCGAGTCCGCATGCGAAAATATGAGAGTCGTGGTACTCCGTCCATAGCACGGTGCCCAACATTCTTAAGCCCATTTTTGTAGTCGTACTACGGAGTACTAGTGAAGAGTGATTAGTGGGAGGCAAACCTGTGCAGATCATGTGACAGCTTACGTAGACTCGGAAACGCGTGTCGATCACGAAAAGGCTTTTGCTATCTATAGAATTTTTATTTTTATTTATTTTTTTTCGTTTTACTGGTAGCTGTGATGCATTGAAGAACGCAAAACAGGATTGCGATTGACCAGACGTAATCATGAGTTCGCTTGTTAGTTAGTGTACTCCGTACCAGGGGTCAACCGGTAGAGCTCAGACCCATAGATAAGGCAGAATGCCTGAGGCAAGGAAATCTTCAGATTGTACGGGGATGGTATAGATGCAAGGTGCCGGGTAATTTTCAGGTATAACCAATGAACGGGGTATATACTTGTACTTGTATGTTTACTCGGTACCCGGGTCCAACCCCTATAACTCCCGGGGTCTTTACATACATCGACAGGATTGTATACACTTACCCGATGCGGGGTAGCGCGTGTTGGCCAAGCTAGTCCTAAACAAGGCAGGCCATATCAGCTGACCCCGCCGGCTTCATTTTCTGAGAGATATCATTATTATCGTTGTTTCATCATTGCTCTGTAGTACTATTCTGTACTCTGGGGAGAAATACTCATACAGAGAACAGAACCCTGTTCATCAAAAACAAACAGTCCGTGCGGTAATTAAGATATCCCCGACTTAAACTGGAAGGACTACTGACCCTCCTTCCACCCGCCGAATTCTCGCCCGGTCCGTCCAGGGTTGGCTTCTTTTTTCTTTTTTCGATTTTTCGCCCCCGGCCCCTGTGAGAGGATATCGTTTCCTTTAATAGGGCCTCTTTGCTGGCTTCTTCTTTTCTTCACTTTTCTCTCTCTTGAACTTACATACAGTCCTTCATATTCCTTCATTTGACTCATCTCCTCCTATCAGAGTCTGCCGTTTGCAGTGACAGCACCAAGCCAACGGCGGCTCCACCTCTCAGCCACGCCCGGAAACCGCAAGGCAATACTAGAGGCCGTCTTATTCCATCACACTAAACTGAAACAGCCTCCCCGGATTAGTCTATATTTGTTCTAATTCGATGATTGACCCCGATTATCCCAAACCGACCGTCAGGTCTGGGTCCCTTTGCAACTCCGATAGCAACATCAGCGGCAACGGCACCAACAACACCAACCCTCCCGAGTCCGAGTTACATGCGGCCGGTGCAACCATAGCCGCGCATGCCCCCCAATCTCACCCGCATAATAATGAACACGTACAGCCGGTCCCATTGCTGAACCACGGGGCTCCGGCGTCTGCCATGTCGCCGCCCCCCTCGTCTTCCTCGTCCTGCTCCAGACCCGGTTCTGCCCACGCCTTCCCCGCCACAACGGATTGGGTGCAGAATAATGAGAATGTACCACCTCTCTATCTGTCCCACCACTATATGCCCTCGTTACAGATCCGGACCGATGTACCCCCGACTCCCAGTCCCATGAATTCTGCCGATCCTATGGTTACCTACAGCGTCTCCTCCGCCGGTAGTAGTAGCCTGCCCCCGCGGACTCCAAGTTTTCGTGGCCTGCGTGCTACTCGCAATTCGAGTACCAATTCACTCTCTCCGGCTACTTCGGTTTTGTCGTCTCCTCAGTTGTTGGCTATGGGTGATATCACGCCCTTGCCTTCGCCTATTGTTGGTGCTACTCAATGGAGGCCGTCTCGAAACGATGCGCAACCTCTGTCTCGTACGCCGTCGACCATCTCTCGCCCTGGTTCTAGTCTCAGTTTGCGATTGAGCGAATCCTCTCATCGCTTCGGACGGTCGAGCTCGCGCTCGCGTACGAGACCCTATACCAGCGGAGAGAGGGGGGAACGGTCCATCGATACTGCTGCTAGCATTCCTGAAGTCCCGCCTCGACACACGCGAAATCGCAGTCTGAGTGACTATGTGCCTCCGGGACGCAGCATCCCCATCAAGCCACGCCCGATTGTCGCGTCAGGATCACATGGTATCGCTCCGTCTTCCAGTACCGACGACAAAACCAAAAACGGTCTTCATCGCGAACAATACCTGGCCGTGCAACGCGGAATTGCTTTTCCCGCTGCCCGTCCGCTCACGCCGCCCCGAAGCAGTCGAGGTGCTGACGACGAGCAACAAGGGCCAGTGGTTAGCCGTTCTGCCTCTCTGGGCGATTCGGAGGAGGTTTACTCGGTGCGATCGATACGCAGCCAGCAGCCCCGCAAATACCGCAAGCTATGCCAGCTTGGCCAGGGGACATTCAGTCAGGTTAACCTTGCTGCTCGCATGGAGCTGGAACAAGCAAACGGTGCCAGTGATCTCCCTCTCATGGCCAATATGACTTCGACGTCGCGGAAATTGGTTGCAGTCAAAGTGATCGAATATGGTCCTGCTGGTGGTGCGGACGAAGAACGTCTGGAAGTCTCTTTGAAACGGGAAGTGGATATCTTGAAAACCATCAACCACCCATCCATCGTTCAACTCAAGGCTTTTGGCAGCGACGAGAAGCGAGCTTTGTTGGTCTTGGACTATTGTCCCGGAGGTGATCTTTTTGATGTCGCATCGTCAAGCTCGCGGCCCATGTCGCCTAGTCTCACCAGACGTATTTTTGCGGAATTGGTGGCTGCAGTGCGCTACCTGCATCAAAACTTTATCGTCCATCGAGACATCAAATTAGAGAGTTAGTCCCCTTTTTTTTCTTTTTTTGGGGGGGGGGGGGGGTCCAGTATTCAGAATTGTCTCGCTGACTGATATCAGACGTGCTCGTGACCATCCCATCGGCCGCCATGCACAAGCCAATTGACTGGCGCACCTATGATCGAGCCGTTGTCACGCTGAGTGATCTTGGTCTGTCGAGACGAATCCCCGAACCCCCCGAGAGTCCGCTTCTCCATACCCGTTGTGGCAGTGAAGACTATGCAGCACCCGAGATTCTGATGGGCCAGGCCTATGATGGACGTTCAACCGACGCGTGGGCCCTTGGTGTGTCCTTGTACGCCATGATGGAGAACCGACTGCCTTTCGACGCCCTTCCCGGAACTCGTGGTGACCCCGCCAAACTCCGCGCACGAACACCACACCGCATCGCCCGATGCGAGTGGGGTTGGTACCGCTATGCCGACAGTGACGAGGAATGGGATTCCGAAAAGGGCAAAGATTGGGGCGAGGCACATAAATGTGTTGAGGGTCTTTTGAAACGCAACACACGACGAAAGAACCTCGATGATATCGCCACCATTCCTTGGGTCCGGGATGCAATTGACGTGCCTAGCGGACTGAAACGAGGTGATCAAGAGGTGCCTTAGAGCTGGTCTCTTTTTTTCTTATAATTTGCATGAGATGCCCTTTGCATACAGAACATTTCGCCCATTTGGTGTGAGCTGATTCGGTCATGCACCGTGGCCATTGCATTAGCTATATTGCGTTCTTTTCTTTCCTTTTTTCCTCTTATTTCTTTTCTTTTATTTTCTTTTTTTTTTTTTTTTTTTTTGACGATTCGGTTTCCGAGAGACGATGCATGATCATGATTTTATCCTTGATAATAATTAGTTTGTTGCTAGATTGTTTATACCCATAGCATATACGAGTATACTTGCCTAGGTGGCTATTTAATTTGACCTGTTAGCATACTTCTGTTCACATCTAGAGTAGTGTCAAGAGAGTACAAGTGTCCGACCCAATAGAAGAATGCACAAGTATAGATGAGTAATCGGTTCACTCCTGGCACAAAACGCTGACAATCCCGGCCTTTCTATTGGGCCAACCCCGGCATCGGCAGCGCTAGTCCCGATCCAGCACCGACTTCGCTGCTGCCCGCGGAGCTCCGGCTCAACTCCGGACGGCTTTTTTCTGGAGACGGAGAAGAGACAGTCGGGGATTGTGTCGTTTTGTTTTCTTTTCTTGCAAATTACAACTCTCCGACTGTGTGTCAATTATAAAATGCTTCTCTCACAACCACGGGGGCGTCTGCCCTCTGCTCTGCGGAGCTTGTCCAAGACTTCTTTTGCTCTGTACGTTACACCACCAGGGTCCAACAGTCTGGACCACCACCAATTGACCATCTACTAACATCCACCGTCTACAGTCGCTCCCTCTCAACCACCCTCCCCCGCGCAAACAAAACCCCTGCTGAAACCGACTCCGCCATCAACAAAGTCTCCCGCCATGTCACCCAGCCCATCTCCCAGGGTGCATCGCAGGCCATGCTGTTTGCCACCGGCCTGAACGAAGCAGACATGAACAAAGCACAAGTCGGCATCTCCTCGGTCTGGTACAACGGTAACCCATGCAACATGCACCTGCTGGACCTGAACAACCGGGTGCGGGACGGTGTGCAAAAGGCCGGGCTGGTGGGGTTCCAGTTCAACACGGTTGGTGTGAGTGATGCGATTAGTATGGGCACCAAGGGTATGCGGTACTCGTTGCAGAGTCGGGATTTGATTGCGGACTCGATTGAGACGGTTATGGGGGGTCAGTGGTATGATGCGAACATTAGCATTCCAGGTTGTGATAAGAATATGCCTGGTGTGCTGATGGCGATGGGACGGGTGAACCGGCCGAGTTTGATGGTTTATGGGGGTACGATTAAGCCTGGTTGTGCGGCTATGCAGGGGAATGCAGACATTGATATTGTCTCTGCGTTCCAGGCATATGGGCAATTTTTGACGGGCGATATTACCGAGCCGCAGCGGTTTGATATTATTCGGAATGCTTGCCCTGGTGGTGGTGCTTGTGGTGGTATGTACACCGCCAACACTATGGCTACTGCTATTGAGGTTATGGGTATGACTTTGCCTGGTTCGTCGTCGAACCCCGCTGAATCCCCCGCCAAGGACCTCGAGTGTCTGGCTGCTGGTGAAGCTATCAAGAAGCTGTTGGTCGAGGACATTCGCCCCTCGGACATTCTTACCCGTCAGGCCTTCGAGAATGCCATGATTGTCGTCAACATCACCGGTGGATCGACCAATGCTGTTCTTCATCTCCTCGCCATCGCCGACTCCGTCGGCGTCAAACTCGACATCGAAGACTTCCAGGCAGTCTCTGACCGCACCCCCTTCCTGGCCGACCTCAAGCCCTCGGGCAAATACGTCATGGCCGACCTGCATAACATTGGCGGTACACCCTCGCTGCTCAAGTTCCTGCTCAAGGAGGGCGTCATCGACGGCTCTGGCATGACCGTCACTGGTGACACGCTGGCCAAAAACCTCGAGAAGGTTCCCGACTTCCCCGAGGATCAGAAGATTATTCGTCCCATGTCGAACCCGATCAAGGAGACTGGTCACATTCAGATTCTGCGTGGTTCGTTGGCGCCGGGTGGTAGTGTTGGTAAGATTACTGGTAAGGAGGGTACTTCATTTACCGGTAAAGCTCGTGTGTTCGATGAGGAGGATGAGTTTATTGCTGCGCTGGAGCGCAATGAGATTAAGAAGGATGAGAAGACTGTCGTTGTGATCCGCTACACCGGACCCAAGGGTGGTCCTGGCATGCCTGGTATTCCCCCTTCATCCCCAATCCCTTCACTATAAGATACTAATAGCGAATAGAAATGCTCAAGCCCTCCTCCGCCCTCATGGGTGCCGGTCTCGGTGACGCCTGCGCGCTCATTACCGACGGTCGTTTCTCTGGCGGCTCCCACGGCTTCTTGATCGGCCACATCGTCCCCGAAGCCGCCGTCGGCGGACCCATCGGTCTCGTCGAGGACGGAGACGTGATCACCATCGACGCTGAGAGACGCATCCTGGATCTCGATGTTGAGGAGCCCGTGCTTGTGGAGAGACGGAAAGAGTGGGAGGAGAAGAAGGCGGCTGGTAAATTGCCGCCGACGGGGTTGACGATGAGGGGGACGCTAGGGAAGTATGCTAGGTATGTGCTTTTCTCCCTTAGATATGGGCTAGAGTCTATTCCAGAGGATGTTGGGATTGGATGAGTTGGGATGCTAACTGATATGCAGAACTGTTAAGGATGCTAGTCACGGGTGTATTACAGACTCTGTTGAGTAAGGGTAGGGTTATGGATTGTAATTCTTATGTTATGTGCTAGTTTGGGTTTTGGGATGATAAAAAGGGGTTCTTTTTGTTGCATGATATGAATGGTTCTAGAAAAGCAATTTATTTCTGGTTCAATCTCTACATACTTTTTCTCTAGGCCCACGTTGTGATATGAACTCTCATTCAGGGCTTTACGCTGCTGCTGTAGTTTCTTTGCTCTATCCAGACATTATCGTGCCCCATACAGGGTACGAGTACACCGTAGAGAAAGATTATCAGTTGATTTTTTTTTTTTTTTTTTTTTTTCTCAGCGCGCACCACTACTACTTATATACATGGGGTCTATGGTGATCTGTGTCCGAGTACGCCAAAAGGGGTCTGTCTTAGAACAGTCGCAGTCAGGCATCACTGGGCTGGCCAGTATTTCCACATGGAATAAGATCTGTTACCTGGACCTTTTTATCCAACACTCAACCCATAACTCCCTGGCCCTGAATGTTGACTTGCTGCATATGAGACGGTCAGCATGACCTGTCTCAGCTTTTCATGGCTGCTTTTTCTGGTGGGTCTGGGATATTCCACTATCTTGTAAAAGGTGTCCCGTACACCGCGGGTGATAAAGCTATCCGATGAGTCCGGAGCAAGCGCTCTTCTCTGAAGGTAATACGGGGCAAAGGCCATCCATTCATCGACATCGTGGTGGAAATCAGAGTTTAATTTGGAGCACACTGCATCAATAGTTTATCAAGCAAACTGCATCGCCAAATGTCAGCGCGCAGTAAGTTGAATGGATTGCTTACACTTAAGTCCGGTACTAACAAGCTAGTTATACGACAGGGATCCCGGAGAGTCATCTCTATACGATATATGGGATCATCCTCAACCATCCTGTATCACTCTACTTAACTCATCCAGCTAGAGACCCACATTACTGAAATATACCTTTTCGGCCTACCACTCGAGATATTCCATGAGGATATCAAACAGTTGTTGGCAATAGTGAAGGCCGTCACCTAGATCCACTCAAACTGGTCAATAGTAAGACACCATCCACCCGTTGACATTAAATGGGAGATACTAAAACAAGCCAGGCCTTTCCAGTCAAGAACTTATAAACACGATGTGCTCTACGCTGGACTCCCTCGTCTATTTTGATGAATCTATCTACTGAGAACCTTTTTTCCCGCGTATTACCTTCAGAGAAGAGCGCTTGCTCGAGATTCATCAGAGGATGATTTATTTGTACGCATTGTGTTAAACACTTTCTATCAACTTCTGGATTACCTTAATCCCAGTGGGCCAGACCACTGCATCATCTTGGAAGAGACCACGTTGGCGGTCTCGCATGTAGCAGTTGAATTCAATGTCTTGTTTGATCTACGTGATATTGCAGCGGAGAGCGTATCGAGATACTGCCAACCTAGAAATTCACGGGGATATCTTCTGTCGGCAGCCATGTATCTAGGGTGTATATCACTTGTTCATCATCTAGTTGATAATGAAGGTCTGGGTGGGAATACTGGCAGGGGCAGGCGTATTCGAGAATCCCTGTTCAACGCTGCGTACCAGAGCTATTTGGATATTGCTGAGTTTCTCTTCAGCAGAAGCGCTGATGCGGACAGTGATGTAAAACCGAGAACTGAAGAGAAAAAAATATGCTAAAGGATGCGGTAATTATTGCTTTGATGCCGTACGGTGGCCATGCCACGACACTGCATTGGAAGCCATGGCGCTGGGAGGTCATGAGGAAGTTGAACGTCTATTACTCAGGCACAAGATTTCTAGATCATCGTACAGCTATGTCCATGCAATTGCTTGAAGTTACTGCATAAGGAGATTGATTTTAGCACCATGCGCAAAAGGTTTATTCAAGGGCTCTGGATTCATGCACTGCTACATGCTACATATTGCGGCCACAATGTAGTCATATACTACCTACTTGATATGAAGCAGACCTCGAATATAACGAACATATTATAGACCTACTAGTATGATGGCTGATGCTACTGCATTGGCATGTGCTGCAATCAATGACCAGAACCACGCAATCCGGTCTCTATTAGAAAAGGATGCGAGTATAAACGGGGCGCATCACGCTCGGGAGTATGAGGTACTAGCCCTTTTCGCAGCTATATATACGCACCTTCCGCTGTCACTCTGCTTTTGGACGAAGGAGCTGCAATACATCCCATAAAGACCCAAACTTTGCTATGGTCTGCATACCACGAAGCCCCAATAGAGGCGATTAAAGTTCTTCTGGAAAAGGGTTTTTATAAGAGATGTTAAGACGGAGGGCAAATAGCTCTCAAAAGCGCAGTCGATAATAAGCGCCATGATATAGTGACCCTCTTCAGGTCGTTTCGAATTACTGAATGAAAAGTGATCCAGCCTCATTTCATACAGTATTGATGACTAGTTTAGTGTTATAAATGCGCCTTCTGAGACGGGGATTCGACCTTTCCGCTCTACAGGACTATTTCGGTATACTGATAATTTCGCGTAGACAGGTCACATCATGTTCCTTCCATGACTGTCCTTCTCCCGAACGACTCATCCTAGCGTTTTTTCACGGATAACTGCCCCTTGTGTAGTGTAAACACAGTTGAAATCGCTGGGCAATCATATTACTCACTATTAGCATTGGTATATGGCGTCTATACTCGAAAATGAGCGGATTGAGATTTGGCCTGGATAAACCCCAACGAGGTTACGGCTGCCACCCTGGCCGAATGGCATCCCGCGGTGAAACGGAGGGATTGCTTGCTTGTTGATATCCCGGGTTAGATACAGCAGGGTCCTAGCGAGTCATCTTGATCTATGTGCAACGTTCAAAACTATTGTCAAACTCCCTGACTGAACGGCCCTTCGGCAATTAAAAGAAGCAGACTAGGGACCGTTCTTGTAGCTATTGAAATTTGATATCATCAGAAGATACGATAGCCACGATAATTTTGACTTAACTCCGAGTATCATTAAGCGTACTTTTCAGACATAAGACACATTTTCACCACAAGCCAACGCTGGAAACCTCTATATGTACAAAAAAAGAAGAGAGAGAAGACATCAAGAACCCATTATCATGCCGGTTTTTACCTCCCAATCCACAGATAATGCGATAAATGGATACTCTGAGCGCCGGGGAGAAGAGAGATTCAGACGAGATAGATAGCCAAAAATGGAAACCGTTGTTAATACAGCGTGAACAAAAGCAGGGAAGAACAAAGCCGATGGTTACACCGGTTCGCTTGCTGGAGAGAGAATAAAGGGTATGGATTTCCGGACCATTGACGTTTCGAGATCAAGGCGGTTCGGTTCGGTTTTTGGTGCTAGAATACAAACTGGCCGTACCAGCGTTTACAGGAAAGCTTTCCTCACAATCTGCATATTTGTCAGTGACAAGAATCTCACAATGCCGAAGTGTATGCACTTACAGCCCAGCCGCCTGCGACACCGGCCACAATACCTCCCGAAATCATCATGGGCTTGAGCCCCCGGGTACTCTTAAAAACCATTCCACTCAGACCACCAGCAATAATGCTGTTCGCAGCATCATGCTTCCCCCGAGCATATCCAATCCCCGAGTTGAGACCGTTGTACACCATGGCCACCACACCGGCGGAGTTACCGAGGAAAGGACCTCTTCTGGTGACCGAGTTCAGAACACCGTTCAGTCGGATCTTCGGAGGCGCAGTCACCGGTGTCCGATTCAATCCTTCAGCAAGACCCCATACTCCTCCCAGAGACAACCCCGCTAGATAGGTAGAGCCAGTTCCATAACATAGGTCATCCGACCATCCGCGGGACGGCAGAACGGATCGCGAGCCGGGCAGTTCGTCAAGCGCAGAGTCTTCAAGAGTAATGTAGTCGAGAGTGTCTTGGTTCAAGCCGGATAAAGGGTGAAGCTGAGTAGGGTCGGGAATTGCGGCATCTGAGAGGAAATTTGTGGCATCCTGTGCAGCGGTCGAGGGGTCGAAAGGGTCGGACTGGGCCTGTTTGCGGCCACTAAACGAATCCCAAATAGCCATGGTGGAGGAATTGGAGGTGGGAAGAAGAACAAATGAAATCAAGCTGGAAGGAATACGGGAGGAAGAAGAGGAATCTGGAGAAAGCGACAGCGTTCCACCTCGAATAATACTGCTTGCGTGCGGCGGCCTCGGGTTGACACGACGATATGAGGAAGCCCGGGAACAAAAAATTCAGTCCCGTGACTGCCCGCCTCCGGACAAATGTTTCCCCGACACTAACCCGTTTTGGTAGACCCTCTTCGAAAATCCATCGCGGGGGACAAGACGGTCCACGATACAGAGTGTTGCTCGAGAATTTCCAATTGAATTTGTTTAATTGCAAGACTCTGCGCTGCACGAGGAATGTGGGATCTGTAGAGCCATGGAAAGTGACTCAGCAGCTGGTGTCCGCGGCGACACAAGATGGCCGGAGATGGAGACCATTTCGCAGAATATAGATGTGGTGCCGGAAGCCACTCTGAAAAAGATTGCCAAGGGGCCTTTGGTGGAATTTACGCATGATTGCGACGACTTTGAGTATGCTCCGATACACTTCAATCATGAAGCATAGTGATCTGACATCTCTGTAAAGGAAGGTGAACCGAGTATGGCAAAGTCTTTTCAAAACCTTTTCTACAGCGTCTATCTCCCATGACCATACAACGACCTCGTGTAACGCTTTGGGCTCATTTTTAGATGCTGCCACTGCATCTAAACATGAGGAGACCAGACAGCTTGTCTATTCCCATGGCACATGGCTTGCCGTGTTCGAAGTCTACCTGGACCGATTCGAGGACACTAAGCCCAAGCCCATGAAGCAGGTCTTGACTTCTTTGGTCAAAGTCCTAACTAAGCAGCGCAGTCAGGATGGTTCAAAACAAATATTGTCCAAGATCGTCGAGGAGACAGTTCCCAGCATCATACTTGGGGAGCCTCGTTCGCGGCGGAAGCCGTCTTTCGTCTCGCTGGAGATCTTTATTCGCAAGAATGCCATTACACCGGCCGAACTGATCTGCAGAGTTCAAGATTGGCTTTTGAAGAATCACGATAGATGGATACTAGTTCTCCAAGATGATTGCAAAGCCCTATCGATAGATATCCCTCGGTTCATAGGTCAGAGCTCCAATGACTTCTGGTTTAGAGCTACGGCAGCCAAGATCTTTGTTCTGGGCTTCCTATCACAAGCGAAAAATGCAGACTTTGCTTCATCTGCCGGAGCCACGCTTGCAGCCCTTTTCCAGAAACTGAAAGCGGCTCCAGACACCCGATACTTCTCTCCAGAGGAGACGGAAGACCTGATGTCATCCTGGGTTCCTCCAGTCAAACACGTTATGCTGCAGAATCTGGATGGCCTAGAGTTTATGTCAAATCAGATTCTTTATCCTTTGTCTAGCATTGACTCTAATGGATTCCGTTGCTTTATGGACAATTTGCCATACAAAAGCCTTGTCGCTGGCGACATGACCGATGGCTCCTCAGAAGAGTTTATGCTTCTCTTTACGGCATTGCAAGGGGCGAAAAAAATCGGACTCGTTCATGAAGATAGTAAGTCTGCCACATGAGTCTCTCAAGCAGTTGGCTTACTTTAATTCAGGATATTACTCCAAGTCCGCTTCATCTAAACAGCCAAAAGACCAACCCCTCGTTGTGAAGAGTGAAGTAATTGGTCAATGTCTCCTTCATCGAGAGCCCAGTATCAGAATAGCAGCTCTTTCATTGCTAATCACAGCGCCAACTATAACCAAGCCTGTTACTTCGGCTGCGATGCGGTCCCTTCTCAAAGGCCTACCTGCAATGCACGCCGATCCGGACCCATATCTGCGAGGGGAGATTCTCAGCTTGACGCGCAGGCTAATCCTTCGTCTTAAGGGTGGTATCATAAGAGACCAAGAGGAACAGACTGAGGGCACGACGTCTGCAACGCAGAAGAAGCAGCCAACATTTGCAACAAGCGATTCCGAGACCCGGGAATGCGTGACAGCTTACATCAATTTCTTAAAGTCTGACTTGCAACCTACGGCTTCATATCCTCGTCATATCACTTCGCTAAAAGCATTGAAACTTGTCCTGGAGGCTGGTTTGGATCTGCGGGTTCATGGTGCTCCTCCACATAAGACAGACGGAAATGAGGTCAAATGGAAGTTTAACATGGAGATATTTGACGTCAATCTCCTCAGATTGTTAGTCGACCTCCTGCTTGACCCATTCGAAGAAGTGAGAGCAACAGCGCTTACTCTTATAAACCTGTTTCCTCGGGACGTTCTTCTGAGTGGTCTGCGTCAATCTGAGGAACCTATTGATACTGTACTTCAGCTCACAACAGCATTGGAACGAGCTGAGAGGCTAGCAAGCAATACCAGCAGAGCTGATCATGCAGACACTGTCGCTAGGTTGTATCATTTACTTTTCTGCGCAGCGGCTCCAGGTACCGTCACATCTGAGTCAATCTGGTGGGAGACCAAGGCTGGAGTTGCTGATATTATCCTGAAAAAGTTGGAAGAGAAACTCTCAACTGCAGGAGGTCTCTTCAATTCATCGATGCGTGATGCGCCTCTCCATGGCTATGTCTCTGGACTCAGGTACATTGTTTTGACTCCCAATTTCTACTCCCTGATATCGGATCAGTCGGGAACAAACTACCAGGGATGGGAGTCCGTTCATGCAAGGACAGTATCGCTCTGTGACAAAATCTGGAATGAGGTTAAACCCGTGCTCTGCATTGACTCTCCTGAGGGACATACGGATGAACCGACTGAAGAATTGTCAGTTGGACCGAAGGATATTTTGTCCTACTCTTGGCGTGCTCTGCGGGAGTCTAGGTACGAATGAGTTCTATATTTGTGTATTCATATGCTGACAATTGCAGTCTTCTACTTTACGCAACTCTCTCAAACTCCAACTATGGTCCCCAAGGAGAGCAAGGGCTCAAGAGAGCAGATTACGAGAAGATAGGAAGTGCCAGCTTCACTCAGCTTGCTGAACTTCGCCATAGAGGTGCATTCTCGACCGTGTCCCAAACCTTTGCCACTTGCTGTCAACGCTGTGGCCAGTCGAAGGACCCAGCTATTTCCTCGCTACCTGATGCGTGGTATCAAGTAAGGAAATTTCAATTATGTTCAATGATAGCCCACTAACAATCGATAAAGGAAGCAAATAAGATCATCTTTGAGACGGCAGCTAAGCTTACACGTCGTTCGGCCGGTCTCCCTGCACTGGTTACTGGAATCCTCACCTCCAAGCCCGGCGGGCCGCTATTCAAGCACGTTATCGATGACCTTCATGAGATTTCTCGCCTACCTGCCAAGCACAACACGAACAGTCAAGAAGTAGAGCTACCTCAGGTCCATGCAATGAATTGCTTGAAGGACATTTTCACCAACACCAAACTCGGTCCGCATACAGTACCATTCATTATGTCCGCTCTCAATATGTCGGCTGAGCGGCTGGGGTCACCAATGTGAGTGCTGGAAACACGATTCGGCCCTCTACAAGCTAACCTGGATTTAGTTGGGCTCTCCGTAACTCTGGGCTGATGCTCTTCCGTGCCCTGCTGACACGAATGTGTCGACTTATTACCGGATCCAATCTAGGATTCGGCGGGGCCTCTGGATCAGAACCCGGGGCTCGTATCTCATTCCAGAAATACCCCGGATTGACTCAACTTCTGTCGAGCCTCTTGGCATCGTCAGGTACAAACCAGGACGGCGATGAAGATGCTGTTGTCACAGAAAGAGTCTTCCCTGCCCTTGAACTAATCGGTGAAAAGGTTCCCACTTATGCTGGCCCTGATGAGATGATGCTGCGTCAGCTCGTCCGAGAGCAACTGAAGAGCCCTGTTTGGGGCATTAGAGAGCATGCAGCCCGTGTCTATGCGTCTCTTTTGGACCGTTCTGATATCCTGGGCGAAATTAGAGCACTTCTCTGTATTGACCAGGATGTTAAGACGCAGAACTTCGTTCATGGAAAGGTGCTTTGCGTCAGATTTTCTTTGCGGAGACTCACATCGTCGTCTCACTTGGACTGGAACAGTATGTTGCACTCGTTACACTTTCTCCGCGAAACCCCATTTCTAATGAGCATAGCACAAACGAACGATGTGACTTCCATCATAAGAGATGTATTTGCAGCATTATTCCCTCTGGTCCGATCGCCGTTCGTCGCTACAGCCTTCGTAGAGGTGTTGACAGACACTGCCGAAAAGAATGTTGAGGTGGGAGTCGAAGGTATGAGCCACCTTTTGTCTCAACTGAATTAATATGGTGGCTGAATCCTTACAGAAAAAATTGCGCCCTTCTTGGATGAGATGTTCAACACTTACGATTTCCACGGCGTCCTAAATTACGTGTTCGATTCATCCCATCCTTCTTGGAAAGCACTAAATGTCACCCGTGCTTCATCTCTGCTTCGCAGGGTCTTCTCGTGGGCTGAATTCCTCAGACTCTTTGCTTCGAGTAGAGTCGAGGAACTCACGTCCCTATTCCAGGGAATTTCTGCCTTTGATTCAAACGCTGGTCGATGGTTACTGGAAAGGATACAGGAAGTCTTTGGTGAAAAGGAACAATACAGAAGCACTCTCCTCAATCTCTACGCGTCCGTTGTCCTAGGAGACTATTCAGAAGAGGTCAAGGGAGAAGCGATTCTGAGCCTAGCATCAATTCTGGAGGTCCTGCTCGACTTCCGCCATGACAATATAAAGGGTGTTGATTTGCCGTGGGAGGCATTGAGCAAGCAATTGGACTCCGATGCAGAGAAACACACACGGAGCAGGGATCTAGCCGATGCAGAGTTACGCCTTCAGGGTAGCCTTCTTGCGGCAAGGATCAATTCGAGCCAGGGGCAGTCGTTGTCGGCGTATGAGTTCGATCTTCACCAGTGGGCGACGAAGCTTCGTTTCGCCATGCAGGAGGAAACGGTAATTTTTACTATTCTCCCAAATTAAGCGAATCAAGTGCTAACAAATCCTAGGAATTTACGACCAGATATGCAGCAGTGGTGTCTCTGAACACATTTGCACGTGTTTTGCGCCCGCTTGGCAGTCCTCCTCGAGTGGACCACATCTTCCTGGACGCCTATCTCGTCTTGTATGATATGCTGAATGATGACGACGAAGAACTGCGTGATATTGCGACTTCGACAGCATCATGGGTTCTGTCATATTCTTCCGTGTCTCTCTCAAGGGCTGTTGCTCTGTCTCCCTTGAACGCCGCCAATCTGCTTGCGGAGTTCATCGCACGCAACTACAGAGACTCCAAGCTCCTCTGCCAGAAGATCATCCGCTACAGCACTGGCCAAGAGCCCCGGATCGGCGGATCCATTGTTAAAACAAAGCTCGTTCCTGTTTCTGATACCATTTCTGAGCACAGAAAGGAGAGTACAGTATTGTTCGTAGAAGAGAAGCAAAACCTGTTCATCGACGAAGTCCGCGAAGCCAATGCCTGGCCCAAGAGGCTTTTATGCCTTAACGAGGCGTCATACGAGGAAGCTACAGTGAAGAAACTGTTCAAATGGGTATCTGACGGACTGGACTATCTGGTCAAGATCACCTCCGATGATGCTGGAAAAGACGGACTCCTAGGCTGGGCTTCGAAGCCTGAGATCTTTACGTTGGGGATGAGGGTAGTTAATATCGCTGCGGTTCTCATCTCGAAGGAATTCCCTGCTACTGCGTTGTTGGGCGAGGGTCAGATTGTACTCGAGGGACAGCTGAAGTCGCTGCTCAGTAACGGAAAGGTCGCGTGTCTTCACCATGACTGGATTGTGGGGATTGAGCGCGCGTTGGAGATTTCATGATGTGACATGTAAATAAGCTTAGGTTATAGACAAAAGTGTTATAGATTCTGTTTTTGTTTTGGTTGTATTCACTGGGTATTTATTCACTGCGCGGGTTTCGTCAACAACTAGCAGTGACTGTTTAGGGCATCCAAACATGTCAAAACAACAAAACCTCTCATTCAATAATCTCATAACAGTCCTCCAGTCTTGATTGTTCTCAGTTCCGTCTTTATTCAGATAATCAAGGTTCGTCGTTTGTTTTTCGAAATCTATCAGTGGCCCTCACACCATCCTAACATGAGCAGAACAACGTCCCCCTTCTGATTCAGGAGCATCCAGACCAGGAACTATCCTACAGACTAAGTGACGAAAGGTGAGCAACTTCCAATATTCATCCCATCCACACCCAAGCTCTAACAACTACAACCAAAACAGCACCATGCAGAAAAACATCGCCATCTGCGCCATAATCCTCGTCACCCTGGGAGTAATCATGGCCTCCTGGCTGGCATTTCGCTGCTGGAAAAGGAGATTCAAACGTGAATTGCTTGTGACCTACCATATTGGAAAACAGCGCATGCCAGTTAAGGAATTAGCTTCGGTGCAAGCACCCTCAACGTCGACATCCAGCTCCGGCGGACCAGTTGAACGGAATGAAAAACCTGCAAGGAAGAAGAGGGAGAGGAGAGTTACACGCGAGACAGACGCAAAACAGATGAGGGATTATGTGAGCAGACAGCGAGAGGTTTTGACTGCACCACCTGCTCCCCCTCCCCCCCCGACACAAGCTTCTCCTCCTACTACCACTACAACTGCAAATATACCAGAGGACAAAGGTAAGCAGCCCGATACGAGCGAGTGGTCAGCCGACAATCCCACGCCAGCTACCGAACAGAGCAGCCCTAGTGTACCCGCGCAAGGGGAATGGTCGAGCACAAGCAACGCAGAAATGTCGTCTGAATGGGGCCAACAAGCAACGCAGTCGGGGCCAAGTCAGGGAGAATGGAGCGCAGGACAGAATTCGCCAATAAAAGATAGCTGGTAATAGTTCGGGTTGTTTTTTTCTTTTCGGGACTTATGGAAAGGCAAATGCGGGAATATATCTTGGATGTTGGATGAGATGGCTACTGGCAAGACAGGATTTTGCTTGCCACAACGTCCAAGAGCTGGATTAGTTTAGGGAATCTACTATCTACCAACTTATTTCCAAGGACTCGTGACAGATTCAATGAAAATGAAATATACAACAAGAACTGGCCGCATATATGCTGCATAACCTGCATAAGTGACTAACCCTGCACAAAGGGTCTCTGCAGCATACCGGACCGGTGACGTTTCCCCGCGAATTCTCCAGACAGGAACCGACGAACCATCTCGATTGATTGTTGTTGGTGTTGTTGTTTGATTTACTGAAGGCACCATCATGTGGAACGACGAGGATAACAACCCCTATGGCGCTTTCGATAACGAAGCCCATCTGTCAGATTCGCTCCATTCCGCGGCTCTGTCTGGCCGTAAGCACAACGTCCTTGAACTAGCTACCTGCGATCACTGATCTGACTGTTTCTAGCTCTGTACGATGAACACGAATCTAGTCCTCCGTCCCCCTCCAGTCACGCATCTAGCCAGGATCCGCCCGATTTCTTGTCCCGCGAGAATGAGCTCAGTGATGAAGAGGATGAGGGGACATACGGTGTTCAGCAGGCTGGCCCTGGGTTTCTCCGGCGGAGTGTGTACGACAGTCGTATAGAGCAGATCCTCCATGAGAACCCTGAGATGCCTATTCTCATCACGGATGCGGGGAAGAACCATGAGGGTGGTGGAAGTTTCATTGTCTATACGATACGGACTGGGGTATGACGGACTTGCTTCATGGGGTACCAAGGGCAGATCTAATGATATATATGAATAGGACTTGGAAGTTCGCCGACGGTACTCGGAATTCTCTTCTCTACGACAGATGCTTGTCAACCTGCACCCGACTCTCATTGTCCCGCCTATCCCGGAGAAACATACTATGGCAGACTATGCTGCTAAACCGACCAAGGCCAAGGAGGACACGGCCATCATCGACCTCCGGAAGCGCATGCTTGGTGTCTTCCTGAACCGCTGTCGTCGAATGAAGGAGATACGGGAGGATGGTGTTTGGTGGAGGTTCCTGGACCCCAACGTCAGCTGGGTATGCGTTGAAACCGATATCGATTCATGGCCTTGCGATAGTGGAATACTGATGCTTCTTACTGCTGCAGAGCGAAGTTCTTAATTCGCCGCCCGCGTCGTCCGTGCCGAAAAATTATTTACAAGCCCCTCCCCTCGATCCCGCGAATCCTACACCCGCCCATTTTTGGCTACCGGTCCCTTCAGCTTCTTCAAAATTGAAGTCTGCTGGCGGCTCGGGTCCGTCGGGTACATCCCCCACTGATAATGCACCGCAACCTACGGGCGCACCCGGACCCGATATCCTGGGACGTTTTCCACCGGAGTCACGCAAGTTGAGCGAGAAGGAATTGGACCCATACTTTATCAATTTCGAGGCATCTACGCGTGAGCTGGAATTGCTTCTGCAAGGAAATATCGAGAAGGTGAACCGACGGACACTGGCGCACCTATCATCGTTGTCTGCGGATTTGATGGAGTTGGGAGCCCGCTACAATGGCTTCTCCCTGTCTGAACAATCCCCGACCGTGGCAGCAGCGATCGAACGCATAGGCCAGGCTGCGGATACATCCTATATCGAAACAGAAGAGTTGTCAACATCATTGAGCGCGAATTTTGCTGAGCCCATGCGGGAGACCTCACAGTTTGCCAGTGTGGTCCGCGGTGTTTTGCGTTACAGGGTCCTCAAACGGGTGCAACAGGAGATGACTCTGGACGAGTTGGCAAAGAAGAGGACACTGTTACAGTCTCTGGAGCGAAGTGAACAAGAGGCACAGCGAATTGATCAATTCCTTCACCGTTCGCAATCCTCAGCCGCAGGCGGCAGCACATCGGCTCCCTCGTCGGTCCCCAGCTCTACTTCCGCTGATGTAATTGACAGCGGTGACGGACGGCCTAGCAGCAGCAGTAGTGCTGCAGGAGGCAACGGTGCCGGTGGAGGAGCCAGTGGAGGGACCGGTGGAGAAGACACGGTATCAATTGATTCTGATTTCCCACCTACCCATGGGGAGTCGATCGGGGCCACGCCGGGGGCGTCGCAAGGGACAGCAGCGAGACGACAAGAATATATGGCCCCGCCATCTACGACACCAGCGCACCGCAAAACATCCAGCGGAACATTTGTGGCAAATAAAATCTTCGGACGGATCAGTCACGCGGTTCACGGATTTGTAGATGTTGATCCGGAGCGAACGCGCCGGGACCAGATAGGAAAGACTAAGGAGAGCTTATCGCAGGTACGTCAATTCATCCCTTACTCCCAGGTGTAAACGCAGTTGCCTGGGGACGAATATGGAAGTTTATCTGACCTGCGATCTACAGTTGGAGCAAGCACTGGAGGTTTCGGAGAAGGATGTGAAGGACGCGAGCACAGGGGTATTACAAGATCTGAAGCGGTTCCAGAGGGACAAAGAAGCGGATTTGCGACGATACATGGTGAGCTCCCTTTGATTCCGAGAAAGAGCACTACTGCTCCTTTATCTGGCGAGATAGAAGTTAAACTTGGTGTTAGGTGGCCTACGCGCGGTGTCATCTCGACTGGTCACGGAAGAATCTGGAGACATGGACCGAAGCCAAGGACGAAGTGGACAAGATCGTCGCGCGATAGAGAAGACTGGGCGAGACAGAGAGAAGGGTTAAGGAGACACGAGGCATTGGCATTGCTATTTTTTTTCTTTTTTTTGGTGATAGTGCTGCATGGGGTGAGAACCACAGCCAAATCCCAGGCGTTGAGGGAGTGGATTAGTTCTTTTTTTGGACCGGCATTATGATTGATGGCTACTCGCTATTTGTTATTTTGAGGGCGTTATTTTCGGCCTGTAATATTCTGGACCCGTCTGAAATTCAGTTCCTTTTTTTTCGTCATTATTTTGGAGAAACTCTACACGGGTTATTCTACACAACACACACACCAACACATGCATACGGAGCATCGGCTCTCTTTTCCTCGGAGGATCCACGTCGGAACCAAGGAAAGAGACCAGTCAGAATACCCTCGGCGCTGCAAATGGGATGCACCTTGCCATGATAGGCGCTATAGTGCATCCTGTTATAACATGATCATCTTTTATGGAACAAAGGAACCAGGCCGAATTATTGCAGGAGAGACCGCCGACTCCTTACTCTGTACAGGGCCGCTCGCACCAGATCGACAGGCACTCCCTCCAAACAACCATGGCGTCGATCAATGACGCGCTCGGAAAGGCAAAGTCAAGGGCAATGGAGCTTGTGCAAGGATCCCGTTTCTGGGATGAATCGTCACTGGTTTCTTACTCGGCTTTCTCGGGCGATCCTTCCCTTGTCTCCGGAATACGGGCCATGCAATGTGCTCATACGAAGTACGTACTCTGTGCTCCATAGTAAATTCGGAGTTTAGCTAACTCAGGCTAACTTGCACTCAGGAGCTTGTCTTTAGCCTTGTCCGCCTTTCTTCCCCTAGTCCGATCGCCATTATGGGTCCCAATTTAAGTCAACTAACCTTTTTTCGACCGCCTGGAACCGTTTCGCATTATTATGGGCCAGGCTGTTTCTGCGTTCAGAGAGGAATGGCGGTTCCGGCGCATTCCAATACGATGCCTTGCCAGGTAATCGACACTGCAAATCCCGGATCCTCCTCCTCTTCCGCCCCCATTATGCCCCATCATGGGGGGATGTGGGCTGTCCAGAGTACTCAGTGGCCATCTGAGTTCCTTTAGGAAAAAAAAAAAAAAGTGATTGCTATTATTCGCCCTGGATGTGTCACACGAATGCGATGAACCAAAAGTCCCCTCTTTGCTTCTCCCTGACTCGATAACGGATTTGGTCAACATGATCGCCCTCCGGACCAAATCACTACTTAGCATGTTGTTTTCCCTCATGCCAGGCCATTTCTCTTCTCTATTTGCGTTCGATGTGAAGGATTCCTGAGGTTAAAGTCATTCATTCATTCGTTCTTCGTTCTGATTTTCCATTCTTTCGTTTCTGTTCGCTGATCCCACCCCCGCGTCGTTCGTTGTCTTGCGTGTATACATTCCTTAAGGTGTAAAAAGAAAGAAGCAAAATGATCGCATCAAAGCTAAAGCTGCTGGCCTCGTTGTCAATCCTGTCCCTCGCCAATGCGGCAACCATCCAACAACCACGGTCATCCCCCAAGGAACCCTTCCCCCAGACCCATGGAACGGACCTGAACATCCACGATCCCAGCATCGTCCGCAGCGGTGACACATACTATTCTTACGGCGTCGACACACACATCCCCATTCACTCCGCCCCCAGCCTCGACGGCCCATGGACACGTCTCGGCAACGCCCTGGACGCCGACAGCGTCATTCCCAAGGGTGACCGCACCGCCCCCTGGGCCCCCAACACCATTGCCCTAAACGGCAAGTTCTATATCTACTACGGCGTCTCGCAAGCTGGCTGCCGCGACAGCGCCATCGGTGTTGCTGTCTCCGATCACCCCGGTCCTGGAAACTGGACCGACCATGGTCCCATCATCCAAACCGGAACCGGAAAGGGCTCAGGGAAATACCCCTTCAGCACATCCAACGCCATCGATCCGTCGGTCGTCATCGCTAGCGGCCAGCCGTACCTGAACTTCGGCAGCTACTGGTCGGGTATCTGGCAGGTACCGCTGAAGGAAGATCTCATTTCCCTGGGCGACAATGTGAAATCCGACTCCAGACATCTCGCCGCTGAACCCAAGGCCATGTTCCCCGGCGGTAACAACCCAGACGCCAACTGCCGGGATGACAGCGGCTCGCACCCGATCGAGGGCGCGTTCATCTCCTACCACTTCCCCTACTTCTACCTCTGGTACAGCCACGGAAAGTGCTGCGATCTGGACCCCAAGGCTCTCCCCAAGCCCGGTGACGAGTAAGCCCACACCCCCTCCCCCTCCCCCATCCACGCTTCAATGTATTTTATACTAACAAAAAGAAAACAGATACAGCATCCGTGTCGGCCGCTCTTCCAACCCCCAAGGCCCCTATACCGACAAATCCGGCAAAGACCTCGTCGACGGCGGCGGCGAACTCATCTACGGCTCCAACCGTGACGTCTACGCCCCCGGCGGCCAGGCCGTCCTCACAGATATCGGCGGCGACATCCTCTACTACCATTACCTGAATTCGTCTGTCAGCTATGACTTTAACACGGCCAAGTTTGGCTGGAACAGACTTGAGTATGAGGATGGGTGGCCTGTTGCGCAGTACTAGTTTAATTGTCCTTCTTTGATTGACGTCGGTTTCTCGGTCCTCGAGTTTTTTTTTCGTTTTCGTTTCTTGAGCCCTTTCGATTTTACATATTTGGTTGGGGGTTTTTTTTGGCGTTTTTATTTTTCGACATTCCTACCTTGTTTGGGATCTACGGCTTTTCTTTTCCGTTTTCTCCCTCACTCTATCGACACTCTTACGTCTCGACTTCGATTCGATTTTTTGACGATATTCGTCGTCTTCTATCTATACCGGTACATATTTACCTTCATCACGGACACCAGACCATAGAGCTTTTGATGTGGAAATGGCAAGATCAATATTTAATAACTAACCACATTGTACATACACAAAAGTGTTATTGTGTTGTAAGCTATTAGAGCTAGAGTCCGGTCAATTAAATAATAATAATTCATTTGATACCTATCTTACTCTCAGTACCCAGTTCCCATATACCAAACCAAAAAACAGAGATAAACAAGAGTAATTCATTAACACCAATAACCAATAGCAATAAACGAAAGAATTACAACCCCAAAGCCCTCCTCGACCAAAAAGATACCGCCCGTCTCGCCTTGTCCTTCCGCGTGGTTCTCAGGGGCCTCAATACCGGCGACTCCACGGTGATTTCGGGTTTGCCTGTATGTCTGTGCTCGTGACTAGCCCTGCCACTACTACCACCATCCCGTTCTAGCCGTGGCATAACCAATAGAGGATGGGGGCTGTCAGAACCGTCACCTCCGTAGCCGAAACCAAAAATATCTCCTTCCCCATAACTATAGTCGTACTGGAGTCCACACCCATATCCGTAATCCCAAGTATCCGTCTCAACGCCGCCATCCAAACCAGTAGCAATAGGCGTCGACAATTCCCGATAAGTCTTCTCCTTAACCCCAAGCCCCATTCCGAATCCAGAGCCAACCGGACCGTTCTCCCCGCCATAAATGCCAGGTACCGGACCCACCGGACTCATAGCCATCCCCACGGTCACTGAAGGTGCCGGAACCCCCTCAGCGTCACCAGTAGGACTAGTCGGACTACCAACTTCAGTCGGACTACCAGTGCCAGTGGGACTCAGACTAGGGCCCAAATCTAACACACTGATCTCGCTATCGCTGAGGACTGAGCTTCGACGGTCGTCCTTTCCCATTCTCGGGACGAGGAGGGTGGTGGGATCAAAAGTATGAGCGGAAGCGTAGATGTGGTTGGTGCTCTCGTTCTCTTTGGTAGAGAGATAAGTACCGTATTCGTGATCGTGACAATGAACGTATTCGTAGTCGTGATAGTGGTACTGCTCATGGCAGCAGTGGTTGTGATCATCACCAGTCTCAGACGGCACCGAAAAGGACCTCTCAGACCCCGACGGAGAAGGCAAAGGCGATGGTGAGAGCGACGGAGATAAATGTATCTCGGGTATCTCCACGCTGGGACTAATCCGAGTCGGAACTGGGATTGGAATCGGGCCCGTAGAAGACGTAGGGCTGGGAGTGGAACCGCGAGTGGAATCAAAGTCGAAAGTGGCCTTGGAGATCTTGGCTCCGGAGTAATACCTCTTCAGAGGAGATGGGGTTCGAGGGAGCAGTGGGAGGGGTCTGGTGTGGAAGAAGTTGGAGTATGCCATTTCGTCTGGTGTTGTTGTGTTGTGCTGTGTTGCGTTGAAATGAGATGGATGAATCGGGTAAGAATTCGAGGTGCGTTCAATGAATGAATGACTTGAAACAAGAGTAAACAAGTGATGGTGATAATGGTGGTTGTTGGTTGAGAGAATGCTGAAGTGGGAAGGATGAGGACTCTTGTAGTTGAGGTCTAAGTAGCCACCGTAACTGCCTTTCCCATCCAGGCAGTCACGGTGGCTACCACTGACAAGTATACTACTAGACGAACAGAGAAGGAACGATCAAAGCAAGAACAGTGCAAGTCCATTCCCCTCGCACCATAAGAAATAAGCTACTCTAAATTATAAACAATAATGCCATGCGACATCGCCCATGCATAATCACAACTTTTCGAAAAGCAAAAGCATGCCACCATCCAAACCAACGAATGCAAGCAACCGACTTCTTTTGGGTCTGTCCCATCTGTGCTAGGAGGAACGAACTCTGTCCAAGCAGTCGACTTCATTAATGAAATCGTATAAACATTTGCCAGTAGTAACCACACTGACCACCTTGAGCGCATGTCCAAAAAGAAAACAAATTTCAATGCCGATGATGCCATTAATCCGAATTCGTCTGATCATCGTCGTTCACTCGTAATTCCACCACCGGAAGTTCGTCATCGTCATCGGCATCCAATGGCGGAGGGATGTCCTGGATCGATGGTGCCTCATCCTTAGGTGTCCCAGGCAATGGCACGCCATGCTGTTCGTCGTGGTCGTCCGTCAATGAGGCCAACTGCATATCTGAGTCACTCATGTTATCTCCTCCAACCGCCCGGTCGCTGGCAGCATCATCGTCAAAGACCTCATCATCACTACTCTCAGAGAGTGGAAGCATTCCTGTTCTCTGTGAAGGGCCGTGAGCTTCCGTAATTGTGCCGAAAGACCACGAGGGCTCATTTTCGAAGCGCCACGGGCGCTGGGTTGGGACTCCCCCGTCATCCTCATCATCTTCATCATCGAGAAGCATACCTTCCTGTCGATTCTGGTAATGTCCTGGTGGTAATTCATTATCCCCGTTCTTCGCTTGTGTTCCGGCTCGCACCCCACCAACTCCCGCCTGGTGAGCTGCTCCGACTCCGGCTAAAGCGCTCGACGACCCATTGCGGGAGAAGCCGCCGAGACGCCGGCCTTCCCCCGACGGAGATGAAGCCCGCGGGTTCGCTGAAGATTCGGGATCATCCATATCCCTCTTGAAGGACTCGGTGATCTCTCGGAGTGCCTTGCCGCCTAGCGGATGGACTGACCGACGTCGGTAGAACAACAGATAAGCAGAAGAAGTCACCACGCTTTGTGGGTCCAGGGGTCTCGATACAGAGGAATCTAGACCACGTCAGTTGTCAGTGCCGAAAACGTTTACAAGGGGGAAAAAAAGACTCACCATTGTATTCGTTCCATTCCCCACTCATGAAGTTCTTAGCATAGGCGGTATAGTGGCCTCCGCCAAGTCCACCGTAGTGGTTGTCGACGGCAAAGAGGTCATATATCAGACTCTCCCCTGGTTCAGGATTTTCCACCCTACCGCTCATGTCCAGACCTTCCACAGGAAAGTCAACGTAGACATCGAGCTTGTCCCGGAAACCCCGGCTAGCACTAAATCGCTTCAGGTGCATGACAAGAATATCAGGTGTCTTCCAGAGTTCAAATCTCTTGCTAGCGCGGCGGTGCTCCTTGCACCTGGGGCAGTACCACGCATCATTCTCGGAGAGAACCTCCTCCTTGTTGAACTCGTCGAGACACTCATCGAGAGACACTCCCTTCTTCTTGCGCGTTTGACGTAGGGCGCGCCGCTTGTCCAGCTCTGGGTCATGGACGTGTTCGACGTCGAACCAAGTGCCCATACCACGTTTAGAGGTCTTGTCTTTGGCGTTTCCACCAAAAAGGGCGTCGTGGGATTTCTCATTCCAATCCAGGATGATACCCTCGCCCGGGCGAACAAGCGGGCGAACCTCCGGCTGTGGCTTCGCGGCGTTAGGGCGCTTTTCGCTCGAGAACATGTCGGTACTGTCACTGTCGGATGAGCCTCCTTCGCGATCAGACTCCTGCTCGTCCGCGTTGTTGGCTTGAGATGCTTCTTCAGCCTGCTGTTAAATAGTTAGCACAACGGAACCAACAGAAGACCACAAGAATATCTACCTTTTTAGCCTTCTCAGCTGCCTTCACGCGTCCTGACATGGAGGGATACTCCTTATGGTCATCCAGGGACGAAAAGCCCATTGGGACGGCTTCATTGGATTTGACGAGCATCTTCAAATCGAAGAGCTTCTGCAAGCCCAAGGAAATGCTGCCCTTCTTAGAGTCAGGGCTGGTAGACTTCGTATCTTGCGGAGTGGGCGCATCTGTATCCTCGGACGCATCACGCATCGACACGTCCACCATGCCATCCTCACCGTCCACGGAGGACGTCTTAACCTTAGAATCGGCAGACTGCGCGTCGTCATCATTCATGACAACCGTGTCTGAATCCTCAGCGTTTGCCTCTTCTTCATTGTCATCTTCCAGAAGCTCTGGCTCGTTGAAGATATCACGGGTTGTCATGGTGTCCACCACAGCCAGAACCTTCCGTAGAATGGCGTCATAGTCGTAGGCCTCTTCCCGGTTGACGATAATATAGTTCGGCACCCCAAATAGGTGGCGTTGGGCATTGCGGGGATTGTTGTTCCTTGATTTCCCAATAACCCGGTTGAAGATAGGGATCAACATTCGGTCTGCTTTTGGCGAATCGAAGCTGGGAATCTTCTCGTCTTGGCGATTAAAGGAGAAATAGGCCCTCGGGGGCTTGTCCGGGTTGTAGTTCGTGGGCACTGATTCCACCTCAAAGATGGCAATATCGTCATTCGCAGAGATCTGCTGATCGGCAAGGGAGCCCGTGTTATCGAACATCTTGTAGTACTTGTTTTTATAGACCTCGGACATAACGAGACGGTCAGGTTGGGAATCCATCTTCTTCGCTACGAGTTCCTTCAACGATTTTATACTCGAATTCTTGTCAATCTCAATGTCAAGGGAGACTGGCTTCTTGTTCAGACCGAAATAGAAAATCGACTTGCTCCACAAGTTTTCAATGGGCAATTGAAGTGTCAGGTTGTTGAACGGATCGAAGATGATGCTGACCTTTTCACAGGTAGGGCAAATCAGAGTCGACTTGTACATGCCAGCGAACAAATCGGTGACCACAGAGTCATTGCGGGCCTTGTAGATATCCCAGCACTTGGTTGCGAATTCCTCAAGTGCTGCCCTGTTGTGCGTCATTTCATCAGTCGAGTCAGGCTTCTCGATGTATGGTTTCTTGAGAATTTTGTTTAAGTCTTCTTGCAATCCATCAAGGAGGAATAACAAGAATTCCTGGGAATCCTGCTGTCCATAGCCCGAAAAGGCTGGTCCGTAGCGGCCGATGGTGTTCTTGAGTTGTCGCGGAGCGAAGGATGACTGGCCCGCCTCATCATACATCAGACGGAGCAAGTTAGCATACGACTTTGCGACTTCACCGTTGTGCGCAAGTGGGTTGCTGGGGTTTAGATGTTGCTTGTAGACATCGCCTGCGAAGAGAAGAGTATGTTAGCACAAAAAAGACGATTCGCTAATCATACGTCAGTTATGATCGCAGGGAGGTACGAACTCAAGAAATAATACGATAGTTCCTCGACACTCCGCACGCATTGCAGAGCGGAGTTCATGTAGCAAGTGTTTCCGAGGTTGCTCAGACCGGTGCAGCCACGGAACTTGCCATCCTTGCGTCGTCGTCCTCTGTTCGGTTCTGGCGCCGGCGAGGAGCGGCCACTGGTCGCGGGACTCTTCTTGTTGTCCTTAAGTTTGTTCGTGACGCCATTCTTCACATTGTTTGCAGAAACGCCCAGGCGATTGAGGGTCTGCTTGGATGCTTCCGACACCCACTCGCCATTTTTACCACCGACATTCTCCTCCAGTACGATGACATCACTGGCACCTAGTCCGGCCAAGTCTAGGGTCATACGGCCGTTGTAATTGGCATTCGCGGTCTGGTCTTTCGCATCCTCAAGCACTTCACGTTGAGCGCCCTCCGAAAGAGAGAGGAAGGTGTTGAGATCAAGCACCAGATTGTTACCTGCATTGGCGACTGCTGATGCTGGGGCCGGCGAGGCACTGCGGGATCCCGCTGGTGTAATCGTGGTGGACGCATTGGCGCTTCCCAGGCCGCCCAGAACTCTCCAAACACGCACCTTGGTCGACATGTCAATATTGGCCGATCTTTTTGCTTCTCTTAACCATTTCTGGAAGCTGGTGTGTCGGCTTGCCAGCATTTTTACCGGGGCAGCGTTCTTGTCTTTGATGGTCTGGGGCGTTGTGCCAGTCGCAGGGTTCGGCAGCTTAACAATGGTAAAGATGGGTGGGTTGTTCTCATATTGGATATTTTCCATGTCGCCTGTCGGGTTCGTGTTGTGGGCGTAACGGACGATCGCAGGCGACTGATCCGCCAGACCATACCAGCGCATGATCGAATCCCAAGCCTCCTGCGGTACGATTTCGAAATCCTCGGCCATCTGCAAACCCGGGCGGAGAGGCACAAATGGCTCTCCAGCCTCATCCTTAAAACCAGAGATGGTTGGATCGGTTACCAGCACGATATCCGAATTGTCGACAGGCCCGATTTCTCCTTCTGCTGCAGTCTTATCCACTACGTCGCCGTGGGTCGAACTTCGAGCAAGCACCCGTTTCATCCACGACATGGAAAGCACAAATCCTTTTTGCTTCTCTCGCAATGGTTGCGCCATAGCGAGCGTCACCTGGGCCACCTGATCATCAATTGACGGAAGGTGTTCTTGCGACCCGGCGGCGGCTTGGGACTGGGAGTTTCTGCGGGTAGCTGTCGGTGCGGTGTAGGTAGACATGCTGGAAGAAGCGGGATAGACGTTGTCGGAACCGGTATTATTAGAATTATGATTATTGTTCAAGGTTTCCGTAGATCCTAATTCCATCTCGACGTC